AACCTTTCGCAACTAACTCTCCCCCAACTTTTCACAGCTTTCCCAGCTTTCGAAACGCTCCGAGCTTTCCAAGCTTTCCGACCTTTCCGAAGTTGGGAGCCCATGGGCCTGCGCCTACGAACTTAGGGGCTTACACATCCCGCCCCACCCGATCGGCGGGCTTGCATCACCATCACCATCACCCACCATCACCATCATGACCATCATCACCACCACCACCATCAGCGCCACGTATGGACTAAACTAATGAACGCGCAAGCCTATGAGCCTGCGAAGCTTGGGAATTGGTTAAGCGGGCCGGCCTGACCTCGCGCAGATGGGCGCGAAGGTTAAAGCCTTAACCTACGCGATAGAGCCAACATGTATAGAATTCGAACCCAAAAAATTGAAAAACGGCCGCGGAGCTCTTGGCTAGCCCTGACTCCACGCAGATGGGCACCAATTTTCAGAAAGCCCTACACGATAAAGCCAAGGCCAGCACGGTTTGAATGAGCTCAAAAAATTGAGAAAGAAAGCCGGCCCAGAAATTGGCTAGCCCTGCGCCTTAAAGTGTCAAGCTGAAAGCCCACACCAGACAGCCCAAAGCCGAAGGCCCAAAGTCGACGGGCCCAAGGCAGAAAGCTCAAAGTTGAAAGCCCAAGGCTGAAAGCTCAAAGTTGAAAACTCAAAGCTGAAGGCCCGAAGTCGAAGGCCCAAAGCTGAAAGCTCAAAGCCGAAAGCCCAAAGTTGAAGCTTGAGGGCCTTCATCAGGGCTAAGCCTGAAAGCTCAAAACTGAATGCGCGAAGCTGAAGGCCCCAGGCTAAAAGCCCAAGGCTGAACGCTTAAGATTCAAGGCTGCGCCCCAATGTCTCAAAGTTTCAAACTTGAGACTGGAAGCCCAAAGCTTTGAATATATCCAATAAAGACGAAATCTGACAAATTCCCATCCGAAGTCTGACTGTATCACAAGAAGAGGAACCTCGACAAGTTGCAAAGTCGAGCGCTGCAACTTGCACGCAAAGAAGGCCAAATAACCTAACAAAAGAAGAGCACACCGACAAACCAACGGCTTCGGCCTGTACCTTTTTAATCAATGGCCGCACGCCGTCCGCCAGGCTCTTGCCCCAGCGATCAACGCCGCCAGAAGGTTGGCGGGCGGGGGAGGGAGGAGCCGGGGAAGCGGAATCGCGCCGGGATTGGGGAAGCGCGTGCCGGGGGTGGATGATCCTAGTGGGAGGAGAGCTACCGGGCGCTCAAGTCTAGCACGCAGAAGAAAAAGGAAGAGCTTCTGCGGCTTTACTAAATACGCAGGGGAAAACGGATGAGCCAGCTTCTGCTCTTTTACTAAAAACGCAGAAGAAAAAGGATGGGCTTCTGCTCTTTTTCTTTTACTAGATACGCAAAAGAACAAGGAGTGCATAGCTTCTGCGGTTTTACTAAGTACATACGCAGAAGAAAAGAAGTGAGCTGCTGCTCTTTTACTAAATACGCAGAAGGAGTAGCTTCTTTTGTCTCAATATCTACGCAGAAGGAGAAGGAAAGTCCTCTGCTCTGAGGAATCTCTTCTGCTCTATCAATTTATACACAGACGGAAAAGGAGAATTTTGTTATTATTAAAAAAGTAAAAGCCTGCTCCTTGTCTACTTTGGAGGTTTGATCACTAGAAAAATTGCGAAAAGAGTGATCCTTTTGTAGCTAAGTAATCCTTATCCTAGTTGTAGAGGACTCTCGTACTATGCTAATCTTAGGTTCTTTTTAGCTAAAAAAATTGAAATATCCACTACATCTAAACAACAGAGCTATGTCTATAAGGCCTTCAAGCACTATTATCACCCAGCACTGTTTTTCACTCGACAGTCGCATAAAAAATAGGTCTCCTTCCACACCTAATTCTAGAAGATCATCTTCAACATTGTTTTTAAACTTCTGTAGGTGTCCCATAATCTTTCATCATCGACCACGTGTTGCTCTTCAGGATCTTGGCTCGATGAATCCCGCTGTGCCGCAATTGCCTTTTCAGATGCCTCTTGTCCCCCTTGAGATGACGTTACTTGTGGTTTTGGAGATGCCACTTGTCCCTCTCGCGACCACGGCACTTGTCCCCTTTGAGGTGACTTCTCTTGTCGTGCCCTCCGAGATGACTTGACTCGTCCACCCATTTGAGATGCCTTCACTTGTCGTGCCTTTTGCGACGACGTGGCTTGTCCCTTTTGCGAAGACCCCTTAGGACCATCATGCTGTTCCGGATTCTTGGAAGTAGTGACCAATTCCCCATCTGCTTCGTATTCCTCCACAGAGTCCTGCTCTTCGCCTTTACGAGCAAGATTTTAGAGCTATTACTATCCAATATTCATTTTGATCTGTTGTCGCAAATGCATTGCCAGTAGGGAAAAACCTACGAATAGAGGATAAGCCTAAGAGTCCTGATTTGTTGTAGTACAACTAGTAGGTTTTCCCTAGGAGGAGAAGTAGTGCTACTAGTAGAACAAGTAGTAGTAGGAGTATTAGTTTTTAACCCAATCAGTACTACAAATTGTAGACGTCTACAAGTTGTGTGTGGAATACAACTTTCGATCATCTTCTAGGAACAAAAAATATATGCTGAACAAAAAACAAGAACAAGCCGGTAAGTACAAGGTGGTCGTGACAAGAATGTCACTCTTGACCACTGCCTCTTTTTCGTATCTATACAGGCATTGCAATAACTATTCCAGTGTGGAATAGATACGATTGTAGTGTCTATTCAAGTGGCGGACTAGATACTAACTTTAATACAGGCATTGTAGTGTCTATTCCAGTGTGGGATAGACACTTTCAAGGAGTTTCTGACTCTGTAGTCAATCCGGAGGTGGAATAGATGAATTACATAGAAGATGCGTTCTTGCATCTACATCTTTGTAGTCAGTCTAGAATTGCAATGCAGCCTCCAAAGATGAAATTAATCGTGAAGAAAGCAGCTATCTTCTTCATGATGGAAACTACCGAAGAGGACCCAAGAGAGTGATCATTACACAAAAAAATGTGTCTCTCTCTTAAAAAACGATGAAGACAATTGCTGCAGACGCAGCCGCTAAAAAATGTCTCTTATAATTGAAGATTTGTAAGTACTCCAAGGTGGTCCAAATGATATTTCTGCACGTCTCTGCAAAAAAATGTGTCTCTTAGAAAGCAGCCATAATCATCAGTGTCCGATAACATCTTGCCGGAAGTGCTTGGCAGGTTGCGGCCTCGCCAATAAGCGGAGCCATGCTCCCATAAACAGCATCCTAGCAGAAACGGAATTAGAGCGGAAAATCGATGGAAATTACATATTTATAGGATTACGTAGCCCTCTGGACTAAGATGATAGGATAGGATGGTGCGCCTCTGCTTCGTCATCACGCAAGGTGACTGCTCCGCTTCGGCGTATAGACTCCTCTACTACACGAATTCTTAGGAAAGCATAGTAATCAACACGAAGTATGATGCCAGTGCAGAATTGAGTCAGAGGATACAAGAATCAACATCATGCATGTTGTCAAGTATAGTAATAACTACTCATGAGTATCTTCAGGGGTGATTGCACATCAAGCACGATGTTGATCTCTTGTAGAACTCTTGTAGAACGTACAACTACTAGGAGAGTAATATGTTGAAAATTCTATTTTCACCCAGCTCGGACGAGTATACCTAGAAGGTCTGACGCTTCAACACCTGTGACTAGGAGTTCTCACTTCCACCTAGCAGCACAAGTTCCTTGCATTTTTCTGCTCTTTGGAGATAGAAGTAAAGGCTACTAGTAGTAGTACAGCATATAAGAGATAAAGTTTGTGTTCTTCAAGTTCAATAATACATAGCGCAATCATGACAATAAGTAAGTACGTACTTCTGATAGTGCAGCAGCGAGGAGGTAAAGTCGATGCTCTTCGGAGATAGCAATAGGTGCTATTTACTTATCTACTAGTACAGCAGTGAGGAGGTACGACAAACTCTTGTCGCGCTCTTCGGTAATAACAATACATGGGCACCACTAATAGTAGTGCAGCAGTTTGGGAGTTGATTCACGGGTGACATGATGGCTGACGATGGACACGAAGCTAGATTGTGGCCATGTTTCACAAGACTCACTTCTTGAGGAAGTGCACCATTTTTACACAAATTGCATGTCTTAAAAATAGCAACCCCCTCCCCCGCGGAGGAGGCATTGCCCAATACTTCTCCCTTCTGCACTGCATTTTCTATTAGAGAAGACTGATAGATAGAAGTTCCCTGTTGACGATGTGCTCTTCTTTCGTGAAAGCCTCGCCAATGGTACGATACTTCTCTTGTACTCACAAGAAAAGGATCATGGACTATCTGAACAAGGAGGTGAAGCTGAAGGTTATAGTTCCGCAGAAAATACGAAGACAATTGCCGCAGACGCAGCTACTACTACCATTAGATCCAGATGAAACTTCATAAAATGTATTAAAAATTACAACTTAAACAGCTACTAGTAATCATAATTGATTCCGCCTCGACGTCCGGCTATAGGAAGCACACAGGCAAAAGTTCTAAGTACAAGTAGCCAGTGCAAAACCACCTCAGCGGCAGTCCTCCGCAAACTCTCGCTGTTCCTCTTTTCAGCCTTGCTTCATCCTTTTTCTTGTAGAAGAAGATGTCAGAGTCGGCGACACAAAAGAAAAGAGCTACTTATATACTGTGCTAGCCCTACATGAAGATGGGCATAACAACACACCTTGAGCTGCAAATCAACTTGAACGATGATTACTCAGGTGAGTGGGCTGAATGGATGATGGCAGGAGGTGCAAATCACAACAGACGTCACGGGCTATATTTCTCTCGTTTAGAAATACAGAGTTGCAAGTCTCCGTCTCTCCAACAACATGTCCATCATGAACTCAACTCGTACCCAACTCACGTTCTCAATCTCAAGATACCCTTCTCTTGGCGTCTCTCTGTCTGAAGAGTGTCTCTCTTTCTATAATCTCTGGTACTCGACGGCGTGTGGCTATAAAATCCTTGGACTGGAGGAGGTGATATTCTGGCTACATCCTACTCATGCTGGTCACAATTTGATTCTGGTCACAATTTGGACCTGCGTCTTCTACAGAAAGGGTCATCATCTTCAGCTTCAGCACTTTGTTGTAAATTGAGATGGAATTTTGTTCGGGAAGCTCAGCTACACTTACAACACGCAAAACACGATCCCCATTCTTGCGTCGGTCGAAAACAAAAAAAAGTGAGAATCAAAAATTTTCATCCTGAATATTAACTGGTAAGTTGATAGAGAAAAGTGCCGAGAGCTTGAAGGCGTGAATGACAATTTCGAGCCACAAGGAAATGCGCGTAAGAACATCCTCAAGAGGTGGAAACAAAAGCTAGGTCATTATCTTAGCTCTCTCATCTCTGGAATGCGCAAAAATCCAAATTCTCTACTCGGATTGGACCTACGAGTCTTTCCCTGAATCACGATCATGTAATATTAGGAAATAATGCGATATGCCTAGACGGTGATTACTCAGAGATTGAGCACTAGCTCTGCACTAGAACAAATGGCTTCAATTCCGCGTCAAGTCCCTCAGCTTAGGTGGCAAGTTCAAGATTTCTTCCAGTTCGACTTTGAAAGACAAACCACTATTGGCCGTATCCCAAGCGTCCGCGACGTCAAAGTTCACCTGCAAACACGCGTCCTTCTCTAGATCCTCTTCTAGTGCCGACCGACCGGTGACCACCACTGACTTCCGAAATGACGACCCGACAGAAAGTGTCGCCCGCACAGCCAAATCCGGATACCCTAATCGGAATGCATGAAGGGGTGTTGGGGAACAAGGTGGTGTTGAGGAACATACACCACTGGAGGTGGTGTATGTATAAGCAAGTTGCGAGGATCGTGAATCCACTACGTGTGATCCACCATCTTCATCAGTTCTTGAATCACTGCAAAAAAAATGTATTGAGTCAATCATGAAAAGATATTCTGCATTGAGTACACCATCAGGTTCTTGAATCAATTCTCAGTAACTTACAAAAACAGTGTTGGTGTTCTCACTAATTTCATAAAGTAGAATACGGGAAGTACAACATTACTACTTCTAAGCCTCATCTTTATCATTCATAGAAAAACAAAGTTCCGAAGTTTCGGTGTGGGTGCATCGGAAGAAACTCTAGCCAGAAGTCTCCTAGGCCAACATGAAAGAGTCGAAATGGCGTCGAGACTAAAGGCTCACGCAAACTTGTCGAGGATGATCTGAAGGGTGAAAGATGAACCATGTTCGATGATTCAAGAAACAGGCTAGAAGAGGAAATCCATGCCGTTGATCACGAAGACGAGTGGTCAGTGTGGAATACATACTTACGGACAGAAAAAGAGCCATAGTAAGTGGTAATAAAGATGTAAGGATTGAGATCACTATTTTATTAATCCACACACGCTGCAGCACCAGCCAATAGAAGAATACTATACTACGGGTGGAGCCAAGCTAACTAGGAAGAAAAAGTAAGGGAGAATACTATACTCATAGATGATACCTAGTTCCTCCCTCGGCTTGTGAGCTAGCGGCACGTTGCGATAGAAAGGGAATGTTGAAACGAAACGCCTGACTACCGGATGCAGGCCCAGGCTGTATTTAGAGACAAGAGAACCTCCTACGAATGATACGTCTCTCTTTGTCTACTCTGATGAAAAAATGAAAATTATCAAGTTTTCAGTACATTTTAAACGGTTTGAGTAGGAGAATAGAGTTAGAAGATCATGCTAGAACAGTAGATTCACTTTTGAGATGATAGATTGTGGCTCTTCTCCATAATTGCAATATTGCTGATTACTCGCTATTTTCACCGAAGAAGGGCTCGGGGAATGTGCCGACGAACTTGAAGAGCTACTCGATGAAGACGACGTACGCGCAGAAGATGAAGCGGTTGCTGGCGTGCTGGCTCCTCCACTTAGCATTAGTTAGATGTGAAGGCAGAGAGAGAGAGAGACACCACTTATTCTTATACTAGCAGAGGCTGTAGTTGTGAGGAAAAAGCGAGTAGAAGTTTTTCTCGTGCAATTTGCTTTTGCGGCAGGTGGAGTGAATCCCACCATATCAAAATATATTTGGTTTTCTTAAACTTTTGAGCCCTGGTCTGCAGCACAGCCAGACATGGAAGAACTAGCTGAAGGCGTCTCCCCGAACAAATCCTCTAAATTGATGCCGGAGCCGCTGTCTCTTCTACCCAGAAGACCAGGCCAGCGCACGCGCCAAACAGCGGCAAGATCTCCTATTACTTCGACTGACTGCTCTGTCGTCAAATCTTCTCCAGTTGCTCTCCGTCTGCCCGTTTCGGTTTTAGGCTTTGAATTAGGGATCTCGTTTTGCAAGAACGCTTTCTAATCCTAAGTCATGGACGATGGTGAACACAAACAACTAATGGCAACGACAATAACTGAACGCCGAAAAAAGACCTGTGATACATCTGTCGACTAGAGGACAGAAGTCCTAACTCCTTTATTAGAAGCAGGAGGATATCTATCATGCTCTTCTCATTTACTCTCTTTGTCTCAACTAGATCATCTTGTATCCTAGCTACAACATCCTCCTGTCTTGAGGAAACAGTTAAATCCTCTTTCACTTTGAGGCTAACAGTGACAGTAAAATCTCTCTTGAGCAGGCCATAGTTAAAAATTCCTCTCTTCCGGTGGACAACCATGATAACAAGGAAAACGCAAATATAGAAATTAAAACGACTATCATTCCGGTCGAACTCGAACTTCTTTCATAACTACATCCCTTGAAGCAGCTTCCTCTAGCAGGTCTACGTCCAGCGAATCCAGAACCATCGTGCCCTCATCGTTTCTCACTAGCTTCGATATTTCTGCCTCTTCGATGCTATTGAATGTCTGCCCGTTAACGCGGACTTTCATCGGATTAGAGGAGTAAGTGGATGAGCACACATAGAGGTACAGGAGCGCCGTACTAGATCGTCGTGCCTCAAGTGGATGAGCACACATAGAGGTACAGGAGCGCTGTAATAGATAGTCGTGCTGCCTCATGATCTTTGGATACATGTCATCTTCTTCGTTCTCAAACACAACATTTTAATCCAAAGAGTGTAATACATAAGAGAATATCGCAGGATCCTCTCTTAATAGAAGGTTGTGAGTGCTGCTGTCCCCCATGCGTCTCTCGCCAAAACCGCAGCTTACCGTGTTCACTAGGTGTTGCCCAAGAAAGTTCCAGTCTCCCTTTCGTTCCAGATGGTAAAGCGAAGAGAGATGAGGTGACGCAAGGTTTAGAGCTGGTCCTCGTGCATTATGGGGGATATAATTGTAGTTCCGTGGCGAAGCCATAAATGATAATGTTGAAAGCAGCTACCTCCTACGACAAGCTATATTAAATGAAAAGTGATTTTCATCTTCATGCTCTCTCGTCCTCTTTAGACATTCAATGACCCAGCATAACAATCCTCTGCCTCTTATCCGAGAGGTCCACATCCCGAAGTTGCCACTGGAGGAAGCCATTTTGTGCCTGCGTGCGGTTCCGAAACTTTGCCAGAGACCGTGGCACGGGAAATTCCGCAGCAAGAGACGAGGCTAACTTCTTCATTCTGTTGATGTTAGTACAACTAGGGAAGAAGACCGATGACAAGCTCTAAGATGTTGAGCTCCTCTACGGTAACTAGCACTACCTCCACCGACCTGAAGAAGTTAGTAGTTGTTGTAAGAAAACCTTGTATTTGAGACAGAGAGTGAGCGTCCCGAGTTCTGAATTTAGATCCTGCACAACTGCTGTTGAACTGGAAGATCAACCATAGATATCTTTTGGTATGAGGAAAGTGCGAACACCTTGAACCGAAATGAGAGATCGAGAGAACCCTTTGCTATGGACAGAGTGGAGAGGAGGAGCTCCACCCGCGCACTCGAATGGCCCTAGCTGCCTGCGGTGCTGGCAAGAACAAAATTGAAGATTGTTTTCAACCTCAGTGCAGCACACTTGTATCTTTTTAAGAGGACAGAGCAGATGATAGATTGATGAAGACACCATCTTCAAAGAGTGTCGCGATGAAAGCCGTTTGGTTTTCCATGCGGATTCTTTCTAGAAGGCGAAGTGTTCATTCAGCGGGTTTATCTTTCTACACATAGATTTTGTTTCTAGCACACATATGGTCCTCTGCAGCAGTCAGGTCTCTCTTGGGGTTGGCATTTTATATATGGAAAGCCTGATGAAGTCATCGTCAGTAGAAGCTTAGTACTCATTGATTTGTAAGTTGCTTGTCGCAGAAGTAGTTAAGCCGTAATGCATTATTAAAAGAACTTCTATGTATAGCATCCATTTCGACACAACCAAAATTCGTCAGAAGAAGTTGTATGTTCATTTGTAGTAAGTACTTCAGCTGTAGTTGTGCGTTCATTCAATATCAGTGTCGTTCGTTTCGAGTTCAATGAATAGGTGTACATTTTTTTCTATCAATTCAATCTCATTGCTGCGTTCGTATCACATCCCCATCTTCCCCTTTACTTGGCTTATACACTGATAGGTTCCGGGTCTGCGAGAGCCGCAGCCAAATTATCTGGAGGAAAATTTGTTGGAGAGACATCAGGCGTAAGATGATAAGGCAGGGAAGATCATGATGTAATACAACAAGTATGTGGTCACGTCACCACGCAAAAACCAGAACTAGATGTAGTACGAGTACCTCACCCACCACTCGTCCTGCTCATCTGAGTGGTTCCGGTCTTTTCGCCTTGTTTGGAGTGCGGTATCGTCACGATCCCGGGTGATAGCTGTAACAGGGAACCACCGGCTGCGGTAGGTTAGAAACGGTCGAAGACGCTGCTACAAGAAGAATTAGGATACCATGAGACGAGGCATCGGTAGTACTACATCAGTGGAGCGGTTACGATTGCCAAACATGATGACGATGTGAATCCATTCGGCAAGCTGCCTAACGACGATTTTTACCAAACATAAATGCGGAATTTGTTTTAACCTCCATAAAGACATTAGCTGACAGGTGTTGACAAACCATCACCCAGCAATTCGCCGTCATCGCCGTAGTTGAATAGCTCTTTGTGCTCCTCCTCTTCAGGCCGTTTTGCACGCTCTGAAACTGCAAGAAACGAGAGTGGGGAAGCATGAAAGAGAGTGGGGAAGTAGGAAAGAGAGCAGTAGTGGAGTTGATGCAGTGTCCGGTGGACAACCAGCATATGGAAAACGAAAATATAGAAATTAAAACGACTAAATAAGACCACATGAACTTCTGATCACACTAGAAAAACCTTCGGTATTACTTGCGCTTCAAAGATGAAACCCCGGATCAGATTCAGATTCAATATTTTCATTTCCTCGTCTTTTACCTTTTTCAGTGGTCTCATAAGGAGGGTGAATTTCATCGCTGCGCCGGTACACTGCATGTCGCTTCTTCAATGTCGGCGAATCACCGAACGCGTACTGCAAAGCACTGGTCAAAAACAGCAGTGCTAGCACTTAACTAGCTGCGTGCCTCAGCATTTTGCTGGTCTATTTAGTGCTAACTAACACTAGCTTGTTGTAAAAAATGAATACATAAGTAGGTTCATATAAGTGCTTGCGTAACAAAAGAAGATCAAGGTTCTAGGTCTACATTGCCGAGAGTAAGTAAGGTCTTTGGCCTATATTTTCACCGTTGTGAAGTCTGAAGCCTCTTTTTGCTGAAGCCTCTCTTTATTCGCCCTCTTCCGCCTCTTTCAATTTCCTAAATTCCCTTCTGATTCTTGTTGCCTCCTTTCCGATCTGTCGAGATCCTAGGATCGCAAATTGTGATGGAACAATGCGTAGCTGTATCACAAGGGAATGTCTCATGATGTTGATGTCGTCAATGGCTTGGGCTCTTCAATTATCTCATGTTGAGTTCATGAAGCCCAAACCTTCAGTTACTTCGTTCATCTTTCGATACCTTTATTCTCAAGAAGTCTGATCTTTCTCTTTGTCGTCGCTTAAAAACATGTGACTACAACACAGGTTGCTAACCCTTCATCAAGAACAAATCCTATCTACCGAATAATATATCCACTTCTTCCCACCTTCCTAATCTTGTTCACCATGTAAAAACTTCCTGGTCACTGAACAACAACTATCTGCCTCTACTATTTCCCTTCTTTAGCCGTTTCTGAAGTCATCCGCAGTTTGCCTCTTCTTGTTTAGCCGTTTCTGAAGTCATCCGCGAGTCTGTGGTTCCAGTAGTCTGCGCGCGCATGAGGAATACACAACAAAATCTCATGCATCTCTAGGTTCTGCACCGGTCGGCAGGTGTATGAGGCTTCTGGCTTTAGAAAAGAACTCTTCGCGTCTATTTCATGTTTTTTTTTTGGATTGGATGGTAGTGGAAGTGGAAGATTCTGTTTCAACCTTGCTTTGACTTGGTGTTGTGCTAGTTGTTGACTCAAGGATGTATGCCTGCTAGTGCTAGCGCTAGTGCTAGACTACAACTGATAGCTGTTTACATGATTATCTAATAGTGCTAGTAACACAACTAATAAATTAATAGTGCTAGACTACAACTAATAGCTGTTTACATGATTATCTCCATAACTCTTCCATGAAGTTAACGAATCGTTTGTCACCGTCTGCGAAGTACGGCTGAGATTCGACGTAGATAATGGGCGAATACGTCTCGAGTAATTTCAAGCCACCCTGCACCACTTCAAGTTCCATGCCCTCCGTGTCGGGAGTATGAAAGGAAGGGAGAGAAATAAAGATCAACGAGCCTCCTGGAGCTAGCAGTGGTCGCCAATTGGCCAAGTAGTCTTTGCAATCTAACACCCTAAAAAAGCGGTTTGGTCATGTCGGTGATCGGGTTGTATCCATTCTAAATTCTATTCGAGGATTTCTATTTTTCCCTCATCATGTTGTGAAAGTAAATCTTAATCTTCTTCTATCCAAGTAGAGCAGGTAGAATCATAAATCTTGACCACAGTCAAATCGCATTTTATGTTTCCACGTTGGAAAAGGTTGTCTAAAGTCTCCACTTCGATTTCTTCCATGCCATCAAAATGAACGTGCGCGATCTCGGGCTTCTGCTGGTGAAACACTCTTGCTGCGCCAAGATTGATATAGTCGTTCAGATCGGGTGCGTTCACACTCTTGAAGAAGTATGAAAGGGGAAAGGGTTCAGATATGAGGCGTTCACGCTCTGGAAGGAAAGTGAACGGAGGACGATGGGATTTGGTTTGGTTTTCTTGCTTCCTTTGGTGTGGGAAGCAGGGAGTGGGTGGGTGGGGACTTGTTATTTGAGGGAATCCGGTAGGAAGCTTGTGTTTGAGAAAAATTAGACAGTAGAACGTGAACAATAAGGCGAGTCAAAAACTAGTCATCCTCATGCACTTGACATTGACTAGCTACTTATATGTGAAACTCCTCAGAACCATGATTATTGTTCATGTCGATGATTTTCAATGTTTTATAAATCAGATGATCACAAATTTGCTCATAACATCGTCACATTTGACATGCCCACCTGTCGTGTTACCACGTTTCCGAAGCCTTGTAAAGCCAGATTTGCGTTCATGATGTGAAATATCTTCCGAAAGGGCTCGTAGGCGTACACCCTTCCATTCACTCCTACTTCATCTGCAAGTACTACTGCAAGATTAGAATAGGATCTTGGGTCTAGCACTAGAAGTAACAATTTTTGAGATCGGGATTGGATATTTAATGAGTAACAACATTATGTGACGTCTTTTCAATGCAGCAAACTTAGGGATTGGTAATTGTTGACTGAATATCTTCGCTGGCCAATCTCATCTATCAAAACAACAGCGAAAGCAAAGGGAACTCTCCCTCCAGCCTAATGTAACTCCCAATATTGCTGCCGACTTCGATGACGCAGTCGTTTTCTCTGACCAGTGTGCGCAAGACGTGCTCCTCCGTGACGTCGTAGACGCCACTGTGCTTGACGAAGCCACCCACCACAAAATCCAACGCCGGGATCAGAAAATATCTGCTCAAATCAGGCTTAGCCGGCGTCAGCAACACCGGATGTTGGCGACCTAGGGCAACGGAGTACCCTGGTGGGGTGCTCTCGAGATACTCGCGAGCGGAGGGATTAGAGGATTGGATTTAGTTTGGGTGTTGTCTTTGACTATTAACCTCTACGGCGGGCACGACGATACGGTTCGCATATAGATCACAGAAACTGTTGATGACGCCCCTCCCTTCTAAGTAGTACTCCGCGTTCCTAGGCTAGCAGACTCAGAAAAAATCGTGGTTCTCCTGAGATGGACAGCGTTTTTTGCTTTTTGTCTAACTCTAACCGTTACCCTTAGTTGCCATAATGAAGGGATCCCTTCTGACGTAGCGAATGCATTGAGCATACTTAGCCCATTCCAGTTGCACTGTATCGTTCGTATCCGGATCAGCCTTTGTGAGGACTGGTACTCCATCGATCTCGTCTTCGTAAAGGCCAAAGATTAGAGAATCCTAGATGAAAGGAAACCAAGCCAGGAAGACGCTGTACATAGCAGTGCCTGGGAGTATGAAGCAAGTGTCTTCTACTTCCAACTATCAATCTTCGGTGCTTAAAAAGTAGAAATTATTGATGCTCTCTCGGCAAGAGTCGATCACGTCACCGGCAAGGACGTCTCTTACTAGCGACTGAGACGTTGGATTCGCAACTAGGCTGAGAGCGGTTGCTGATAGAGAAAGAAAAGAGCGACGTGGCCGTCTCCTGTATCTGTTGGAAAGTAGTCGTGTGCCATTGCTGGAGTGACGAGGTATTTTAATAGCACCATCCTCGCTGATCCACGAGACTTCCTCGAAATAAGAGATGAAGCAAGGGCACTCAGATGAGGACGAAAAAGGCGCCATCACTTCTGAGGAAGATGAAAGATTCTCAACGAAAACGAATACTTGTTCAAAATAATCATTGCGTGTAAGATAATGCGCCCGGTCCTGAGCCTGACGTCAACTCCTTACTCCATTGTCCTGAAGTTCGTTATCTTCGATAGAAATAGAGAAGATTGAGATTCTAAAAATTTTCCACAAATAACGACCCATATCTACATAATGCAACAACTCGCTCGGTGATTCCCGCTCATGATGTCGGTGGACCACGTTCGAGAATTCATGATGACATTCGACACTATTAACACAACCTCTCATACATCATTCCTACCACACTTCTCTCGAATTCTTCCCTCTCATCAATAGAAGTAGTTTCAGAAAATTTTAGTATATCCCATGAATTTCATCTGGTGGCGCCTCCATCAGACTCATAGTACAGTGAGGTGTTCATTCTCCAATGGCAGGCTTTTCCCGCCACGAGGTGCAGTCTAGAAAGCAAAACAGAGCGGGCTTAAGACAAAAAAAGACGAATGATTTAGAATCGAAAAAGAGAAAGCAATGCAGATTAAGGAAAGAGGTTGCAGTAGTAGTTATCTACCGTCTTTGTCAGAGCAGAAGATCGAGATATTATCTTTGACATATATCTAATGCGAAAAAAGGATATCAAATGCGAAACGATTATATGGGTGAGGAGTCATCCCTCCTGGAAGATAGATCATCATGTCTGCCCATCATGTCTGCCCATCGTGTCTGCCCATCGTGTCTGCCCATCATGTCTGCCGATCATGTTTGATCATCTTGTCGCGTGGAAACTGCTCATGCCATTGCGATCCCACCACCTGTTGGCAATTCTGCAAGGATTTCTCCCTCCCTTAAGAAGCGGACCCATAGAATCTTGCGGACTCCTCATGATTGCCGAGATTGGCATGAGCAACCGCCAAATTTGGCCATTTGGCTTCAAAGCTAAAGCTTCAAAGCTGAAGCAGGCCAGTCAGCAACCTTCCGAGTTGCCACTGTTAGTAGAGCAGAGTAGCAGGCGGATTAAGAGTCTTATAATACATAAACCTCCACCGGCTGCCAACCGTCCCGCTCTTATACGCCTGCCTAAAAGGCACGAGAATTATAGTGCGGATCTGCTCGACGTCGCAGTCCACTTCGGATGACTAGGGAGGTGAGCGTTCACGACTATGAAAACGCCGAAAAAGGATCTACCAGATACCGAATTTTTTTCACGTGCCTTATGGAGCGTCTGCGTCGAGCTTCCTCTACACTAGCCGCGTGCGTCGGTCTCGGCAACTGCTTAGACAGGACGCGTTCGCGTCATGTTTCTCGAACGCGCTTCCTTGCACCAAAACACACTGATCTCGTCCTATCAAAGACGTATTACAATTAGGACTTCTTTTTAGCTTGATCCTCGTACATATACAGTAACATCAATGGGAGTATCATCAAGGATAAGGAAGGGGAAAACTTCTTTTCTTCGTGGTTTATACAATCTGTAATTCGACAAGAGTTGTGGACGAGTCGTGTTTTCTTGATGCACTTCCGTTTAAGTACGTTTCCTACTAGCAGCTGCAGGACTTACTGTCTACTTTGTTTTGCAAACTATTACTAACTGACTTGAATCTAAAAGATATGTTCAGCGATACAAGGGACTGATTCTTACGATTGTTCCATATGCTTACTCTTAGACTTTTCTTGGACTTTTGAAGTAATCGAAGTAAGTAATACTTGTATTCTCGTTCTTGTACATTTGTTGTGATCTTAAGTACACTTGTTACTATTGTGATCTTAACTACTCTTGTTAATAGTTACGCAAAATCTTCTAGCACTAGCTTACTTGCCAGACAACTCGTCACTGATTTCGACTGAATTATAGTTCGTTATGCATGCAAATGAATTCTACCCAAACACTACTCGTACTCTTTGAACGGCGTCGATAACTGTTTCATCGTACTAACTTAACTATTCCTTTGCGTGTTGTTTGAATCGTAACAAATTTTGGAAAGACTCTTTCGTTTCAATGGATATTATGGCTTTACACGGGATCTAATTTCATGTTAGTTCGTCTTCGTATGCTTTCTGATTATAAATATATAATTCTAAGAAGTATGCTCGGCACTGTACTGTGTATATTATGACATGGTTTTCAGAGAACAATAAGATTTCTACAATCGGCTGACAGTACGGTAAGATTAACGACTCTCTCAACTCTGCTATAAGTGATGACTATCACGGTAAGTTCTTCATTACATGCGATGTTAATTTTCGAAGATGCATGGTCATGATCTTCATCAAATGGGCTCTTTACTATGTGTGTAAGATTTCTCAGAAATGTCATGAATGTGCTTTTCGACGAACTACTACAATGGATTCAGCCATGAGTAGGCTGCTGTTTTGATGAACAATAAGGTTAGATATGACGTCGCCATAGTCTGGATGTTTTGATGAACAAACAATCTGTAATATATGAACATGCTGCTTTACTACATGATATTATTGCTTGATGCTGCAGATGCAGTCTACTTTACATGATGCTATTGACAGTCTGAATCTCTTTGGTACTAGACACTGAGTTCCGTAGTTTTTCCATCAAACTTCCTCTCCTCCAAGGAACATCTGCGCCTGAGCTTCTTCTTTTCTTTCGTAATCCTCCACAATCCCTTTGGACCGGAAAGGCATCAACTTGGGTGGCGCCATACCTCGCGTCGCATCCCACGTTTGATCCTTCTTCCAGAAGCCTGGTCTCCTCGAGGTCGACGTACCCTGTTGATACATCTCGGACCACATTCCTTTCTTAGATCTGAATACAACCATATAATTCATCTTGCTTGAGAGCATCGTTCATACTAGATACTTTGAGATGAGCATCTGTGATATTTTTAGTAATTCTCCATCGGGAAAAGCGTGGCTGATACATAGATATGCTTTCCCCTACTTGGGGAAACCAATCTGTGATGTGTTTTCCCCATCGGAACGAAGGAGAAGGTTCCACCAAAGAAGTGCTTTGCAACAAGATGAATTATGAGTGCTTGGCCTTAACTTTCGCCGCCTCCCTCTGATCGATCAGTTCAGAGGTTCCAGTAGTGTCTGTGGTAGTGGTCACCACAGTACCGACTGTGGTGTTTGCGACGTTGATTGGTCGCTTCGCGTCAGGCGAAGGCGAAGACAGGAAACCTCCTCGTTGTCCTTTGCCTGCTGGAGAAACACTGGAAGTAGACGTTCCGGCTGCAGCATTCTTTTTAGAAAACATCATTACCGATGTAGATATTGTTTTGCTCTTTAATATTAATCTCGAAGCGAGGGATCTTTGACCATTCTCCATTTTCCTTTGAAAACTAACAAACATGTCAAAGAAAGATACTTCTGAAAGTATTAATGAATACGAAAACGAATGAGAACCAACAACAAGCCTTAAAATTACCACCAGCAGCAGTTCTCTTCCTGAGTTTCTGTGGCGATTGATGTGGATACTTATCGGGACTATCAGCGGGCGCGACTTTGACTACGAAACGATCCGAACCACCAGTCATCCCGTAATCTCGTTCTGCTTCCCGCCTTTCTGCACCAAGAAGTCTTCTCCTTCGCTCCCGTTCTACAGACGGTGAAGTCGGCAATTCTTTTGCACTACTATAGGCACTACTTGCTTAGAACAGGTTGTAATGGCGACCCATCTGTTACTTTATTCAGAACAACATCTTTCTTTCCACTGTTACTTTATTTAGAACAACATCTTTGTTCCACTGTTACTTTATTTTTCAGAACAACATCTTATTCCACTGTTACTTTATTTAGAACAACATCTTTGTTCCACTGTTACTTTATTTTTCAGAACAACATCTTATTCCACTGTTACTTTATTTAGAACAACATCTTATTCCACTGTTACTTTATTTAGAACAACATCTTATTCCACTGTTACTTTATTTAGAACAACACCTTTCCAGCACGACCCTTACAGTAGTTTTCAAGTACAACTAGAACAATGAAAACGGCAAAGAAATAAAGAGGTTGTTCGAGACAGATGGGTTGATGCCGCTTTTAGTCTAAGAAATCCGTAACTTGCGGTCGCCATCGTCGCGTTGATTCTACGAGGCGAACGTCTTCCACGATAAGCAGGTGGCTCGTCGGGTTGGTTCGGAGACATTACGGGCACTGTGCCTTGCGCAAACAAGTCGCGACGGGGCTTGCCATCGGACAATGGCAGTCTGTCTGGATGTTTGATCTCACGCTCTCTCACTCGCATTCTTTGGGCCTCGTGGAAACTCTTCTTTTCCTTCAGCCGATCGATGGAAACAAGATCATTAGAGCCGCTCAAAACAAGAAGAAGCATTATACTCGATAAACTGTTGAAATAAGCAAGTAACTACAAACTGAGTTTTCCAAATTATAAGCGAGTAGATACTGAGAAGGAAGAGTCGCCTTGTAAAGCTACCTCCCGTATTTCACTTAGTGACTCGCATATTCCTCGTTTTTGAATAGGCAAAAGCATAAGCGATTCATTTCTCAGGAGACTCATTTACATTTTATTACATCTTGTCAGAACGAACGAGCGTACCCCTTCAACAAGGAAACCAAAACAATCATTGTTGAGTGACCTCCTGTAGTATCCCGACAAGGTGGACACGAAGAAATGTGACCACGGTGACCTATGGAAATGAAAGACTTACTTAGTTATATCGAGGAGCCTTAATCTCAGTTTGTTTCTGGACTGAAGACTGCGCTACTTTGCCTCCTGGGAGTAGAAGGCCTCTTCGTCTAGGCAACTTCGGTTCGCCGGCTCGAGTACGTGCACGCTTCGGTTCCGAGCCCGATTCTAAAATCGCCATGCCCTTCCTTTCCCAGTAGAATTGCTCGAGAGGTTAGACGTCGAGACAGAGATCATGAGAAATTACTTGCAATAGTGAGTGTAAGGGAATGTGGTTTTTCTACCACGAGGACCCTTTTGCAGAAGGAGCAAAAGAACAAGAGGACCAAGGAGAGCGCTAGACGGCTAAGCAAGCTAAGTCTCATTCTCGAGCAGAAAATGATCCCAACCCAAATCATAATATTCTGTGATTTCATCGTCGGTATCTCCCAAGTCTAATTCTACACGCCCGATGCCTCCTAGTCGAGTGGCATTGAACATCGTTCGAGGCACAACGCCCTGGTTCAGCTCCATTGGACTCAGCTTCGCGTAGTCATTCTTACTACGCTTGTACATCTTCAGGTCCATTTTGGCTTGTGCCACTCTGTGAGCATTCAGATCCTGCTTTGGACGTGGTTCGCGGAAGAACCTCTCTCCAGATGTGCCGTCGTCTGGGCTAGGGCTACTGCTTTCTCCGCCAAACATACCACCACGACCTCCAGGAGGACCTTGTTGCGAGTGGTCTACATGATCGCCGCCTGGTGCCTCTGTTATGAACGTGTTGTTCATCGTGCTGTTCTTAGAGCTGCCGTATCTATTTTTGACATCCTTTTGGAAGCAAGCATCCTTGGCCGCGTCTTTTTCAAGTAGATGAAAAAGAGCTTCTTGGCTGAGGTGGTTGGATGCTTCAGCACCAGTAGCCTTAATGTTCTCGTGGTTCCTCAGCGTCGTGTTCAACGTTGTGTTCATCAGCGTGTTGTTCATTGTACTACCATTCAGCGTATTCGTCAAAGTATCACGGTTTGACATGCCTGTTGCACTTTCGGGTCTGCCGTGCACGACTTTATGAGGACTCAGCTCCCGGTGAAGGGAGTACCTATCACCTCCCCAGTTCTTGAACTCGCCCTGTGACATCACTGTAGCCAAAGCCTGTTCTAACTCAGAAGGCATGCCTTCGCCACCTCGTCTGGCTATCTCGGCTTCTAGAGCAGCTAAGTATTCTGGATTTTCAGTCTCTTGCGAGAGGACATACTCCAAAAACTCCTTCTCCTCTCGGGTGCCCTTATAGCTGCGCGCACGCCGTTGCATCTTGCGCGCGTAGTCAGGAGGTTAGAAGACGATCTTGGTCACTATGTCAATTTTCTTCACAGCAACTAACTATCACAAGATAAGTACTTACTGCTCCTTCACGAGGCCTCGCAACTAACTATCACAAGATAAGTACTTACTGCTTCACGAGGAGGCCTCTTGATCTTGAATAGCGACAGCCAAAAATAAATGAAAAACGACGGATGACACGTTGCATCTAACTATTCTGGTGCATAACGATAAAGATTCGGATCTACGTCGTCTCGCGCACGATGCAACACCTCGAAGCGACCCTGCATTTGCTGGATGTAAGAATCGCTAAAAAGGTGCGCCTCTGGCCCATATTCTTGCCAGCGTCTCTTTCGTGTTTTGAAGTCGGTATCCAATATCTGGTTTAACGCCGACTTTCCTTAGACCTCCTTACCCATTATATTCATCCTGCAGAGCATCTTGGTACTAGTTTACAGCCTGCAGAGCATCTTGGTACTAGTTAAATTTCCCCTTACAAAGAAAGAAAACCCTGGCAAACAATCTATCAAGATGCTGCTTAACTCTCAAGATGAATTACGGCAAGCCTTAATTTCCAGTCTTCTCCAGTTCTTGGATTCGCTTCTTCCTCGACCTCTCCTTGATCTCAGCGGCAGTCAAATGTTTAGTTCCTTCGAACGCGAGATGTGCAGCATAACAGAGCACAATAGCTGGTGAAGCTTGCGTTTCGCTATACCGCACACGCCGGATGAAGACGCGAGGTGCGCCATGTGGCAAAGCGGGTCTTTCTGGGAAAATGTCACTCTTCTTCTCCAAATCATCCGAACTTAGCGAAGAGAACTCATCTGACTCGTTCTCTTGATGTCCTTCTCCATCCGACAAATGTTGACTATCCTCATTGTTCTTTCCGGTTCCTCCTGAAGATGTTGTTGCCCTTTTCAGTAGTTTCTTCTTCGCTATCTTCATTTTCCGTGATTCCTGTGCATGCCTTGCTCGGTCGCGTGCAGACATGAACAAAGTTGAATTAGAGCTCAAAACAGTTCATTTCTTGGGTTCTCATTTCTTCGGAATCCCAAGCAGAAAACAGAAGAAAATGAGCGCTGGATGAAATGAATTATTTCGAGCCTTAGCTGAATCTAGTCCTGGACCACCCTTCCGCCGCATCGCGTGAGCCGCTCTTTTGATCGCACTCATCGCCAAGTTCGCCAGACCTTTCTTGCCCTTGGACTCTGGTGATTGGAGATTGTTACGACGCTCTAACATCGGATTAACGTGATGGAGCTCGTCTTCCTCTTCATCCTCCTCGTCAAAGGGACTGAGACCACGTGGACTTCTACTAGGAGAATAGCTCAATTTTGACCTCGGACTGCCATCTGGTCTATCCTTGATCGCGCCACCTGGCCAAAACTGTGCACGTTGGTCCAAAAGCTCAGCAATCGGTGTCTCTCCATCGAGAAAACCGTGGGGCTTAGGAACTTGACCTGCTCCTCGATTTGTTGTATCATCTATTAGACCTCGCCTACATTGTTCATCTTGAAGGGCATCTTTGCGGCGTTCTCTTTCCCTGAAAGAAAAGGGAGCCAAAGTAGAACAAGTGCTGCTCTTCACGATGAATTAGTGATAGCCTTAAGTCTATTTGGATTACTGTTGGAGACGGTGGTGAGCCGCCAGGACTACGGCTAGATGATCGCATCGGCGACCCATCACTACCAGGAGATGAAAGTCCCGCAGGAGACGAATCTATTGCGTGCAACCTCGACGACGGATTAATGCTTCCTGGACTGCTTGTCCCGTCTAAGCTGATAACGGACTCCCTATCACTATTTGTGGCACCAAGACTTGCAGCACTACCAGAGACTCTCTTTTTCTTGTTTCTATCCTTCTTGGCAGATTTCTTCCTATTCGGATCACCATCATCACCCTTGTTCGCGCCAAAGTCTTTTCTATTTTTGTCCTTTTTCCCCATCCGCTCTTTCATCGCCTCTAGCTCCAATTTTGCGCGATAAGCATCAAGCTTCTCTTGCGAAAAAGGCTCCATGGACAGTCGCAGATAGATCTTTCCAGCTGGCAAATCTGCCGGCATCTTACTTCCGTCCGCGAAGGTTACACCCGCAACTTGCGTCTTAGTCGTGTGCGTCAGTGCTAGAGTGTCCGTGGTATGTGCAAATTAGAAGAAGGACCTTATTTTAGGTTAAATTTATTGTCCTCACAACTCGACGAGTAAGTTGCTTGGTGGAAGAAAAAATGTTTCTTAGGCCTTAGACTGAACGACATCATCAACATCATTCTCACTGCAATGAATTGTATCTGATCAAGGCAAAGTAGGAGCACACGCACAGGCTCAATTCCCTTCGAGCATTAAATTAAGATAACTTTTCAAACTCTAGCATGGTGCATAATGCAAAGTGTCCACAGGCCTCCTGAGTTCCAAGCATCCCTCGAACGGTTTTCGCGAGAAGCTTTCGAGTTGAATCTCACAGTGGCCCATGAAATCATCTCCTTGGTTCAAGCCGGTCGTAGAATCCGAATCAAAGATCGAGAAAGCTAGCATCTGCGTGTACATGTCCTCCTGCGCAGGAACTTTGAACTTGAACTCTTGTCGCCATTCTGGATCCTTGCGGTTGTTCTTCACTACTCTGGTGTCCATCTGCAACCAGTTGTCTTGCTCCTGGTAGACCTCCCTCGCCGCTTCGTCAAGCAACGACAACGATTCCAGGCCATGCGAGGCTCCACCACCAAAGTGGATCCGGACATAAGGGTCGCAAGTTCCTAAAAAATTCGGTTCGTAGATTTTGCGGGCGTACTTGACTACGCAAGTGAGCAATTGATCTCGGTAGGTCCGCTTGCGGCCTTGGACGCGATACACAGAAGGCAGTATCCTGTCCCAATCGGAAGGGAAAACACCAGACTCCGGAAGTTTCAACGCGTTCCTCTTCGACAAGGGAAGGGAGATTCGCACTTGTTCTCCATGGACATCGAAGAACTTCTCTACGTGGTTGAAGGCGAACTGCGCAAAGGAAGGAACAATAGGCAGATTGCAAAGGTGGAACATTGGACATCCAGTCTCTACAGCATTGTCCTCTATCGCACGTCTGGGAATTCCCTTTATCTCCTCGTCTTGCTTCAAAGAGACTGACTCCTCGAGGCCGAGTTCCTGCGGGGACGGGTGGAGGATGGTGTACTAAGTAAGTGTTGTACATTGGATGAATAGAGAAATCAGAGAAACGGAATCTACTCCTTGGCAAAAGTACTAGTAGCAGCATGAAAGATCCATCGTTGTGGAACCATTGTTGTATCCTATACATTTACATAGGAGTACCCTTTCCATCACTTCCCGTATGAATTCCAGATGCTTTGCGAAAGGCGGCAACTTTCCTCCTACTTGTCCGAAATACCATGCTTGCCTCACCTCTTTAGGAACGCGAACCTGTGGCCACCTATACCCGTACACTACTCTCCTCGCAAAAGGCGTCCTCCTATGCCATGGCTGGAGCTCGAACTTCAGGGATGGGTTAGAGAAAGACGTGAGGCTGCTGACACTAGAATTGAAAAACTCTTCTACAACTGTGAAGATCGTGTACGTGCTGATTACAAAAACCCTGCTCTAGGTAGTACTTAAGCTGCAAGCACATCAAGTAGTTTCAATGAAACTGAACAGAAAGATCACTTTCAACATGTCGTTGTAACTTTCACATTCATCCTCTTCTCGCTCGCATCTTGCCCATCAGTCCCGGTTGCTGGTCTACTAGTGTCTCCTCTAAACTCCTCCTCATCGACGAAGCCAGCCGTCACTTCGTCGAGGATCTGACTCGCCTTTCGTTTTACGCGCATTACGGCAGCTCGTGCACGAGCGGCTGGAAGTTAGAAGAAGATATTCACTCGTCTACGTATATTCTTGATTCTACGTCGTGGTGTCAAGAAGTTCAACCTTTAGTGCTTTATCTCTAAAGGGAAAGCTGCGAAACAGTCTAAAGCGTTCTAGTACCTGCTCTAGAAGCAGCTCTACTACCACGAGCACAACAACTTCTACTTTTTCATAATTTTCATCTGTCGTCAACTTTGCCTCTGCCTCTTCCTGCAAACGTTTTCGCTTCTTCTCCATGTCGCTTTTCTGTAGGTCTTTCACCAACGCCAATACCATCTGCATATACTTTTTCTCGCTCAGTTTCTGTTCCTGAGGTCGCACTACTGGTGGCCTATCAATGCTCCAAAGCTCGACAAAAACCGTTCCCGCATCCTCACCACTAGGGCGCGTAGCAGCAAGCTTATGCTGAAACGTGTCTGTCTCGGGATGGAATCTGAGAGATAGGGACGATCCGTGTTTGGTTCAAGTTGTGGTGCGTGAAGGTGGAGGTTGCTGGTTGGTGGAACGACTCACTGATGAGATGAAGTTGTGGTGAAGCCGGAGGTTGCAGCTGGTTGGTGGAACGAGGACCCACTGATGATCTTAGATAATAAAAAAAGCCAAAAACGCAGCTGTCACTATAATATAATCAAGCGATGAAATATTACAAGAACTAAAAATTCTAGTAGTAGACATAATACAATTACAAAGCTGAAAACCTCCAACATTATAGTATTACTTCCGCAAATCCGTGACCGCAATTGGTTCTTCTTTATCCTTGTCCCGCACAGCTAGGTTGACAATCGGTTGCGCCGCCTTCTCTTCATAGTCAAGTTCTACCCTGTCGTCAAACTGTGTCGGGTCATAGGGCAAATGGCAATCGTGTTCCCAGACTGGATTCGTCGTGTTCTTCAATATATTAGACGTTGCAACATTCATTGCATTCTTGTTAGTTTTGGTCATCATCTTCCTTGACTTCTTTCGTCCTATAATCACCCACTTAAAGATCATGTTCCTAAACCATAACCCCTACTGGAATAAAACAACAAGTCAAGGATCATGGTGGTCGTGTTGAAGAATGAAATGAATGTGGCAAGCCTTAAATATCGCTGTCTTCGCAACGAATGACGATCCCACTACCATTTCCACATACGGATTCGCCTCACCCGTGTAACGCGGATCGTAGACGCTCTCTCCCTTCTCGACGAACATCTGCAAAACACCGATGGGCAGAATTGAGACCTTGAGTTCGCCACACTCGTACTCGACTGGATTCATGTTGATCGTGGCGTTGGATCCTACTGGAGCCCGCTTGAAGAGTCTCAAAGAGCCGTCAAATCCGTGATGAAAGAAGCCGCGATGAACGAGCGCTTCTCCAAGCAAGATGTTGCCGCCTTCTACTTGGGGGCCTTGCTTCTCACCCTTTTGGTTTTGTTCTGCCAAAGCAGCTGTACTACTAGGATGACCTCCAGATCCACTAACAGCACTTGGATCTCGATCAAACACTTGGAATCGAACGTATTTGATATCGCTCTTGCACAAAACTTGTACTCGATCCCCCTTCGCGCCTCCCCATTGTGGTGTCCGCGAATCTTCGATCACTTTCGAACTATAGACTAGAACTTCAGGATCTCCCAAACCACTCCGCTTCTTCAGTTGGCTCGGCGTCAGAATGGTACTAGACTTGTCGTCCTCCGCTTTGCGTTCAATCGCCTCACGAACGGACTTTTCGCCGCCTTCACCGATGGAATAGTGGTCTTTACCAACGTAGATACGGACGAAAGGATCACAGGTCATTTTTGCAGACGTTGCGGCGCTTTGGAAGGTGAAGGAGGTGATAGAAGATGATCATAGGGTCGTTAGGGAGGTTTCATCGACATTGTTGTAGTTGTTGGGGTGGGTCCCTGATGGAGTGAAATATCCAAAGTGAGGGTACTACAGGATCGGGTAGACGACACTTGAGAGTCATAATATCAGCATTCTGTTCGACCGTTCCCATGCGATTAAACTGCGCATTCGCACCAATGTCCGAGCCTTTCTTTTCGTCTAAGTCTTTCGCACTCTTAATCGTGATTCTGAGACCGAAGTTCTCTGTTGTCATGTGTTTCTGAAAGTTGTCCACCGGTCTCGGGGGTTTTTTCCCTCCGCTTTGTTCCTGATTCCCACTTGTGTTAGAGTCAACCGCTACCCATACTCGACCCCTTTTCCTATGAATTATACATAGGGTAACATAGAGGCCTGCCCTAGTTGTCCCATGAAATACAGCAAGGGAAAAGGGTACCAAGATGCCGAGAAAGATGGAAAAAAGCTGAGGACCATAATTGTGAAGATCAAATTAGCTGGCGGTTCCTTGCTATTCGTCAAAGCCAAGTGGTTTCTCGCTTCCGCAACTTTTTCTTGTTCAAGCTTCAGCTTCTGGCGCTGTCGCTCCAATTCTTTCTCTTCCAACTCTCGCTTTTCCATTTGGACTTTCTGATGCGTCAACCGTCGGATCTTGCCGCCGAAATTAGACCCTAATTCTATTCATTGATTCCTCTTGAAGGGCAGCATCTTTCACGTGCTAGTGCTAGTGCTTCCCCCTCAATTATAAAGAAGGGGTCTGTGTCTGTCAGTCAAAGATGCGCCGTGGTAAGATGAATTACTTTCTAGGCCTTAACTAAACCACCGAAAAAGTTGCGGGAATAATCCACGCCTTGTGGAAACAGCCTGCCAGGCATACTCTCGGAACGGCCGGGGAAGCGGTGTGGATTAGAGGGTGAAGCCAGTGGTTAGGTTAGGTTATGGATCCTGCGCAACGAGCGCCACCGGCACCTGCTCGCTGAAGGTTGCATCTACACGATCACAGTCTATGGATTGAGTGGCGCTCCTTTCATCATGTATTGAATCGAAAGAAATCCCGAAGAAAAGCAGAAAAGCAATATCACAAAACCAAAACATCGCTTTCGGTTTACAAAATCAGACCTGCTCTTCCACTTTCACTTATAACTCTTCCACTTTCACTTATAATTCTTTACTAGTACTAGTATTTAATATTGAGAACCAGCACATCAAGCCGTAACAAACCGAATATCCGGAATGCGTCCTCGATTGAACTGGTCCGGTTTTTGCACTATGAATTGACATGCGGCGTGACCCGTTTGTTCCAGATCACCAGCCCCTAGTTTCGCCTTCGCGCCTTTTGCTACCGACTTTGCTAATGCTAGAGGTTACGGAATTACATTCCTCAGAACACTCCTGACTCATTTCCTACCAGCAAGAGTAGAGTCAGGGATTATATCAGTGAAGGATGTAATGTGGGAACCCTTAACAATGCGGAAAACTTTTTCTTCTTGATGAGGCTTCCCCCAACAGCCGTACTCTTGACCCATTTCAAGCTGGCCAGAGCCGGGAAGTCAGCACGAAGCTGCTCTCGAGAAGAGATACGAGATTTGTTGGCAACGTCTCCGTTTGAAATTAGAAGAGCGTGGTGGACTTGATTATGCTGTCGTAGACTCAGTAGACTTTCAGTACGTAGGGTACTTAATAAGATAGTCATTATCAGGCACAATCAAGAACGAAATCACCACTCACGACGAAGTTGAAGATCTTGTGAGTGATTCACCATTTTTGCCTTAACTTCTGCCCTGCTGCAACTTCTCCACTCAGAAAGCGCCTTTCCTCCTCCGTCGCTTGTCTCTGCAGTCTCTCAATGAGTTCTGGGGATGCAGCCAAACTATCCAAGGTCAACGGTGGCAGGCTTTGGGTCGTCTCTACTAACTCCTCTTCATTATCAAGGGAAATTTCTCTAGTAGCAGATCTAGATCCGAACAATGGTTTGGAACCGGTTCTCTGTCCAAGGTAGTTCCAAATCTCGTTGTTACTATTCACATCGACCTCCGGCAGTCCGTCCAAGCCGATCAGCTCTATTTTGACCGTGATTCTGCCTGGACATACTTCTTGCTGTCCTCGTTTCGCTAGTAGCAGTTCACCAGCGACGTTGCCCACAAAAGTGCGACATTCCCCGACACGTTAGAGCTCAAATAAACGCCTCACTTCTTTGGCCCATTTCTCAAGATCCTAAGAAGGACACAAGGAAAAATTACTCTTGAAAATGAATTACTTTCTTTGAGCCTTAAACACATTCTTCACTATGCAATGCATCGCCTCTCTGTAGTGGACTTCCCACTCCACGATCGCTTGTTCCAGATGTGTTTCTGGCAAATTCTACATGCTTATTTCCGAGAACATTTTTATCTGGCGAAGAAAGAGCTGCTCCTACTCCACCAGGAAGAGATGAACTCTTGTTCTTTTTCATTGCACTAACGCCTGCAGGTGGACTCTCTAGTACTGGACGTTGTACTTGTATGTCTTTATCCCAGACCTGCAATAAGAGCTCCTCTTCGCCTCTCCAAACCATGTCTCCTGTCCAATTCCAAGACGTGCTACAATCTTCTCCGTTCAGCACAGCACGTGGGGTTTTCATCTTGTAATCGACTCTGACCTCTACTGCAGTGTCTCTGGACTTCGAACGTGAACGCGAAAACTCCTTCGACGGTGAGCGACGTAAGCCTGCTGCTGGTCGTGCGCCCGGCAGTTCGCGGGACTGAGACGCTACTTGTACTTCATTTGATGTAGAGGTATTGCTATTGTAGTTAGGTGGACTGTTCGTACTGGTGTTTGTGCTCTTGTTATTTTTACCTCCTGCTGCGCCTCGTCCTCCAATCACGTTAGGCGATCGACCGGATGATTGTGTCATACTATTCTGTCGACTGAGTCCATCTCCCCTACGAGAAGCAGTGCTGACTTCACGACTACCTTTGGGACTGTTCCCACTTGGAGGTGAGGGAGAGGCTTCCCTTGACGAAGGTGCCGCAGCACCAACTACGAGACTTTGTGACCACGCAGTTGCTGCGTCTTTAGACATGATAAGGCGTCTGAAACCTCGCCAATCCGTATCGTCCTGCAACAAACCGCAACCATGAAGACGTCTTGCCGTTTTCGTCGCTCGACTAGCCTCCTCAAAAGACTCGAGATTGGCTCGCTCTTGCCGCAAGAAGACTTTCACGAATGGTTGCGGCAGCTTTGCCTTCGAAGATGGGGACGGGCGCTTGATTGTTAGAGGGTGAGGGAGAAAAAAAAGACCGAAGACAAAGGGGATGACGACCTATGACACTTTATGTCTGCTTCGTTGTTCTCTCGGAGTGACGCCGCGTCCTTCCGCGTTATCAACTCGTCCTGGTACATATTACAACTATCTATATTTATATTCTTGATCATGAACGTCTCTATTTTTTTAGTAGATGCCCAAGTTTCTCTGAATACGGCCACGGCCAGAGAGTGGTGGTCTAGCAATAGCTTACAAACAAGTTCTTCAAAAATCAGTCGTAACTTCAACCCTCCACCAGCTATCGCCGATAAAGTTGCACTGTTCGCACTGCTTGGACTTTTGATGATGTCCAAGTCGTCTCCTGAAGCGTCCTCCTCTCCGATCCCACCCTTCGACGTCCTAGAACCGAATAAACTCGGATCAGCCCAGGAGGGGTCGTAGAGTTCCTCAGCTTTCGAGACTGTAACACGAGCAACCTTTTTTGGCGCGACCGCGATGTGAAGTTTAGGCTGCATCGACAACCCAGTTTCGCCTACTTTCAGATTAGAGCTGGGTAAGTTGTAGCATGGTTGGAGGATGGTTGTGCTGTACTACATGTCGAACATCGTACGTTGGTGAAAACAAGATCAAAAGTTAAAAACATCACTCGAAAAATCTTCTATCAGAAGTGTGCCTCCGATGTGATCACTCGAATCTTCTACTTCCAACAAACTATTCGATAAACTGAAATAAGCAAGTAACTAGTTAGAATAACCGAAATCGAGAAAGAAGAGCAGAGTGGTGATTCCCTACTTATTTCAGTCAGTAACTCGGTTATTTCCAGTTGTTTTCGATTACCTCAAGAATCACTTCCACCAAACTAAGCCGTAATAGCTCTAGCTTCGTCTGCTGTAACAGCTCGCAGGATTTTCTCTAGCGTCGGATCCTTCAGGGAGATTTCTCCGTCGTAGCCGTGCTGGAAAGCAGGCGCCTTCAGTTTCGCCTCGCCTAGCAACTCGTCTCCGCCTATTGGATCATGATCGTAGACTTGAAATAAGATCTCCTGTTCTCCGTCGTAGAGGAAATCGAATTCCGCGTTCCATTCCGGATCTAAGGCGTTTTTGGTGACAATATGCGTGCGTTGCTGCTTTCTGAGACGAGCACGAGTGCCTCCCATGCGACCGCGATTGTTGACCACGGTTTTCTTGCTCGACGTAGTAGATCCATGTTGGGCATCATTGGAAGCAGCGTCATTGCTATTTTCACTAGGTCGTGGCGACTGCAGAGAAGAGGGCGTCATAGCCCCTCCACTGCGCGGTGAAGAAGCAACAGGGCTTGGTGGAACAAGACCTAGTTTACCACTGCCTGAAGCATTCAGGCCCACACCAAGAAGTTTCCCAAACCCTCCTCCTGGCGATAAACCTAGTGGCATTCCTCCACTTGGACTTGGTGAAAATGTCAGACCACTGGGACTAGAACCACTTCCCTCATTCTTGTTCTTTTTACCACTTGCAATTTCCACATCGCGTGGGCTAACCAAAGGCAGGCCTCCCCCTCCGATGCCTCCTCCACCCCTTACCGATGGTTTCTGTCTATTGCGTGCAGGCAAAAGCGTCACGACAACGTAGGGGTCTGGCATGTCGAAAGCACTAGTATCTCTAAGATTCCGCGCACTTCTAACCAAGATACTTATCCCTGGCCAAGGCAGCTTCACTACGCCTTTTTCTCCATCATGGTCTTCGTCCGCGAAGCTGCCGACCGGTAATGCAAGCCGGTTTTTAGAGGAGGAGGAACAATGCTCGACTCTTGCGATAGAAGACTTCGAACTAGTACATAGAGGATTTCTACTTTGCAAAAAATTCCCGATCCATAAATTTCGGTAGTTTCGCTTCTTGGATTGTTTCCGGGAGCAAGCCTTTCGACAACATCAGAGCTCTTGACATCGCCTGAAATTGCATTTCCTCATTCACTAGGACGTTTAGTTTCGTCGCCACTCTTCCATGAACACGTCTTCCGATACTGTTCTGCCCATAGAAACTGTCAAAATCTGCAGCCCGATTCCCGCTACCCTTGTCCTCGCCACGGTTGTACAAATTGCCCAAGCGGCCCATCGTCTTCCCACGAGGACTGAGACCGAACCTCTGTACGCTCCAGTGAGATTTGATGAAGTCGCGCTGTGCGTGTACTAGTTTTGCAGAAAAACGCTTCATTCCGCTTAAATGAGCTCTGTCAACGACCAATCTTTGGCGACGCGCGTCCCACGCATAGACTTTCTTCTTCACCACAGCCGCATTGTCGGACAGCTGCGGCAGTAAGCTTCCGCCGGGCATTAGCGCGGCGCGCAATAATTCATCTTCGAAGAACTTTTTAGTTGATAGTCTCAGAATCCCAGAAGGTGGAAACCACGCCAACTGAGAAGGAAACAACTGAGAGAACAAATGAACTATCTGTAGTGCAGAACGAGAAGTTTGATCGTTTAAATCATGAGCCTTAATAGCATGTGCGGACGCTGCCTCAGCACTTTCACAACAGTCGAGACCACTTGATCAGCAACCACCGGTCCAGGTTTCAAATCCACGAAGGCCAGCATACCTCTAAGCCGTTCTTTCGAACACACGTGACCGTAGTGCCAATAGGAATGATTGCTAATCGGTGGCAGTCTGAAATTCTTGCACAGAACAATGTTGCTATCATCTCCCTCGTCGTCTTCTCTCCGCCACAGCATGAACCTCGCGAAGGCCCAAGGGTCACTAGCGTCTAGTTCAAACTCTGGATTTCGATAGTTTGTGGAAGAAATGACCGTACTAGTATTCCCGATCGTGGGAATCGTGATTAAGGTTCCGTTCAGCGTATTCAGCAATGAATCCTGCGAAGAAGAATTGATCGTGCCACCAGCTGCTTGAGCTGCTGCGGCTGCTGCGTTTGTTAGAGAAGAGAATGAGAAGTCATATTAATAGAGTAAGAGTAAGATTCAACAGTCATGATAAGTTTATTTTCTTTGTTTTTCATCGAGAAACAGAAATCGGTCGTCGTCCCACTGATTAATTTCACCAGATGTTCTTGTTTGGGCTCTCTAACAAACAATAAAGAGCCCATCCAGAAAATGAAAAATCTCATGTGCTGCTAGATCTGCATCTAGATTCTTAGAATCGAATATGGACGTTCGACAAGAATAAGAAACTACCTACTTGCAACCTAGATGCCTGCATAAATTAGAAGGCGAAAGCCCTCCACCAGCGTTGCCACCCAAACCGTTTGTGCTACCGGCAACGGTGCTGGCAGGATTCATCCCCGTGTTTGTCGCGTTAGTGTTGTTTACCAGCTTTTGGTCCTTGCTGATACCGAAAAATGTCTTCGGAACAGATTCTTTGCCACGATTAAAAACATTGGCTGAACTATGAATTGGTTAGAGGTCGTTTTTCACTATCCCTGCTGGTCGAGTGAGTTGCCCTTTGATTTCTCGTTATATTTTCCCCTTCAAATGGTCAGGCGGAACTTCACGACTGAGCAACAGCACAGTCCACGACATGGGTGGATAGTGATAAACTAGACCCTTAAATTGGAGACATCATATTCCCGCCACCACCACTGCCCATTGGTGTGGGCATTCCAGAACCACCTGGCGCCATCATGTTCGACATCATCAGCGAATTGTTACCACCACCCCCACCGCTGCTGAGGAGCATCGTGACGCCGCTCGGAGATACAACGCTTACCATTGCGCCTTGATCATGCTTAGCGCTCTCTGGGAAAACTACGGAGGTATGGAGATCCGAATACGGGGTAGGGTAGGTTGTAGAGGTACTTTAGGGGTAGGGGTACTACTTGTACATGGATTTTATGAAAAGCGACTTTGACTTCTACCTCAGGTACGAGTGGACCAGATCTCAAAAATGTATCGATCTAGAAAAAGAAGAATAAAAAACAAAAAATTATATGATCGCCATAACATTTCTCGGCGGCGCAACGCCTCCTGGCAAGCCTCGTCTGCCTTGCAACTTCATGATTTTGTGCTCAATCGAAGCGATCTGAGGATTCCCCCAACTCTCGATCCCCGCTAAATCACACCAGTGGATCACCGACATGTGATCTCTGGCAATCTGGAAGTCCACGCCTCGTACCCAGACACCCTGATGCCGCAAAGCAAATCGAAATGGTTGAGCCCGCGATCCGTTCAACTGGGGCCAGAAAAGTAGTGGACTCTTCGTTTTCACTGCCGTCGGCATGAACTCTGGTGGTTTTTCCTCATCAAGGAGTTTCAGTCGTGCACCACTTCCTGCTGATCCTGGTCGCCTATTTTCGGTTTCTCGTGCTTCTATTAGACCTTCGCGATATTCATCTTGGAAGTCATCTTTCGCGTGTACTCCCCTTGAAATCGTGTCCGAAGATGCCTCCTGAGATGAATTACGGCAGGCCTTAACTTTACCCTTCTCGCCATCCAACGATCGTATGCAGCTTGCTTTTCCTCTGCCTCTGTGCGTTCGAATTCAAACAATTTCCGCATCCGTTCTCGAAACTTACGCACATTGCTCACTGTGGGTCGTTGCCATGGATAGACGCCTCTAGTGCCCACGATTAGAGGACAAGCTCGAAACGTTTCATTCCTTGAAGAGGAATTTTCTCGCAATGATCCCGAGAAGAAAACCGTGAAAAATGAGAGTGACTTGTTGTAGACATCATTAAATACTTAAGAAGTATCTATATTGAGTCTTAACAAGATTCCATTCGTCTCCAGACGACCTCCAGGCCCAACAGAATGCGCTTTGCGACGAAAACGCTTCTCCTGCCGAATGTAGGTCTTGACGAGTTCTTTATCAGCATTATTAGAACAGTATACAACTACAGGAGGCGCATCGTCCCTAGTAGCATGATCCTAATCCTACTTGGCCTAGCGGCAATCATTCATTCTAGTTGAAAAAGAAGCCAAGGAAAATTGAGAAATGAGAATGCAGCACACGCTGAGCCAACCAGGCTCATGGCGTTGGATTGGATAGGAATGGGATACATGCGATAGGATAGGATACATGATACGATAGGATAGGATGCATACGATAAAATACATAGGATACTTACATACGATACGATAGGCATAGGATAGGGACAACTTACTAATACGTTGAGTATGCACGAAATAAATACAGTGACTCCTGTATTGCCTTAAGATCACGAGTACCCGGAGAGATGACAATGCCGTGCTTTCGCTGCTTCGTAAGCAATTCCTCTGTCTTCTCAAACGTGCGCATCGCCTGAGGATGCTCTTCGTGAATGGGCTGGGGTGATTAGACCATCAATTCATGATCCTTACAATTTGAAGTGAGGTGAAAAGAATCAAAGAAAAACTAGAGAGATGCACAGTGCTGCAGGAGTCAAAAGAATCACGAAGAAGCAGTTTCAGTTGCCAGTCGTGTCACCTACGATGAAGATCCAAATGAAATCGGCATCGATCACATGATCATGAAGCAACTAGAACAACAAGCCATAAAGCAAAGCATCATTGGTCGCTCGTTGGACGTAGTGCCCGTCTTGCGGGGAGTGGGGTGGTGAGTACGGAGACCGAGGTGAGCCATCGCTGAGCAGGGGCATCAAGCCATCTGGATCTGCCTGTGCTGTCGAGCCAGCGGCAGTGTCCTGATTGGTTTTAAGAGACCACATGAGTGCTGAACGGGAGTAAAAGGAGGCAGTTGCATAGAAAAATAAGAAAGAAGGGTCCGCAGTTCTATTCTCAAAGATCACAACACTGACGAGATTGTAGTACCTCTTGCGACAGCTTCGATCCTTGTTTTCTCAGTCGCACTGATGAGGAGGCCTGTGCGTGTGCTGTTTCCGGGTCGGACTCGGTTACTGCGTCTTCCTCTTCGTGCTTCTTTTTATTCCGCTTCACGAAGTGCGAGAGAGCTTTCTGTGCTACCTGAGGTTCCATTTCCATTGTGTATTGCGCATCTAATTCGATCTCAGTCTGGATGACGCCCTTGTTCTTCATCTTATCCTTCTTGCTTCGGACCGCGGCTTTTCTTTCTGGTGCTAGTTGGAGAGTACCTGTGGATCAAGTTCAAGAATCCTTCTAGCATTCTCAAGATTGGATATTCGTTATAGGTCCTGTACCTTCTAGCATTCTCGTGGTCAAGATTGGATATTCGTTATAGGTCCTGTAGTGATTCACCATGCTAAGAATGAACCGAGTAGATGAGTAAGCTAAAGACAGTCAGTAGAGAATACCTAGACGTTTCGTCTAGGAACGAACTAAAATTTTATTTTCTCGACAACTCAACACAACTCCAAGAAGTATTAAATAGTTTCTACCCGCTTCGTCTCTCAATGGGTTCCACCCCATAGACCGGAAGAAGCTGCGCTTTTTGTACAAGTGCGTCCTCAGTTTCTGCGTGACTTGATGTCGCAAACGATACTTGCGGATCACCCTATGCGGCGGTCTCTCCAAAACCTTATCCTCTTCGTCCATCGCCTTCCTCACGTAGTACTTCGCAACGAAAGGCGTCAAGCTGCTCCGAAGTTTAGAGGTTTGAGGACAGATGAACCTAACTAAACCGAGGTGTACCAGAAGGTGCCGTCCTTCTATAATACGTTAGCAGGTGGATCCTACTTACACCTCCTGTAGTACACCTCTAATAGTGCGTGTAGGAGGAAATAGAGGAATTCTCATTAGGGCTTAGGGCTTTATGTCGAGGTTGTCTTGGAGTAGTGGGCAGACGATGACGATGTACTTAAGTATTTTGCATTCAGGGAAGTTTCTTTGGCTTCTCTACTCCTGCTTCCTCTACAAAAAATCCTCTACAAAAATGGATTGAAAGCGAGTAAGGCGAGTCTAGTTTTGCACGTGGTGTTTGATTATTCGCTGTCACAATGTAAAAACATAAGCTGTTTTGTTTCGTCTTGCGGGACGATCATTGCACGTTCTGCTTTTTGCACCCAGGCTGACCCTCGTTCTAGCTCGTGCGTTCTTACGTTAGAGTGTCAGCTTTTATCCATCTCGGTCCCCTCATCTTGATCCCTCATCTCCCATCAGATACAAAGAAAAAAAAGGGAGCAAGATGCCGAGAAAGATGGTGATGGATAAAAGCTGAACATAATTACGGAAGCTTTCATGTCTTTCAACGCTTTTTTACCGTGTATCGACAAAGCGAAATGGAAGGTTAGAGGAAAGTGTGTGTAGGAGAACAGTCTAAGTAAGTGCGTGTAGGAGGAATGTCTAAGTGCGTGAACTAACTTCGAGTTCGAGTCGTAGATGTATATTTACCTTTTTTATGGAAATAAGTTTCTAGAGATCGAACTAGGAGTTGTATTAAAAAAACAGATACTTGTTAGAGCAAGAAACCAGCAACAGCAAGTGCAAACTCGAACGAAAAAATAAAATAATACTTCCTTTCTGAGATATTAATGAAAATAATTTCATACCAGGTGTCTCCTGTCCAACTCTGTCTTTGTCCCGTCTTCATCATCAATTCGCATACCAGAAATGCGCCCATTTGACTGACGAAGCATGTTGGACATCAAGATTCCTGCCTTACGCACCGACAAGATCTGGTTGGGTTAGAGCTCAAACAATTCATTTCTTGTTCCCTTCATTTACTTCTCTCACAAGAAGTGTCCTAAGTCGTGTATTCTTTGAAAGTAACTATTCTACCTACCAAATTATTTCTACTCATGATCTTGGGATTATCTGGAATCGTAAGCCTAAGAAGGAAATAGGGAAAAATGCAAATGATTTGTATTGGGCCTTAATTAGGATGCGGGTCCAGACCTATCTCCTGATCTGCTAACGTATGTCGCGAGGAATACCTCGAAAAGCGGCGTCGTCGGTCCAGACGAGACTCTATAGTAGTCAGCTTGCCCTAATGAAGATGATGTGTTGAGAGAGGTGTGCGCCAGGTGGTGTAGGTTGGTTAGGTTAGGTTGTGAATCCTGCACATCGAAGCCCTACGGCACCTTTCTAGGTTATGGGATAGCTTGATTACAGGAGAATTTCCTATACAAGCGAAATTACGAGAGGATTTGTTCTACGAAAATGTATTTGCATGCAGGCTGGCACATGAGTTATTATTATAGCAGACTCTGGATGAAGATTACAAGTATCAAAGCACCAAAGCAGACTCGTTGACGAGTGCCAAGCATCATTCAAAGCACCCTGAAGAAACTTCTTGTTGAGTTTATTCTAGCAGACTCGTTGACGAATGCCAAGCATCATTCAAAGCACCCTAAAGAAACAGAAACGTCTTCATCAATAGTTGTACCTTCTTCCCCTTCTTACTTTTCTTGATGATCTTGCCTCTGTCCTCGTCGACAATGCCTTGCTCAACGAATTCTGCCGCCAATGCTGTAGAATCGTAACCGCGCCACGCAGTCCCATCGAAGAAAAAGTTCCGCAGAATCAACAGTTTCCCACTAATCGCTTCCTTGGTTTTTTCCTCTACAGATTAGAGACGAGAAGTGGGAAATTACACTCTAGAAATTACACTCTAGAAGATCGACGACCCTATCGATCGTCCCACCTACATTGATTCAGATGAAGTCGAAGAGATCAAATGAAAAATCGGATCCCTACAACAGATTCCGGTATTAAAGTTGTCACAGATGAAGTCGAAGAGAACTTCAAATGATAGACTACAGTACAATGTGACGAGTTCGCTTTCCATAATCTTGTTTCCTCTTCAGGTCTGCTGCTGCTTGTTTCTCGACGGCTGCGTAAGCGATGTTAGCCTCTAGAATTTCTCGATCCCTAATGAACTTCCTCACTTCTTCTTCCTTGCTTAGGCCTCCTGCCTCTGCAGCACGTTCATCCGCTGACCCGGCGAATGTTAGAGACTCGCCTGAAACCATTTCAATATAAGTGGTCTTTTGGAAACCATAACAAGTTTAAGTCTTTTGGAGACTCGCCTGAAAGCATAACAAGTTGAATAGAAGTCTTTTGGAAACGGTATGAATGAGGTAAGCAGTAAGAGAACGAAAATGAGGTAAATAGTAGGAGATTGATTTGTTCCTGTTCCGGATCATTCTCATTGAGAAAAGAGATATTAACGACTAACATTATAATAATATTGGTAGAGCTGACCTAACTACTAGGGGAGATAGAAAAAGTTTACTTGTATTGTTTTAGCAAGTTTTTATAAGTAATATATGCTAGTGGCCATGTGAATTAGGATCCGTCTATTCTGGGCGCCGCGTGTCGTCCAACTGCCCTGGAGGTCTTCTCATCTAAGGCGGCCTCTGCGTCTGCACACTCTCTCACATTATAATAATACTGGTGAAGCACGTCTAACTAGGAAACAAAAATACATAAAATAATGATTTTTCCATCATCAACATAATTTCTGTTTCGCGAACATGAGTTCTGTAACCTTATATATAATGATTTTTCCATGATCACAACATAATTTCTGTTTCGCGAACATGAGTTCTGGATTGAAAGGTATCAACTTCCCGTGTCGAAAAACCGCACGGAAAGCGGATATCCCACTACTTTTCGCCTCACTGTCACGAGCATCCCCGCCCAGAAGCAAGCCCTGCAACTCACCAGACCTACAGGAACTGTAGATTTGATACACGATGACCACGCCTAGGAATAAGCCGCCACAGGGTTTAGAGGTGGTAAAAGTAGCTCCTCCTGCTCCTTACAATTATAATTCGAGGATTCGTTTTCGTCCTGCTAAGATTGACTATTCAATTCGTTCTAGGAGTCCTTACAAGAATGCAGTCTTCTGCTGATCTTCTCAAAGTAGTCCCCCTCTCCGGAAAGGTCTAAATGAATTAGAATTGAGAAATTGAAATATCCGAGCGCGCTAGGGAATAATATAATCTCACAGATACTCGGCTATTGTTTTGGTTACTCGCTTATTGCAAGATTTCGAGTAATTGAGAAAGCAAAAAAGCTGTACAAGAACTTACTAAAAATGGAAATCAACAACGAACTTGAAGAGCCTTAACAAGCAAATGGGGATCAGAGCCTTATCAACAGGTACTTACTAAAAATGGGGATCAGAGCCTTAACAAGCAAGAAAGTGCCACTACTGCCTTCTCCCTCTCCATCGTCTTTCCCTGTTATCCGAAACTGAGGTGGACTCGTCGCCCACTCGTATGGGACGCCGTTGATCTCATACACCGCGACCACATCGCCTTCGTCTATTTTGCTGATAAACCGAAACCCGACCGCAGGCTGATAAAGCAAACAGTTCTGCTTCGATGTCGGAACGAGCTGCATTTCAGCACTTCCAGCTGCTACTGGCATGCTGATGAAGCTCTGGTACTGAAAGCCAGCCGGTCTCTCGCGAAAATATTTCAGACCATGGTCAATAGTAGCCTTACGGCAATCTTGGTAGGAGTCCACGTCTAATTAGAGCTCCTCATCTCCGTAATTTACCTTTCTACTGGTGCATCCTTGAAGAGTAAATAGCACGAGAATAGTACCTACTCGCGCATACTTGATTTCAAGGAAAAGGATACACAAGAAAAAGGTGAATTAGCTAGTACAGCCTTAATCTAACACAGCGATTTCCACGTATTTATCCACAATTTTGTCGTGGATAGGAAAGATTAGAGCTCAGAGACTTCTCCAGAAGAACCTACTCTCCAGGTTGGGGTAGCATACCCAAAAAACAGAGAGATATCACAACAAAACGTAAACCCTAGTTAACTACTTTGTCTAAATTAATGTGGAGAACAAGAAAAGGGCCTTGGCGTCAAGACGCTAAGTTTTTCCCGTCTTTTGGCTTGTGTTGATAATTCAGACTCAACCTCATCATTCACTCATTCATTTACCTACTCAATAACCATCATTCAGTCATTCTCATTTGCCGAGGAGTTCCAGCCATAATAGAAACACTGTATCGTTGCAGTGTGTGTTGAAGTTAGACCTTATACCAAAATTCATCTTGGTGCGCATCTTTGACCTATTTTTCCCCTATGAAGCGCGTCCAAGATGCCTCATCTCAAGATGAACACATGTAAGCCGTAATGAAGCTGATCGTCAGATCGTTGGGGTTGCAGTACATCCCAATAGTTCCATCGAAATCGGGATGCACATCCGAGCAATCCATTCCCTCGTCGTTCAGCTCTTCGTAGGGAACTAGAGAAATGAAAGGGATGATCAACTAGAGAACAAGTATAAAAGTAGAAGTATATCCTCTGACCTACAACGTACTAGAGAAGTAAGTAGCTGCACAACTACGAGAGAAGTAGCTGCACAACTACGAGAGAAGTAGCTTCTAGTCCGAATTCCTGCTAGTTCAGCTTTTCTACGAAGTTTTCCTTGTTAAAATCAAATCCAAAATTTCAACAAAATATACATTGCCAACAGGTACTGTAAATGTTGTGAAGCATAAAAAACGGTCTAACCGTCGTCGCATTGCGTGTGATGACCTCACCTGCCAGATTGATCGTTGACATCTGTTGCGCTTCCTGCGTTCCGCGAACTTGCGTCAGACACAGTTCAGGAACAGGATAAACTGCTAGAGAAGCACAGTAATCGAAGCGGAGCAGTCATTAACGCTGGGCTAGTGTTTTTTCACTACAAGAAGGATAGAGATTGAGCTTGAGTGAAGGAGTTGTGATCAAAAAGTGTGAGTGATTAATAGGTTGAGTCAACAAGATGTGCTGCCGTGTGGTCGTTGAGTGATAAGTGTGTCCGATGTAGTGTGCCCCTGCTATGTTTCCCCTTGTTGAAATCAAGCAAGGGGACTTCAGCTTCACTCAGCATGCTGATAGATACTTACTTACTTCACACGGGGGGATCGATTATATTAGTTGTGATACATATAATATAAGTAGCCTTAAAGTGGGTTCGAGGTAAAGCACCAGATAGCATTGGAGCCACCTTTTTCTGCGCTACCAGGATTACGCCCGTCTGGGTTTCGGCAATAGTTCAGCTCTAAGGGTATCGACTGCAACAATTCTCCCGCATATTGGACGTCAGCGTCAAAGTTGGTAACTCCAAATTCACTCGGCGCATTAGGGGACGCTGTCGTTGGCCCTCCTAAATACGTCTCTGGTGCCATCGTTAGAGGAGTTCACCTTCATCCATCTACTTCCTGTTTTTCCCCTTAGTTACGGAGATGCCCTTTTTGCCTCATCTCAAGGTATAATTAACATTATTAAAAACTGTTAGTTTTTTACACAAACAAAGTATGAACAAAACAAAGTTTAAGTTGTTATACTTTGAAGAGTTAACTTATTGCTCTGAGATACTGACTACTTCGCTGTGGAGATGATGGATTTTTAGGTCTTAACATTGTAGTACTGCCACGTCGCGCTTCTTCCCTAGCAGCGAGCTCCGCTTGAGCGTATGGGTTTAAATCGTTGAACCCCCTCAAATCCTTCAAGGGATCCGTTGTCAGGTAGGTGGAAGAGGCAAAAGGATGTAAGTGCGGCACTATTTGTTCCCACGTTTGGCACCTTAGGCCCGTCGTCGTCTGGTACTGGCATCCGGCGTAATTATCGTACGCGATTAGAACCGTCCGCAATTCATCATCTCTCAAGAAGTGGTGCTGCATCCCTGCAAAGTAGGGACGAGGAGTGGCCCGCGGAAGTAAGTACTCCCTCATGCTTCTCAGTCAATCAATCAATCAATCTATCAGTCAATCAATCAGGGTGCCGCTACAGGGCACCTTTTTTTTTTGTTTGTAGTCCGAGAACGCCGAGAGGGTGATCCCAGTGTTGTCCGGTGTACCTGCCGGCGACGCGTGGAGTGCATTAACCTCCTTATACTACCGCGCACTAATTGCCTAGGGACCCGTCGATTATAAAATGGCCGACTAATTGCCTACGAACCCGCCGTTTATAAAATTTGCCTACGACCAACCTCCCCGCAGCTGCGACTGCCGCACCTCTAACGCCCGTAGACGATTCTCAAAGGTGCTTCTCAAAGAGGACGGCACCTCTACGTCCGTAGACGATTCTCAAGGAAGGATGCTTCTCAAACAAAGAGGACGACTTAGTGAGAGCCTTAACGTGAAGTCTTCGACGCACTCCTTCTTCTCCCATTTGGACTTGATGAAAACTAGGCCATCCGTATTGTTGTATTCCAACAGATTCGGCATCCGCCCAAAGCGTAAATTGTGATGGAGTGCAGCGTTCAGAGCCTGAATTAGAGTCTGTCATAAGGAAAAATAGTCTTGAAGGGGACGTTGAAGCAGCAAATGTACAACCAAGTCGAGCATCAACTAGAGGAGCTAGGTGAATAGCTTTGTTCTTAAAGATCACCTTGGCGAGCCGGTGTGATCCAAAGAAGTTACTTAATCAAAAATCAATGACCTCGCCCCACGGAGATCATGCCTATAAATTGATACTTGTTAATCTATTGAGACTAACCACACAGATCATGATTAGATACTTGCTAATCTATTGAGAATAAACCTCACGAAGACAAGCACAACAGGAACAGTAATTGCAAGACACTAAGTTAGTCTATTGAGCTGAGGAGAGACGCGCTTAACCACAGAGGACGAGATTCTATTGAGTATAAACGCAGATGAGGAGATCGAGATACGCTCTTAACTGCAGGTTGTTCGCCGTCAAGCCGTTCAAAGTATCAAGAAAGTCCCTTTCTTGAGCTGCGTTGCGCCAAGGTGAAGGCAGATACACCATGGCTCTGGTCCGGTTAAATTCGCAACTGGTCACTTGCAATCCAACGGTTTGATTCGGCATTTAGGATTAGACGAGTCATTCAAATTCAATAGTACAGGGTAGGACAGTTGTTTGGTTGTAGGAATAGTTAGCACAGTGTAGGACAGTTGTTTGGTTCGGCATTTAGGATTAAAAAACGAGCGTAAAACAAGTAAAAGCTCCTGCTTCTGCTTGCAACCAATTGAAACGGAAGGTCATCTTTCTCTTCTTTTCATGCTTCTTTTCTTTCAAAAATTTCCTTAGCACACCAGAAACAGAAGGAGATAATCTTTAGTGGAAATGCGACATCATCAAGCGAAAAAAGGTCGCTTCTCTCTGATTGAAACATGGGTGTTTGTCGTGTGAGCCGTAATGTAATGCGAATTGCAAAGAGTGTTTCATTTCCACACTGAGATCGATGTGCATGGGGAGTATGAGCTTCGGGTCCAATCTCGCTATGGGCGCCATTTCCGGATAATGCTCGTATCCATTACAAATAAAACGCGTCGCAAATTAGCGCTCATTTAATCTGGAAGATTCATCTCTTGGAGGTTAGCTCAAAATCCTGATTGACTACTCAGATGCCTAATCAGTATCTATAACTCATGGAGGGAAGTTAGAGTAGAATAAGGGTTCTTCTACGAGGAAAAAACTAAAAGGTACTACTCAGTATCTATTTACTTAAACTTATTCTTATACATTCATAGCGAAGAGGAGGGAAATATAACTACGGACATAGAGACTACGCTGTAAAGATCATGTTGAATCAATTACTACAACAAAGACTGTATATATAATATAGCGTCGAACGGGATTACTTACTCTACTTCGCCGTAATCAAATTCAGCCCAGACGATGGGGAATTCTCGCTGAACTTCGTAGCGACCTGGAGAATAGAGGAGATCCAGGTCGACCCTATCGAACCACCAACTTCTCAACGGAGCGCGCATGCGATCCAACGGCCACGATATATCTGTGGTTCTCGCTCGTCTTAGAGTTGGGGTTCTAGAGTTCTAGAAGACAGAGCACCGCTAGTTGTTCTAGAGTTGGTTTTCTGCTAGTTTTTAAACCAAATATTATAGTATACAAAATCAAAAACTTTTTCACTAAAAAATTTTTCATGTTCTTCTGATGAAGAATAGAGGTAGGTTTTTGGTGTTCGCTCACCCCGCTTGTTATGCCTTTCTCCCTTAGAAGAGGCATAAAAAGCGGTAAGAAAAGCACCTTTAAACTATTCAAATTCTGAATAAGTATTTCCATAAGAGAAGTTGCAGGTTAATTTGCTGGGCAGCTGTGACGCATCCGGCTACTTGTCCGCTAGTAACATCTACGAGGCGACCCTCTCGACAGATGGCTTTTTCAGGCGGCGCCGGAAACGGAACATATCCAGCTTGAGTATTGCACACCAAGGCAAATTAGACCTCTCCCCAATTCATCCCCGTGGAAATCCCTCAAGCGTATGGATGCGTCAGTATTCCACTTGTATTAGGGCGCATACTGTCCTTGAGGGATCGTCCCTATAGAAGAGATGGATTAGCGGAAGCCTTAAGTACAAGTTCCGCCTTCCGCTATCGAGATGCCCTCCACGCATGGCTTTGCGTGGAAATATCGCGAATCGTCTGGTTCGGCAGGGTAGCAGGCTTCGACTGGAGTTCGGGGGTTAGAGCACGCGCGACTAAAAATATCTGCTTACTGTGAATGTGGCCTGCATCTTCCACTACGAATGTGGTCTACGTCTTTACTGGGAATGTCTACATCCTGTTACTATGAGTCTGTCTACATCTTTACTGGGAGTGCCTACATCACCTTGAATAGTGTCCACGTCTTTACTCATAATCAGTCAGTGTCTACATTCATGCGCGTCTACATCGTCTTGACTCCTATGAGTCGTGTCTACATCTACTATGGGTCGTGTCTACATTCACGTTTGGAGTTCACTACTCATGCTCCATTGTTCTGCCACGTCTACGATGAGTCGTGGCCACATTCAATCACGTACAAAACCATACTCAGTGCGGTGCAACGTCATATTATCTGCTGTTTTGTTCAAAGGGATAAGCTTAAGAATAGAGGAAAAACTAACCGCTTGCTTCAGCATAATATCCGCATTCACTGTCTTCCGGTAGCACTCTGTACTCAGGATACCATCGCCTCTCTCCGGTCTAGACGCTGGGTCCGCGAAGTAGGTCCATGGAGGAACGGCTAATGTGGTTGCTTTCTCCAAATTCGGGCCATAGATCTCGCACTCGGCACGCAGCGACATTAGAGTGTGTGTGTCATCGTCATGTAGTGTGTGCCCCTGATAAATATTATGGGGAACAATGGGATGGGAATTTGCTCGCCTCGAGGAGGTAAGCATTCACGACTATGAAAACGGCGAAACTGATTTCCTCAGTATCTTTCCTTGTATTTCACAGGTCCCCTCTGAAATCATGTCGAGCAGCCCCTTTTTTCTTGTGAGCAGCATTGAATAGAAAAGCGATATCATGAGTCCCCTCAAGTCGTCTTCTACAAGATGAGACGACCATAACGACAGCTGCAGACCAAATCCTGTACATGTTTCGGTTTGTATGCACAACGAGGCGCATTCTGCTTCCCCGGATACCGTTTTTTTCTTACGTTTTGGTTAGAGCTCGTCGACACTGAGTACTTGTTGATTCTGTGGTCGGACTGTAGAAAAATGAAGTCTTGGCCATGGTCATGCACTTCATGCCTAACCCTCCCTGGTCAAGGCTGCTGGAAAGAGGACTAATCGTTAACTAGTTAGTACTGGACGAGGATTTGAATATCAAAAATAAAGCACTGCTGTGAGAGAAACGCACTTTTACATTCACATAGAAGTAGACCACGAAGATTTCCAAGGAACGAGAAGTACTAGCCTTAATCTAAACCCAAGTTGAGATTCCTGCACCATCCGGTACCCAAGTACTCGAAGGCCTGGTAGTAGTTTACGGGGTCCTGCCGCACCCCTCGCTCGTCCGCATCCCATCCTAGGACAGGAAGGCACAACAAGACAAACGATGAGATTAGGACAAACGATAACGATAAGATTAGAGGTCTATGAGGCTCGGTTTCCCTCACAGGTCTTCATGCGAGGTGTCTATTTAGGCTACGCTCAAAAGAGGTGTCTACTTAGGCTGGGCACGAAAGAGGAGTCTACTTACTCTTCAGCTAGGCACGAAAGAGGTGTCTATTTAGGCTCTGCACGAACGAGGAGTCTACTACTTACTCTTAAGCTAGGTACAAAAGAGGAATCTACTTACTCTTAAGCTAGGCACGAAACAAGAGGAGTCTACTTACTTTTCGAAAGAGGAGGAGCCACAGCTAGGCATAAAAGAAGAATCTAAGCTATGCACGAGAGAGGAGTCTAGCATTTAACCTTAATAACATAGAACAGGCATCAACTCAACAAAATACTGGAACTACGAAAGTCTAAGACGAGTTGTATTTGACTATCCCCTGCAGCAGTAAGCATGTATACCTTAGAAATTCAAGAAATTTATTGAGACTGCGAAGATGAAAGAAGTCTTTTGAGGACGCTGCACCAGAATGCCATCCCCTGGTGCAGTAGTAATGTTCATCTTCAGATGCGTAGGTAGCACAAAGGAGAAGTCACACCAATATGGTCACATCGAAGATAACGATAGCCGTTTCAGCAGAAAAAATCTAGTCGTCAAGGAAGAGAACTGCTGTAAGTCTATATTAAGTCTAATATTTCGTCACCTGGTCTAAATTTGAGATTAAAGGATGACCCTTAAGAAAAATGCAGCCAGCAGGCGGCGCGGCGTGCTCCCTGCAGTGGTGGCAAGAAGAGGAACCAGCATCCTCAACTTTGGCCGAAAAAAAAGCTGTTTTCCTACTGGTAAAAAATCCAAAATGCTTGTGCCCAATCGCGTCTGCTTGCAACTGTGCCCAATCGCGTCTGGTTGCAACCGTTTACTTCTGTGCCCGATCGCGTCTGGCAAAAAGTCAAAAATACCCACGGAAACGATCTAGGTTAACCATGGAAATGGTCTCCGTGGTCTTGCCATCTTGTATGTTTTGTAGTAGTTGTTGTGTACCCAGCATTCATGAATGATCACAACTGCTCTTCTAGTTCTTTGACGTTACTTGTAGTATTGGCACGTCGGGATATCTCTGTGCGCGTCCTACTCCTATATAACCTGCTGTTACTAGTGAAGTATTCACTCATTCACGCACTCCATCCTGGCCTTAGCTCGAAGCCGACGGGCAGCATTCAACCAGCTAACGGGCTATGCAGAAGTTTTCAATGAACACCTCGGGTCCCCCACGACCATTTAGAAGCAAAACCGTCCTAAACCATTGCTGTCACTGTTCAATGCTATATTCATCCAAGAGTGATTTACATTCTTGATAGACGGGGCTACAGATTCTAGTAGACTAAATAATACCAGTACGTACTGCGTATTGTTCTTGGAAATGCGAGATTTTCAAAAAAAACTCTTCTCACCAGTAAGGGAGTAGATATTACTATTATTTTTTCTAGCTAACATCTATCGTGCTGGAAGGGATCAACGATGAGTGTAATGGTGGGATGGCATTTTTTGCTGAAGACTGTTTTTTTGGGACTTCCAAACCATGGTGCTATTGACTTCGACAAGAAAGACGAGAACTAAGCGATTATGACCGACAAGATATAACGAAGTCATGCTAGCCCGACAAGAGATCACATCAGGGAAAACTGTCGCAGATGGCCGTCGAGTTTGACCGACCCACTTCAGAAGAGTCTTCAGAACCACTGCGATTGGTACGGAACTATCAGAATCTTCTTTAAGAAGATCGACGGCTGGCGACAGACATCTCCATCATCCCTAGTATTACTTAGACTCTACTGCGAAGGTGAGAGAAACGGCGAGTGATACTGGTGGGAGGACGAGAGAGGAACTCTTGACGAAAGAGGAATCTTTTTCCGAGACACAGACGAAACAGAGGACTTCCGAGGGCTCCGACACAGAGTCTGACTGACCGAAATAGGGTTTATCTCGTAACCGAAATAGATCCATGGCACAAAGTAGTCACTCACTCTCGTGAGACAGAACATGTCCGATTCATCAGTCCCCGTCTAGTAGTCGAGAAACCTAAACTATTAGGCCTTTGTCTAATAGCACTCTTCTCTTTCTTGTCCTTCAAAAGTCAAAATCTCCCATTTGTTAGGCAAATAGTCTGTCAAAGCATGCACAAAATCTGTCATAGTCGTCCTGTGTCATCTTGTTGATATGTCGATATTGGTGAGTTTGAAAGCAAATAAGAAAAGATACAAGAATTTTCAGGGTTGTCATAAATGCAACTGAAGATGGCTCTATTGCTTTCCAAGAGGAAATCAAATGTGTTGAAATACATTGAAATAAATTGCGTTGAAATACTTACATGGCGTGTTGAAAAAGGTTGTCTTGGAATACATTATGTTGAAAATCATTGATTGTGCTGAAAGAAAGAGCAGATTGCATGTGTACACAACATCATAAGTACTCCACTACACTAGGAGTCCTGGTCTAGGATTCACAGATTGATTTTGAACATCAGATTAGTCACAACCTGGCTAAACTTTAACACAGATTGATAATTAGTTGTAAGTCTCACTGCGTTATTATGTTTGTCAATGGAAGACGAGATATCTACTTTGATGCGTTAATTGTTATGTCCTCCATGCAAGCGAGGTATGAGATACTTACTTTCTCGATGATTCTTTCTGAGGATTGAAAAATTAATATGACATACTATGAGTTTCGATCCTTCCACAACTTCGACAATTGAAAAAATAATCTGGCATACTTTGATTGATGAGTTGTGACGATCCTTCTAGACATGACATACCGCGAATTTCTACAGCAAGACACTACTTGATCCTATACCTCCTTTGGCTGATATGACAGCTCTTGAAAAAAAATGATATTATGATTGTTCGACCGTGGTAGATCAGTTGTACCTAATCAATTCTCAAAAAAGTAATGCACTGCTGTCAACGCAGTCGACCAGTAAGCATCATAAGTTGAATTATGAATTTTGTCGAGCATCACAAACGGCTGGCCGCCACGCCTCGGAAGGAGTTCAAACTACTTTCCAGATCCGATTAGGTGAGATTCCTCACTGCTTCCACACTTCTTTACTAGAAATACAAATGTTCTCGATCCTATATCATCACTCTGACTATGTTGTTGAGAAATGAACTCTCAGTCGATTGATGGAAATGTTGGAATTTTTATGTTGTACATCAAATTGGAGACTTGATAACATGATTACTAACCCTGTAATTGAAATGGAACACTATCTCGGGACTTCTGTTACGTTTTTCTACTACTTCTTTCTACTCTCATTTCCTTTTACCACCTTCTTCCACCACTTCCTTTCATCCTCGTCACCAACATACGAGAAGACAGCCCACGGAATGCTACCAATATGGCAAGGCCTTATGCATCAGGTGCGACGAGTAACGTTAGGCCCAAGGTATGAGGGATTGCTGGATTTAACATGGCCGATGGTAACGCAGTCCCGCACTTCAGTAAATTCGTCCCGGTTGAAGTCCACTCCAATATTCTCCTTTATGCTCGTGTTATAAACCAAAAGCGGTAGCGGTTTGTCGTCGCCTTGCTTCTAATAGCGGTGAGTTCATCCTCTTCCTCGCTAACGCATTCTTCATGCTGATTGATGTAGTTGAGGTTCTGGATAACGGCACCAATTACAGGAAGGATGACATATGTTGGAATTTTCATGTTGTGAGCACTATGCTGATTATGAAGATCAAATTGGAGGCCTGATAACATGACTACTAACCCTGTACTTGAAATGGAACACTATCTCGAGACTTGTGTCACGTTTTTCTACTACTTCTTTCTACTCTCTTTTTCTTTTACCACCTTCTTCCACCACGGCCTCCTTTCATCCTCGTCACCAACATACGATAAGACAGCCGATCAGTTTTTCAACGCTATATTTTTCAACCCAATTATCAGCGAGAACCATCTAGTGTTAATACCGGTCGAAATCAGGAGCGAATTCGACCGGTGGAGCAAAACCGCGACCATTAGGCTGGCGCTGTTGTTCATCACGACTGTGCAATCTGTCGCATTCTTCGGTCTTGGAAGCCTTCCATACACGCTCGCAGGCTTCGGTAAGTCCAAGAATGCCGCACAGCGTGTCCTTTGAGTAGTCAGCAAATATCCCATTTGAAAAAACCCTCTTGTTGATGTTATTTCTGAAAAAAGTTAGAGTAGTAGTGGTAGTAAGTTTACCCATTCGGGGGGAAAGTCCAACAAAAAAGGGCGGAAAGAAGGGTGTTCCGCTATCAAGGGGGGGGTAAAAGTGCTATCTATAATCCATCCCCTTATTATACTCCCTTTGGAAAGGGAACCAAACTACAAAAACACGGAGCGAGTGTTCAAAATCTTGCTTCTATGAATAGCTGCAGCTCTTTTAAACGAGATCTCCATGGGTCGCACCCTTGACTTCGACTCCGAAGTAAATATTAGAACGCGCGGCGGATCATCCACCATAAAAAGGCCGCAAAGTGATGGATCATTAGTCTTAGCCTTAACAACACACACATCTCCGTCATTTCGTCTAGCAAAGCCTTTGCGAGTCCCTGCCACAGAACCTGAAACGCGCGAGGAAGGTCTGCAAGAGTCGAAGCGTCTCGAAGAGAGATGACGCCTTTCCACTTCGAACTCCCCCTCTGTACAAGATCCTCTGCAGATGTAATAGCGGGCCCAGCATCGTCCATTAATCGCGCCCATTTATCACGCAGCGCCCATAAGGCATGCGCCTGGTCGGGTGATTATGAAAGGAGAATGCTGCAGCCTCCCGGGCCGCGAATCACTACAACACGAAAGGCGAGCACAATGAGAAGAAGAAAGAGAGAGAAAGCGAGGGGCCCCCCCGATCTGGGGAGGGCGGCCCCCGTAAGGCTAGACGAACGCCCCAGGGCTCCTAACGCACCAAGCGCCAAAGCATCCCCTTCCCCAGTGGTGCTCCCCTCTTGTGGTGCTCCTTTTCTGTCCCGGACTCTGTCACGCTCCAAGCCCGAACCTTAGGGCAGAACGCGAAAAGAAAAAGAATACGCGCGACGCGCGTCACGCACCAAGCCCAAACGAACCTTAAGGGAGAACGTGAACAAAACACGCGTAACGCGCGTCACGCTCCAAGCCCGGACCAACCTTCAACAAGAAGAACGTGAAAAAAATACGCACGAAGCGCGTCACGCTCCAAGCCCGAACCTCAAAGAAGAGCGTGAAAGCAACACGCGTGACGCGCGTCACGCTCCAAGCCCAGACCTTACCTACGGCAGAACGCGCAAAAACTACGCGCGACGCGCGTCACGCTCCAAAGCAGAACAAAACGGACCAAGAAACATGCCCCGGCGCTGCGGGGCGCGCGTCCGTCCCACTTCCAAGCAAGTCAATAGATACGGAGAGAAATGGCCCACCTGTGCATACGCCAAGCCATCCGCCTGGCCCCAGCCTGGGTGTTCTTGGCTGGGTGTTCTTGTCTGGATGTCCTTGTCTGGGTGTTCTTATCTGGATGCGCTTGCCTGGTGGATGTTCTTGGCTGGATGTTCTTGGCAGGGTGTTATTGTCTGGCTGCTCTTGTCTGGGTGTCCCTGGTTGGATGTTCTTGGCTGAGTGTTCTTGTCTGGATGTTCGTCATGCCTGGGCGCTCTTGTCTGGATGTTCGTCCTGCCTGGGTGTTCTTGGCTTGTCTAGCTGTTCCTGTCTGGCTGTTCATCTTGCCTGTGTGTTCTTGTCTGGGTGTTCTTCTTGTCTCGGTGTCCTTGTCACGCGGGTTCTTGTCTGGGTGTTCTTGTCTGGATGTCCTTGCCTGCATGTTCCTGCCTGGGTGTTCTTGCCTGGATGTCCTTGCCTGGATGTCCTTGCCTGGGTGTTCTTGTCTGGCTGTCCTTGTCTGGCTGTTCTAGTCTGGCTGTTCTTGTCTGGCTGTTCTTGTCTGGCTGTTCTTGTCTGGATGTCCCTGTCTGGCTGTCCTTGTCTGGGTTGGTATTCTTGTCCGGCGGGCGGCGCGATGCGTCATGGCGGGGGCACTCTCCGACTGGGCATGGCTTGGGCGCTTTCCGATTGGGGTCCCATTCTGCTCCAACAATCTCGCCGCATGTTTTTCAATCCTCCCTGGAACTTCATGAGGGTCACGAAAATCCCCCGGGACTTGCATGACCCCTATACACCCCAAGAAAAAAACCCAACACCCCCCGACAGCCGACCGCGCACGCACCTGGCCCCAAGCTTGTTGAACCGCCAGCCACTCCCCTCGCGTCGTCAGTCAGCTCCCCGAGCCACCACTTTCAAAATGGTGAGAGAGCCCGCCCGAAAACCGCGGCCCCCCCTCTCGTCAGTCGTCACTACCCCGCCGCCAGAACTGAGCGAGGCCGTTGGCTCGGCGGCTTTTTGGCTGTTTGTGCCCTTCGTCTCTGTTTCCTGGCGCCCTTTCTTTGAGCCTGTTGGACTGTCCCACTCCCAGCCATGCCACGCAATCACCACAAATGCCACTAATTCGCTACACCACCCTGCTAATGACAAAAAAGCGCGCCAAGCCGCACCTCTTCAAGCGATCGCCCAGGCCTGTACGTAAGGCACGCACAAGAAGAAAGCCCGCCACGCCATGCCGACACCCTCGCCGACCTGAGGGGGCCACATAGTTTTTTCCAGTCGAAGAAACACGCAAAATCTCCAGCAGATACCTGCTGCTCCCTTCTCTCTCAGAGCCACACCCAACTTTAAAAACAGAGACGAGCGAGAGTCAGAATGGGAGCAACTAAACACCAAAAGGCGCGCCCCGCTTGCGCGGTTCCCCTCTAAACGCCGCAGGCCCGTTGCGCTGCGTCGCTCTACGCGGCCTAGCCTCTCAAACTAGAGCACTTTAGCCAGCGCCCTGCCCTCTTTCGCCATCTTTCTGCCCTGCCTCGCTCCGTCGCTGCTCTTCGCCGTTCTTCTGTCCTGTGTACGTCGCTGCCATCTCTCTCGCGTCGCTCCTCTCTGCGTCGCTCTTGTTTCTCTCTCTTTGTCTCTCTCTCTTAGTCTTCCCCCTGTGGCACTACCGAGGCCGTGCGCGGCACGCAAGTTCAGGCGCAGGACTATACGGCTGCGGCCCTCTCTCAGTCATCGATCAGCCCCTCGCTTCGTTCTTGGTTGCCTCTCCTGATATCAGGCCAAACACTCGACGGGGGCCTGTAGCTCCACAAGAAGCGGCTCACCGCTGGCGGCTCACTGAGTGACACACAAGCCGTGCCGAGGCTCTTGCTGAGTCAAACTCATGCGCACACAAACCACCCCAGGCCCCTAGCTGCGTCACGCTCCTCCAGACATGGACCCCCCCGAAGCTCTAGCCACGTCACGCTCTCCCCGGCGCTCCTTTTGACCCTTCGCGCGCCGAAGTTATGGGCGTCGCCTGAGGCGTCACGCGGGAGCCCTGGGGCGTTCGCTTTGTGTTACGGGCGGCCCCCTGGGCCAGGCCTGCCGAAACTAGTGCGGAAGGCTTCCACCCAGGCCACCAGGCCGGCGCCTGGCCCTGAGCCCTTGCGAGTTTGACCAGGCGGCGCCCCCGTGTGTTTTGCACCATCCGAGCCGACCCGGCTGGGCAGGTTCCTGCAGTCCAATTTCGACCAAGAGAGACAATCGGAGCTTTTTTGAAGTACTTCCATACGCTTCGCTGTTCTTCGAATCTCCTAGCGACTGCAGTGATGCCCTGTGTCGCTTTCAAATGCTGCCAAGATGTGAGTGTCGCTGTCGAAGCTTGGCCCACGAGGTGGCCCGCTATAACAAGGAGAAAGAAAAGCCCGCCAGTTTTGGTTCTTGAATGTTTTTCGAATGGTTAGAAAGTGAAAGAGGACGAATCGAAGACAGAAAACGAAGATCTAAGCTGCCTGAGAAGTTTAGTAAGTGCAGAACGTAACGCAAGCCCGCGAAGATCATCAAGCCTTTCCAAATTCTGATGCGAACTCAAGGAAATTTAGCCAAACACACACGACAGACCCCCACGAGATTCCAAGAAAAAAATCTCGCCGACCATCCAAACCAAGACAAGGGCCCAAGAACTAGAAACAATGAGCCTGCGGCCGGCCTCCTTTCGAACCGGTTGGGCCAATGATCTCGAGCCTGTCGAACTCTTGCCACGTAAGATCTTCAAGGAGGCGGCAACGCTTCTACAGTACGGACGCCCCTTACCCACAAACCACCCCCAAAGGAGTTGCCCGAACACCTAAGCAAAACCCCTCCAGCCACTTGCCCCCTGTTTCCTACGTACGCCACGCCATCTCCCTCACAAATGTAGCGCAGCCGAAAAGCGTCGAAGCTTCCCACAAAGACACCCGCGCCGACCTTCCTTCCCAAGCCTAGCCCCGGCAGCTTCTTGATGTCCACCAGCCAGGAAAGAAACCGCCCACACCCAGGCCGGCACTGCTCAAGAGCTTGCGCCGAGCTCGCTCCCAGGCGAATGCCATCGCCGTTAGACTGTCACGCCAGTCAGCCAAGCGATACGACTCAGGCCACGCCTCCACCTGACCATGTAGAAAGCGCGACCCGCTCACGCCTGTCAGCCTGGACGCCTCTCCGCTTCACTTCTGCCCGCGCTCCCGCATGTCGATAGTGCACCGGGCCACCCCCCTCGGGTTCTCCGTCGCTCGTCTGCTTGCTGCTTGCATGCGCTTCACCGTTGGGGCGGTGGGTTCTTTCTCGTCATGCCTTGCACTTCTATCTTTTCACTCACATCTCGGCCGCGGCTCGTTGGTCGTCCGTGTACAAAAAAAGCGCAGCTTTTTGGGCTGTCCCGCCCAGCAGATTTTTGAACAGCCCTGGCGCGACTTCTTTGAACAAAAAGCGGAAGCGGCGACTTTTTAGCAAGATCAAGGGACCCCAGCTTTGCCCGCTTCCCCTTCAGCAACCGAGCGAGTGGATTCTTGGAGGGCCCTTGGCACCTTGTTCAGCTCAAGTAAGACACCCGCGGCAGCGCTTTCTCCCCTGATAAACGCCCAGCCAGCTGGCCTCACAGGTGTCCACAAGTCCCCAAACCCAGCCCACCTCTGGCACGAACCACGAGCGCAAGAGGCGCCCGCCGACGCTTTGCGCGCTCACCTTCAGACACCAGCCCACCACCTGAGGGCTTGCTCCACAGGTTGGCTCACACATGTAGCCACCTGGAGCAGCAGCCAAGGCCACCACCTCACTTGTTCGCGGGCCCCCCAAAACACAAGCGAGAACTGCACCAAGCCAGGCTGGATAGAGCTGGCCGCACAACACTGACCAGAAAAACCCCAACACAAAAGACCCGCGAACGGACAGAAAACAGACACGAAAACCACCGACGAAAACGCCGAAACTTCGAAACTAGCGCTCAGCCTTCGAACGGTTTCGGAGACGAATCGTAAGGAACAGCCTGCGCGCCCAAGTTCCTAGGGGCGCTTCCTCTTATGTATCGGCGTGCGAGGTGGGCGCGCCGCTCCAACTGCCAACGGGGGCGCCAGCTGCAGTCGACTGCTGCCCAGCCGTGCTCAGTCGTCCGTCGCAGATTTGATGACCAAAGGCAGAACCTGCAGCGCGCCGAGAACTAGCACTACTCCCCAAACAAGAAAGAAACGACCACAAGGCCAAGCCTGCCAGACTGAAAGATAAGACACAAAGAGACGGCCTCCCACCTCAAGAGAACAACCTCCAGCAACAATTTTCCCAAGTCCGCATCTGACGGGTTCCAGCAGCCCTGAAAATACCGAAAAAGGCCGGCTTGCGTGTGAAAGCTCTTAGTAAGAACATGGAAAAGGCCAACAAAGTCCCAACCCGCGAACAGAAGCAAGCGAGATATTAAAACACCCAAAAAGATCAGCAAAAACTGGCAATCAGTCAAAATTCTGAACGGCTTCGGTAAAAAACAAGAAACAACGCAGGAGCCCACGCTCCACCCTAGAGGCGGCTCCGCTCACTCTAAGTTAGCAACGACCCACGGCAAGAGCAGCGCGATTCCTCTGTAGCAATTTGCGAAGCAGACCCAAACGAGGCGCCGAACCCTCTGCGGCTTTCAGATGCAGCCACTTGACTTCTGTAGAGCGTCACGACGCCCCTTCCCTTCAAGGTTGGGCCTCCTCCTTGTGCTGAGACACTGAAGCGAGCCCAACACCCCAGCGGAACGCGCTGCAAGCAGCGCGCGGACCGACTTGCGCAAACTTGTTAAACAGAGGCGGCCGCTTGCCGACACCTATCGAACAACACGCCCAAACGCTGAGACAGCTCCGCACTGGACGACGCGGGCGGAGAAGCAACGACACGCAACACCACTGAAGAGCCCCGTGGGCGCGTTGCGTCCCGTATGGCTCACTTTGGAAAAGCGCCGACAAGCACCCAGCTCAGCCCTACAGAATGGCAAATGCGCCAAGATCGAGACCCCCCCCCCAGTTCGGCCAAGGTACGTAGCTCGCGGCCTCGGAGTCCCATCGCCAAACCCAAGACCGACGGCGAACCACCTCGCCCGGCTCCCCGCTGGCTTAGGGTCGGTCACTTAGGAGGCTCCTGAAGGTCCTGCCCGCGCGTGGCAGTACCATGCGGCAGCCCTCCGCCCGTCCGCTATAATTTCGGCAATCCACCACGATCCCCCGACGCGCGTGCCCTCTTCTATCGGCTAAGAACACGAAGGGAGCCATCAGCAGCGGGGGCGCCTCGTTTGTTCTTCACGTCATGGGGCCAAGCCTTCGGAGGTCAGAGCGGGCGTGCTCCTCGATCAGAAAGCGGGCCCGCATCCATCGAGTCCAAAAAATTTAAGCTGAGTGAAAGGCCGCCGCAAGTTCCACCGTGCTCCGGCATTGGTTTCTCTCATGCGAATCGCCTCAGATCATACGGCCGCCCGCGGAGGTTCCTCAGACCGCCAGGTCTCCCCTGGATGTTCTTCAGACCATAAGGCAAGCCCCCCACAGAATTTCCCCAGACCATCAGGCCCCCCGCGGATGTTCCTCAGGCGCTAAGGCCTTCCCCTGGAATTTCCTCAGGCCGTAAGGTCTCCCGCGGATGTTCCTCCGATCATAAGGCCCCCCGCCGATGTTCCTCAGATCATCGGGACTCCCCTGGCGTTGCTTGGTTCCTCGTCAGATCGTCAGGCCTCCCACGGATGTTCCTCCGGTCATCAAGCCGCCCCCGGAGCGGGTGTTCCTGGGATCGCCATGCCTCCCACGCCCACAGATGTCCCCCAGGTCATAAGGCCCCCCGCGGGTCTTCCTCAGGTCGCTGGGCCTCCCGCGGATGTCCCTCAGACCATCAGGCCCCCCGCGGATGTTCCTCAGATCGTCAGGCCTCCCCCGGATGTTCCTCAGGCCGTTAGGTCTCCCGCGGATGTCCCTCAGGTCGTCGGTCAGGTCTCCCCCGGATGTTCCTCAGATCATAAGGCCCCCCGCGGGTGTTCCTCAGGTCGTCAGGCCTCCCAGCCGCGGACGCTCCCACGATGGATCGCCAGGCCTCCCCCGGATGTCCCTCAGATCATCAGGCCGCCCTCCCGCAGACGTTCCTCTGATCATCTTCAGGCGCCCGCCAGCCACGCTTAAAAGCGGGACGCGCCACACGCGTCACACCTAGGGGCAAGCGCGCGCCCCTCGCTCCCTTATAATAAGAGGGGACGAAGGGGGGAAAGCTTAAGCCTGCGGTCTATAAGACGCTCGCCAGGTCCTACGGGCAGCCCCCTGGCCAAGACCTGCCGGCACTAGTGCGAAAAGCTCCCCTTTAAGCCACCAAGCCAGCCCCTGGCCCTGACTGTCTGAGGCCCTGCAGGTTTGTCCAGGTGGCGCCCCTGTGTGTTTTGCACCATCCGACCCGGCTGGACAAGCTCCCGCCGCCCAGTTATTTGGCCAGAAAGCTTGCGCCGAACGATGGACCGCGTGGGCGCAGTGTCATGACTCAGCTGGGCGATACTCTCCCCCTGGGTCTCATCTCCCGCCCCGCACTGTCTGGCGCAGGTCCCCACGCTTTTCCCCTGGGTGTGGGGCGGTGACCAGCCTACGAACCACCTTCCAGCCAGTCGAGTCCCCTCCAAGATTCGAACCAGAGACCCCCCGGAGCCGAGCGCAAGCACTTGCCCACTGACCAAAAGAAACGAAACGACCCAAGCACGACCAAGACAAAGGCAGCCCCCAAACTGAACTGGTGCAGGGGTTCCACTAATGTACTACCACGGCGGCACACCGTCAGGCCAGTCGCGTCGGCTCGCCGCGTGAGGTTCCGACAGCTGGAAAACGATGAAAGAACGGCAGCGCTTTTTCTGTTTCTGTTTTTCTTCCTGCCGTTCAGCGCTGTCTTTTCCTCGACACCTGCCACGCCGCACGCCCAGGGAGCTCCATCTTGTTCGAGCGCTTTCAGACCGTTTTGGCCTCGAGTGACTCCTTTCCCATTCTTATAACCGCGCGAGAAACGAGCGGAAGCGTGAAAACCAGGCGCGGCGAATGTGTCACCTTCCTTGCCTAGTACTCTGACGGTTTGGCGTCCGGGTTCATTTTTCGCGAAGTGCTTCCAAATTCTTCCCAGGCTACGCTACCTCGGCCCGGCCCCTCCGTCGCCTTTTTCGGCGCTGGCCGTCTTGCTGAACCGTTCAGAACGTGCCCCAAAGGTGTCCAGCAGGCTCCCCGTTTCCTCCTCTAAATTCTGGCCGTTCGCTTCGCATTCCCTGCTCAGCGCGACACCTTTTGCAATTTGTGGCACCATCTGCAGAGAGCTACTGCACTGCCAAACGTGCTCCAAAAGTGTCCCGCAGGCTTCTTTCTTCCTCTAAGTTAATTCCGGCTGTCCCCTTCTATCTAATTTGCTAAGCGCGGCACTTCTTGCAATTTGTGGCGCCACCTGTAGGCGCCTACAGTATTGCCAAACGTGTCCCAGATCGATGTGTCTCGCGGGTTCCTCCTTTCCCCCTCTAATTTCTGGCCGTTCAGTCCTCATTTTCCCAGCGGGACGCTTTGCAATTCGTGGCGAAGCTGTGTCTGTGGGCGCCTCTTGTACTGCCAAACGCCCGCGCGCCAAGAGAGGCGCCCCGCGGCTTTCTCCTTTCCTCCTCTAGCTAGGTTCTGGCCGTTCGCTTGTCATGTTGTAAGACCCAAACTTTTTGCATTTTCTTGCGCTGTCTGTAGCTAAGCGCCTCTAGTATGTAATGCCATGGCTAAACGCGCGCCCTCCGAAAGTCACGGCAGGCGCCCCGCGGGTTCTCCCTTTCCTTCCTCCTCTTCTAAACGAAGCGGAACGAACCACGTAGCGAGGCTAGCTAACAAGGCCACACAATTGGCGGGCGACTGAATGGGACAAAAACCACAAGCGCAAGCGCGGAAAACGAGAGGCCATCCCCATAGCGGGGAGGAAAACAGACGAAGGGCAAACGAGTGGGAAGAAAAGGAGAGAGCCGCGCGGCGTTTCTGGTTTTTGAAAGTGAGAAAAAGAGCGAGGAAAAACAAAAAACAGACGCCAGGCCAAGATGGAAACTTTTACCAAATTCGCGCCAAACTCGGTCGCGGAGTTAGATGCAAGTAGAAGTAGAGGGGCCCGCGAAGCTCTGGCAAAGTTTCGACGCAGGGGCCGGGGGATAGCTGGTGCCCTTTTAGGTGTTTTGCGCTTCTTATATCAAGCAGAAAGGCGCCCACAGGGAGGCGCTTCCGAATCCTGTTAAGGTGTTTCGGCTCTTGAGCCACTGGTGGCCCGATATAGCAAAGAGTAAGAAAGGCCCACCAGTTTTGGTTCTTATGAGTGTTTCTAGCGCAGACCCCAGAAAGGTCGCCAGGATTCTCCTGGGAGGTCGTGCAAGTTTGGCCGAATTTGCATGACCCCCACGAGATTCCAGGGAAAGAATTACTTACACCCATTAAAATAAGGACCCGAATCGAAATACTTGGTCCCCCGTCTCCTTTCGAACCTATTAGGCCAATGACCTCAGACCCTTCGAGCCCTTTTAATTTAGGACCTTCAAGGATTTGCTTTTTTGAGTGGTTCTTAAACTTAAGCTGCCCAAGTCGTATCGCCCGCTGCGGCTGAGCGCTTCTGCCTCTGTCGATGCGTGTTCCGCGGCGACATCCGCTCTTTGCACCTCCTCTCGAGTGTCCCTAAGCTCTTTCACAATACTAGCGTTCTCCGGGGCAGAACACAGACTGTTCGTCAGCGGGCATTCTTGCTCGAAAACCGTTAGGCGATCTTCATTAGAGAATTGCTGGCAGCGCGCGGCTTTGACAAATAATCAACTGGAGCGCGCTAAGATGCTTCCCCGCTTCCCTCGCCGGTGAGGTCGCATTATACTTATGGGTAGTTAGGACGCCTTCTTAGGTTAGGAGTCGGCGAGGGAGACGCGTCGGTCTGAATATATACAAAAAGACACAGTACCAAAGTACTTCCCAAGGAGTAGCCTAACTTGTATGTTTCTCATTTTCTCCTCATCAGCCTTCAACTCGTTAGCAAACGGCGCCAAGTCATCCTGAACCTTCTTAAGCTTCTTTTAGAGTTCGCTTTTTCTCATCTCGGCTCCTCTATCTCGGCCCCCTTTCCCTTGTTGGCGTATTCTAAAGTGGGGAAAGGCATCGAGATGCCTGAGGGAGATGGATACTAAACGCTGGCCATAATCCTCGCCGAGACTCTCACATTGAACCGACGCGGCGACCGAATGCCAGCCGTCTTTGTCAGCATTTTTGTGGAAAACGCTGCACCGATTTGCGGCCGCCTGCGCAGAAGTAATAACAGCAACGGCCCCTACCACCTCGAAGTACGCGGCGAGCCTTTTCTTGAGTTCAGGCGCAATTTTCACGGCGTCACCGAATGTCATGTTGTCTTCGGACCCTGCCGCGATTCGGCCCGCGTTGCTCGAAGAAGTGCTCTCCTCGCTCGTGGTCGGCGTCCCCAGCAGTTTTTTGGGAATGTCCGTAAAAGCTCTTAGACCTCTCAATAAAAAGAATGATGAAACTTTCTAGATCGTGCAGGTGTGTTCGTCTAGTGGGTTCTTACCTTATCTACAATTGTTTTCTTGAGCGTGCGTCACCCTTGAAAAGCTGCATCAGAATGAAGACGCACATGAGGAATTGTCATTTTAATCTAACAAATCTACATCGACATCTTATCAGGATAATTCATCAAGACGATGCACAAGAGGACTGTCCAGGATGCTGTGAAGAAATGCCTGAGTTTTGCTTTTCAATCGACAAGGACAAAGCAAAGCCTTGCAAGCTGTAGTGAAATAAAGCCTGATAAAGTACGCAATAGTCGCGAGGGCCATAAATCACCACCCAGGAGCAGGGGTGCGAGCTCTCCCTTAGCCTTCTTGGCGCTGTCCAGCTTCTGCATCGCCTCCAAGTGTCCGGGGATGGCTTCTCGTAGTATCTCTGCCTCCGCACGCAAGCGCTCCCCATCCCCTTTCGCTTTTAGCAGATTAGACAGCGGCAAGGAGGGACAAGGGGCAGATAAAGTGACAACTTTGTTCCAAGACACTGCCAACAGGTTCAGCTCTTTCCGGACTTACTATAATCATATAAGCCAAAGCTATTGACCATCTACTGTCTTTTCCGTGCTGTTCAATGGAAACTACTTGGGAGACCGAAGTAAAAACAAAAGGTGGACTCCGTGCCTAATTTGCTTATTCCGGAGCTCGGCGCCCAGATCTTCTTGCAATGTCCTGAGGTTCGAGGTTTGTTGTAGCAATGACACAGCCTGCTCCTTCCGCGCGTTCGCTGTGCTTTGTGCGTCACCAGGCAAGAGCGCAGAAAGCTCCGCAGTTAGAGGTAGCGCTTGGGCGTTTCATCTGCTTCCCGTCTGTTCTGCCTTTCGTCCCTACGAGAGGCAAAACCAACGGCAGCAGGAACACCTTTAGCCTACCCATAAATCTACCTTCTCTACGCAGGCATTTGCGCATTCTTGTGCACTTTTGATGTCAGACGCAGCAGCGCTGCCCAGTACTTTCCCCTTTCGCAGTTGACGGTCTCCACTAACCGTCCGCAAGCGCAAACCCTGTTTACTTCCGAAGGCGGTATAATCAGAAATGAAAGCCTCACCCAAGGGTGCCGAATCTCTGAGCAGCTTATCGCGAGTGTCCTCTATGTCCGTCGCGAAACGCGTGACCCACTCGACCCACTGGCCAAGCCCAGCGCATACACGCTCCACCTGCTTAGAAGAAGATGTGCGCCGCTGCCTCCGGCAGCTTATTGTACTTTGTAACACTCGACGACCCCCTGTTTCGGTTGTAAAAAAAAGCTAGTTATTTACCTCCCCGCTATCAATCTCCCAGGAGATAATTAACAGAGAAGCTGCGAGTACTATTTTTCAGCCCCATTGAGTGGAAAGTCGCGTCAGTCAGAGTATAAGGTGAATCCAGTACTTAACTTCACGGGCGCTCCTCGCAGCGTTTTCCGCGTCCTCTGCAATTTTTAGAGACTGCAACAACATTTCACTCTCGGGAGCATCCCTCATTCCTACTGGAAAAAGCGGCAGGAATGGCTGTCGGAGATCATGTAATTGGCTAACCCATAAAATTTTGCGCAGGGCTTTTTGCTCGGCAGCTTCCGCTTTCTTCCGAGCTGTTTCCGCGGCACCCAGATCTTTCTGCAGCTCGTTTCCCATGTTCTCGATGCTCTTATTAGAGCCCAAAACAATTCATTTCTTACTCTTAGGCCCATTCTTTCAATATCCTTAAAGGAAAACAGTGAGGAATGGCGCGTGGAAATGGATCATATTAGCGCATAGTCTCAGCCTCTTCCCTCAGCTTTTTCATCGTATCCTCCCACTCGTCCCAACCGGGTTCATCGCTTAGATCGCCGCACACGGTTTCGGCGTCTTTTTTCAGCATCTTGTACGAATTTTGGTGGCACTCCTTGGCCGCGTCCACTTCAAGATGCTGGATCACCCACTGGACGTTTGCCTGCGCTCGGGAACGCTTCCTCACCTTCGTAGATGCGCCTATGCCCTGCAGCGCCGCCGGCGCCGCCGCGTCAAACTTTGCACGAGCTTTGTCGAGCTTTTCGAGAGCTTCCTTGAAAGCAGCAGTCACCCCCTGGTCTCTTGGCGTATCTGCCACAGTCTTGGCTTTGGCGCGCAGATCATTGATCATTTCCACCAGGCGCTTCAGCTCTCTCATGCTATCTCGAGCCGCGCCGTTGATGAATTCTTCGATCTGCTAATTAGAAGGCTGCGCCTTCAAGGTCAACTCGGTGGCATGCCTGTTCTAACTAAGCACAAAGAACAACCATCGCGAAGACTGCAATGGGCCAGTGTGTGATCGTGCTAGTTTTCTATGAGACAAGTACAACAGACTTTCACCCAGAAGAGAGAGGGCATACGCCTTTTCTGCTCAATGCAATTGATGTCTGCTCCCTACTACTTACGACGTCAATCACTGAGGCGCATGGTCACCTCCCTTAATGTCAGTCTTTTCCTTTGCTTCCGCAGCTCTCCGTTTTTCGGCATCCATGAAGGCGACGACTTTCTGCTTGACATCGTCGAATTTTTTGCGGAAATCGTCACACCACGTCGCCACTGGCTTTCCCTCTACGACGTGTGCTGCGACATTCGACACGGAATCGAGGACGCCGACGTCGCACTGTTCCGGGCGAAACTGCGTAAACAAACTGTCCACGTTTTTAGCACGAAGGACCTGCCCCTCGTAAAAGGTCTTTAGCGTTTGATTTTCCCCATCGAGGTTTGCGAGCAGGTTCTTGACTTCCCTCTTCGACTTGGCCTCCCTGATGCGTCCCATCAACGCTGCGTCGTACTTCTGTTCCATCGACAACAACTGGAATTTTTTTCCTTTTGCGTCTTTCACGAACTCCTAGTTAGAGACTGCGGCGCGACCACTGCCTCAAAATGAAGCACAGCGGCATGGCCTCCTTCGCTGAAGGCGTGCTTCACTTTTAGCAGTAATGGATGCGCAAGAAGCAGCATTAATGGATGCGCAAGAAGCTAAGGCAACTATCATCACCAGCCCAGCGGCTTATCCTATGTTTTTCACGATGAAAATTCCGACCCCCGACTACTAGAACCGAAAAAAGATTACCGGGCCTATACGAAACAACGCCTAGAGACGTGCGCGTGCTGCTATGTGTGGCCCCTTAACTTTGGCGACAACGTCTGCCAACGCTTCGCGGAGTTCTTCGACCCTCGTGGCCGTTTCGCTCAGCGCTGTGCAGTCACTTGAACCCGCACGCATAGCGCGCACAAACTTCACGCACGCGTCTGCGTGTTTCTTGGCTTCAGTGACCAATGCGCTTGCAGAAACGCTGAAAAGGTCGCTGCCCCGCACCATCGTCTTTTCGCCGTTATCGCTAAGCTGCAAAGGCAATCCACCCCCGAGCACGGCGCCCAGGGACTTGGCGCCCGGCGTGTCAGTCTCCAGCGCCTTGCCGGTCTCCGTGATCATCGTCTCCAGCCTCTGCAGCTCTACCAGCTTCTCTTTGACCGGGCCGCTGACGAAGTCGCTATTAGAGTCATGACAACTCCGTTTGTGCGGCGGTTTTGCTGACCGCGTCTTAAATATGTTTTTTAGCAAGGTTGCCGCGCTCTCTCTCCTATCTAGCTCATTCTCATCATCTTAGAGCTACTGTATCCCCCCTGCCCTCTTTCTCTAGATGCCTTCCCCAGGCTAGTATCAAGGAAACGACGAAAAAAGACTACTCTCTTTAAGGGCCTTAATTTTAATGGCAGAGGTGACCTCCGTCTGCAACAACTTGACAGCTTCGACCCCTGCAGACAGCTCAGAGCACGCCGCTCGGACATGCACTACGATTGCGTCGTCGTTCACATCATCTTGTGCCATTTTCTCGAGGTCACTGCACTTCGTTCCAGACAGCGTGTCGGCGTCTGCAATATTCTTCGTGGACTCGACGCCCAGCAACTTCAAGCTCAGCTCCGAGATTCCTCCAGGCAAATCTGGACTGCTGAGCATCTCGCTGCCCCCCTGCGCAGCGGTAGCCTGGGCAAGCGGCACTGCGTCTTCCCCTCGCATCTGCTTCAGGTCCAACCTCAACCTGTTCATGGCTCTCGTCTTCGCTTCGATCTCCTTCACCTTTGCTTCCAGGTCCTTCCGCGCCTGTTCAAAATTAGAACGGAGACGAGACAAATAGCTGCCTTAAACTCTGCAAGCGCTGACGCAGCTTGAGGCCTTTCTAATTGCACTTTGATTCAAACGGCTCTACCTCTTTCATCTACGTACTTAAGTAAGCCTTGCCAGGTGGATAAAAATTCGGCGACCTCTCATAACTTCCGTCTTCTTCCTTTTTTCGTAAGCGCCCGAGAATGCCCACGCCAAGTTCGCCACTACATCGACATTGTCAATCAATGCCGCCTGGGCTTTCACGCACGAATCGAACACGGCCAGAAATATTAGAGAAAGGTCGTGGGGCATTTTGTCTGCCTGAGGGAAGGCTGCTCTAAAAAGTAATGTAAGCATACACGGATGACAACACGGAGAGGCCAAGTCTGACGGAACTATATTATCAAGCCAAGCATCCGCGTAAAAGTGGGCTCTCTTCACCTGCACAGGCTACAGCTTCACGTCTGAGCTCGCTGCATTTGTCCTTGTCCCCACCTGGCGAGAAGTCCTTCCTGGCCTCACCAATAATCTTCTTCGGTATCGGTTTGTCCTCAATTTCTAGTGCTCCCGAAAGAAACGCAAACTGCTCCTTGGCTTTGGGTCCGCCTTTGTTGAGCAGCCACTCGTCTGCCTCTCTCTTGGAACGGGCAGCCATCGCGACCTGCATCACCTCGTCTTTGTACTCCTTCCTCAACTCTTCAATCCTTGCCGCACACTCCTCAATTTTCGTTGTGATTTCTTTTGCTTCTTCTTTCAGCTGCTCCAGACGCTTCGTAGCTTCCTCTCCCGCCTTTTGCGCATTAGAATACGGGAACTCCCTGTCGCCCTCACTTCCATACCTACTAGAGACGCAGCCTACGGGACGTTCACAGAGTGAAAGTACTAACAATTCTAAAAAAATGAGTGCTTCACCCTTCTAACGGAAAGAAAAGTGTCGGATATGATGCTCACAAGATGATGAATATCGGCATAGCCTTGTTCGCATTGTCGCCACCTCCAAAGGCGATCTCGCTCACAGTCCGTCCCTCTCGGTCAGTCGGCTGTGCTTGTCCGCCAGATGCTGCTCGTTCTTGAGTCATCTCGCCATAACTTACGGCAGCTGCAGTCGGGGATGCTGCAGCAGTTGCGGCAGACAGTGCTTTCTGCTCTGCTGCTGCGTCTTCCTTTGCTTGCTCTGCTGCTCCCTCCGTTGATGATCCTTGCGCTGCTCTATCCCTGTCGCCCGATCCCGACTCAGCTGCCACGGCCTCAGCCTCCTCTCTCAGCTTCTCTGCTGGTATTCGTCCAGCCCCCTGCCCCAGCCTCTCTGCTGCTGTCTCAGCAGCCTCTCCCGTCGTCACCGCTGCTGCCTCAGCCTCCTCTTTCGGCTCCGCTGCCACTCTCTCGGCCTCGTCTATCATCCCAGCCGCTGCTGCTTCAGTAGTCTGCTCGCCCGAGCCAGCTCGCGCTGCTTCAGCCCCCTTCCTCGGCTTCGCTGCTACCACATTAGCCGCTGCCGCCTCAGCCTCCTCTGTCGTCGTCGCTGCTGCTGCTGCTCCATGTTCGTGCCCCAGCCTCTCTGCTGGAGTCTCAGCCTCGTCTTTCGTCATCGCCGCTGCTGCTACTGCACCATTGTCACCCAGATCGACTGGCCCCTTTTTGTACCTATCAGCTGCGGCTGCCTCAGCCTCCTTCTTCTGCTTCGCTACTAGTTCTGCAGCCGCGTGCCCGCCTCCGGCAGCCTCCGACGCGTCGCCAGCCTGTCCTGCCGGACTTACCACCGCCTCCGACGCGTCGCCAGCCTGTCCTTTGGGATTTACCACCACCGCCGACGCGTCGCCAGCCTGTCCTTTTGGACTTACCACCTCCTCCGACGCGTCGCCAGCCTGTCCTGTCGGACTTACCACCGCCGACGAGTCGCCAGCCTCTCCTGTCGGACTTACCACCGCCGACGCGTCGCCAGCCTTTCCTGTCGGACTTACCACCGCCGACGCGTCGCCAGCCTGTCCTTTGGGACTTACCACCACCGCCGACGCGTCGCCAGCCTTTCCTGTCGGACTTACCGCCGCCTCCTGCGCGTCGCCAGCCTTTCCTGTAGAAGTCTGGCCCCGACAACAACTACTGCCGCGCAGCAGAAACGTACTAGAAGCGCAGCTGCTGGGACAGCCCTGCTCCGCTTCTATGTGATCCACAACGATTTGGTCTTTAGAGCATTTAAGAACCTTACTAAGCTCCGCCAGTATGAGTACATGTACGACACATCAGTAAAAAACGGAATTTGATGAAGGTGTAGTACCGCGAAACCCCAACAAAAAAAGACAAAAAAGTCAGATGATAATGAATACATAGTGCAAGCTGGAGTAGATACGGCCTGAGATGACGAAAGGATAATGAGCATTACGACGCGAGTGAAAAAAAATCGAGAAAGGAGTGGTTTAGCGACCACTATGGGGAGCTAGAATGTGGCTAGGTTTTAGTAAGTACTAGTTCTCTTGTTCCTATAGTGCTACTTCTCCAGCTGAATTATACATAGAGGCCGAAGGCAAAAGACGAGCGAGTAGAATTAGACACCAGGGGGCATCAGGTTCAGGGTACTATCTTGATACAATGCATGTATCCCTGGCGCCGCCTTGCTTCCTCGATGTCTTTATATATTGTTGCACGGGATAAGCCGAGACTTGGCGAGGTGAAAACTAACCGGTTGCTTCAATCAGTGCTTTGAGCGTCGCGGGGCCTAAGCCTTCACCTAAAAGGTGAAAGCCAATCAAGATTTGCAGCGCACCTCATATGCAAAAATAAGAGGAAACCACTATCGTCTCAATGTCTTTATATATTCCAGCGGAGCCCTACCTAGAAGAAGAAGAGCTAATAGCCCCTCTTTTTATCATTATGTTATAAATAAGTGCCTGCTCTTGAGCGCCTTAATATTCTTTTTATAATTGCCACGCAGGTAACGCGCATGGGCCGCGGAAATAGTGATGACGAAAAGCCACGCGGTCCGACTCATTGCGAGAAGCACAAACAGCAAGGCCACCACCTTGCCACCCTTACGACCTCCCGCCGGCTTGCCCTTGTCCGTGTCCTTGTTCCTGTTTCCTTTTCATTAGAGGTGGCTGCATTGGTGATGGTGGTGAAACAGGGACTAGTACATGATGCTGCGAATGTATTCGGCAGTCTGCCTGAGATTTCCCAAGTGCTAGTACATAAATGAAAACGATGCCACCTCTCACAATTTTTAAGAAGACACATAGAACATTTTGGGGCGGGCCAGTTTTCTTCACCTCCATTTCCTTCACAATTTTAGTACACGCCATAAGCACGACTCTGGGGCGTCATCCTGGCACGACCGCGGTAGGACCTGCGATCAGACCCACGGCTAGCGCCGATAGTGGTGACGTAGTCCCACGCTGAAGACGTAGTGATTATATAGCGCCAGAGAGTAGTGCCGGTTGTGGTGATGTAGTCCCACGCTGCGGACGTAGTGATATAGCGCCAAGAAGTAGCGCTGGTAGTGGTGATGTAGTCCCACGCTGAAGAGGTAGTAATATAGCGCCAGAGAGTAGTGCCGAAATTGCTGGCGCAGCGCCAGAAAGTTGGCGCGGTGACGTAGCACAGAAGGCCAGTGGCTGTCGCTCTGCCATAGCGCTGGAGGACCCCAGTGGCATTCCTAGTGATAGCACTGATGTGGCCGCACCGGATGAAGAAGGCACTGACACACATCCGAATTTTGTACATGATGATGTTGCTCCACTTGTTCACTTTCCTGAGCATCTTGCGCCACGCCATCTTGCTCTTGATCATGTTGCGCCACTTGTTCACTTTCCTGAGCATCTTGCGCCACGCCATCTTGCTCTTGATGATGTTGCGCCACTTGTTCGCTTTCCTGAGCATGCTGCGCCAGACCTCGGTCGCCATAAGGGACAGATGTTGTGGAACACGCAAGGCCACCACACATGAAGTGTGGAACCACACCCCTGCGCCAGCATTTGACAGGAGCATGGGAGCCGCGTGAAGCAGCCACAGCACATATTGCAGGTCTGGAACAGCCACCACCATTCTCCCAAAAGTCTCCAGCAGAAGAAGATGAAAAAGAACTACAAGTACCAGGCAAATCTGATTTGCATACGTTGCAGATGCCGCTGCAGATGACGACGCAGTACAAGTATAGATCCCGACCCAGAGATACACGCTTGTGGTCCCCAACAATATGCCAAGCGCACTCACCACTCCTCCGGCCGCCAAGTACGCTAATGAAGCCAAGAACGAGTAGCATGGCTGTCTCGAGTACGATGCAGACCTAGTACTTTGTTCTTCAAAACCCCGCAAGTCGTATTCAAAAATGGGCCATCCCATTGGGGGTACAAACCCGAAAGCCAGCAGAAGTCCTGTAGTCACAAAACAACATAGGAGCGACCGAAGCTGCCGTGCGTAGGTACGCCAACCGCCGTGGAAATCTTCATAATCTGTGACGTCAAATTGAGTTTCAAATCTTCATAATCTCTAGTGTCAAAATGAGTCTCAGAACTAAATATATTAATAACCATAATGAAGTCGTGTAGTTGAAGAACCACCATCATGATCATCTTAAAATTGAAACTCCACGAATGAATCAAAAGTGTCCATATCTTCTTCACGTCACAGTTACTGTAATACAGTATCGCATCCACCAAGAAGAGAGAACTCAAATTCAAATATAGTACCGAGAACTTCGGTAACTGCCATTTCGGTAACTTCGGTAACTGGGTTCGTCACGGCTTGGCCAAAACCGTCAGGACCCATCAACGCCACGCCAGCATTGCCCTTGTTACCCAACGCCAAATTATCAACTTTGTTGCTCAACGCCACGTGGGTGAGAGGGGCGCTTGTGGTAGTGGTATCAGTCACCGACAGCTGCTTCTTGTCGACATTATTGCCGTGGCCAGGCTCATTCTGATGATTGAGCGCCGTCCTTTTAGCTGGTGTTGTCGGGGAAGGGGTGACGCGGTGACCTGGGTTAGAGGATGTTAGAAAGTGCGTAGTACTTCAGGCGTGCTTGTTCTTGGCAATAGTTTTCCTAAATAATAGTAATCGTCCTCAGTGGCTTTCGTGGTGTCTTCTTACTTCTGCATCAGAGAAATGCAAGAAAATGCATTCAGTACCAAATTCGCTAGCAGGGATTTCATGGCACCGGGAGTGACTCGCCATAGCTTGGCTAAAACCGTCAGGAAGATCATTCTCATGATTGAGCGCCGCCTTTTTCGCTGATGTTGTCGGGGAAGGGGTGTGAAGACCTGTGTGCTCGAGATGAAGATGGTAGAAAGTGCGTTGTCCTTTTCCTTCCATCACTAGCAAATCATGAATGCGACTAGTATAGTGCTTTTCAGTCTTATAATAGTGTTCTTGTCTTCTTGCATGGAATGATCTAAATAAAATAAAGGCATCAAAAGTAAAGAGCTAGAAAGTACCAAACTGCGCCTCCCCATCGCTCGGCAAATCACTTTGTAGGTTCACCTTGTGGAGTCGTGGCTCCACGAATGCGTGTGCACATGCGCAGTTTGTTGTGCAACCGTCGGCCGATACGGCCGCCGCATTGCAGCGCAACGCCATGTCGTCCTTGTCTTGAGGTACCATGTTGTTGCCTTTGCCCATCATCAATCAAGAATCAATGCCTTGGCCCATCCTGCTTTGCCACAAAACCATGATAGATCAGGGAAACAAATAATAAATGGCAATGTCATCAATGACTATGAATATTACATATGTTCCAGGGCTCAGGGCGGGAGGCCCCCCCCCCCGATCTAACTTTTTGAAGGGGGGGGGGCCTTCCCGCCCCGGCCCCTCTTTTCGAGGGGCTGCCGGGGGGAAGGCCTCAAAGCGCCCACTTCTGACCCCTTCCCGCTTCTTGCATGTACGCTACAGACCTGGCAAAGGTGGCAAAGGCTGGGCCCTCTTGTCGTGTTGCGTGTGCCCAACCCTACGCCAAGGGGGTGGGTTCCCGCCTTTGCCCCCTTTGCCAGGTCTGTAGGGTACAGGCAACAAGGCAGCGGGGCCCGGCCTTGGCCACCTTTGCCAGGTCTGTAGGGTACACGCAACAAGGCAGCGGGGCCCTGCCTTTGCCCCCTTTGCCAGGTCTGTAGGGTACACGCAACAAGGCAGCGGGGCCCTGCCTTTGCCCCCTTTGCCAGGTCTGTAGGGTACACGCAACAAGGCAGCGGGGCCCTGCCTTTGCCCCCTTTGCCGGGTCGGTGGATATGCAACAAGGCAGCGGGGCCCGGCCTTTGCCACCTTTGCCAGGTCTGTCGGGTACATGCAACAAGCCAGCGGGGCCCTGCCTTTGCCAGGTCTGTAGGGTACATGCAAGAAGCGGGAAGGGGTCAGAAGTGGGCGCTTTGAGGCCTTCCCGCCCGGCAGCCCCTCGACAGGCCTGGCCAATAAGGTGGCAAGGCTGGACCCCTCTGGCGTGGTCCACCCCAGTTCCATCCACAGGGGGGGGGGCCTCCCTCCCTGGTACATATATACATTAGGGAACAAGTAAATACTCACCAAGTACATACTTCTTCTTGTTCCTACAATTTTTTATTGAGGCGTCAATGGGGTTCAAATTCCTGCTGGTCTGTTCTTCTTCTCCTTTTAGTTTCCACAAACTATCAAGTGGCGCCATGGGCTAGCAGATATTTTCAGATTGGACGAAGGAGAAGTAGATCAACATCTCTAGCATTAGACTCTACTGCGAAGGGGAAAGGAACGGTGAGTGATGGTGGTGGGAGGACGAGAGAGGAACTCCTGACGAAAGAGGAATTTTTTTCCGAGACACAGACGAAACAGAGGACTTCCGAGGGCTCCGACACAGAGTCTGACTGACCGAAGTAGGGTTTATCTCGTAACCGAAGTAAATCCATGGCACGAAGTAGTCACTCACCCTCGTGAGACAGAATAAGTCCGATTCATCGGTCCCCGTCTAGTAGTCGAGAAACCTAAACTATTAGGCTTTTGTCTAATAGCACTCTATTAGGGCTAGAAGAAATCCATCTTGGCCAGCATCTTCGGTCCGTTTTCTAAGGGGAAGGAAACGGCCACCAAGATGCTCTACAAGATGGCTTTCTTCTAGCTCTAACTCTATTTCTTGTCCTTCAGAAGTCAAAATCTCCCAGCCTAAGTTCATTTGTTAAGCAAATAGTCTGTCAAAGCAGGCGCAAGCTCTGTCATGATCTTCTTGTGTCATCTTGTTGATAGGTCGATATGGATATTGGTGAGTTTCAAAGCAAATAAGAAGAGATACAAGAATTTTATAAGGGTTTTTATAAACGCAACTGAAGACAGCTCTATTGAGTTACAAGAGGAAATCAAAAAATGTGTTGAAATGCATGGAGATAGATTGCGTTGAAATACTACATGGCGCGTTGAAAAAGATTGTGCTGCAATACATTGTGTTGAAGAACATTGATTGAGAAGATTGAGTGTGCCCATGGAAGCGAATTTTTATGAGATACCTAATTTGTTGTCTTTTTGAGGATTGAAAAACTCTGCTATGACATACTATGACTCGCGATAAACTTACTTTGAAAGAAAAATTGAATCATATGAGTGACGACTGAAAAAAATGATATGGCATGCCTTGACTCATGAGTGACTATCCTTCTAGACATGACATACCTCCTTTGACTGGTGTAACGGCAATTGAAAAAATGATATTCATACTGATTGTTCGACAGTGTGTGATAGCTCGATAGTAACTGAAAAATTCCGCAGAAAGTCTGCACTGTTGTCGACGAGGACGGCGTGCACAATTTCATATCATGAAATTAAGTACTTACTCCAACGTACTCTTCAGTGGACAAGAGAAACTCTATGTACATCTCTATCATGGAATTAAGTTCATCACGAGGCTACGTTTAAGTACTCAACAACATCAGGGATTCCATCTTTACTACTCGACCACTGCCTCGCCGATTGCTCCACTACGAAAGTGAAGCAGTCATTGACCACAGGAACCCAGTCTGTGACTGAGGCCGAGGAGAAATCACGCAGCGGAACTAGAAGCAAGGCCGCCTGATATTGCTTTCGATATCTGTATCGGAGGCAAGGCATCATAGCGCCTCTGTATTTGCCAAACATTAGATGAGCTACTGGTCTCTCAGTATTCTAGCAACTTGAGTGGTTCCGTGAGTGTTCCCCTCGAGTGAGTCCCTTTCAATTTGGAAGGGATCTACGTACTCCAGAACCACCGCGTGGAATAATGAGAGCCTGCCTGCCTTAACAATTGTGGCATACTCCAAAATTTCACACTTATTCTCCAAGTAATGCACCACACTTTTTGTGAACTTCGTTGACAGTGCTGTCTGCGCGTCTCTGGCCTGGCTCACCAACTCTCTGCATGGGTTTTGGGCGTTAGTCTTGGCCTTTTCGAGGTACTCGTCTCGTAATTGCTCAGGGGTCTTAGTCTGCCGGCGCCTGATTGCATTTGCGATCTTTGAGCCTGTCGTCTGCTCCATACTTTGGCTTTCGTGGTTGTCTACGGTCGCATCCTTTATTAGCCACAAAACGTCTTCCGATTTGATCAGCCTATTTACGTCTGTCTTAGAGTGTACTAGAGGGTAAAATATAAATAATAATGATCATGAGTTTCAGTTTCATCCTAGATAAATGATCACCATCCACGACAGTAGTCTTCCACCTCCTCGCCGCCCTCCTCTATAATAGCACTTTTTGTAATGTCATTAAGAAATCGCTTCAAGAGTTCCTGTTCTTTTTTGAAGTCTTTGGAAGATTTGCACAACATGACGCTCATAAAAAATAAAATTGCTGATATTGCTGGTACGTAGTAAGGAAGAAGACTTCCTATGTATGTTGAGTGAAAAGTTTTCTTGGTAGTTGTAGCAAGGAAGAAAACTTCCTATGTACTATGTTGAGTGAAAAGTTTTTTTGCTAGTAGTGAGGTGCTGAAGGACATCATCACTTCCTATATCATGATGTATGAGTGGCTTAACTTTCGTGATCTTTGCCAGTCTAACTATGTGCGACTCTTTCAATTGCTTTCGCATCTTTTCCACCTCTTCAATTTCGCGACCAAGCTGGTTAGCCTGTTGCGAGCACGCAACAGCGTCCTCTTTCAGCACCTTCCTCCAGTTGCTTTTGACAGCTTGTTAGAGCTCAAAATTGAATTGATCTGCTAGCGACAACACATTCGCAGAAAAATCCAAGTAGAAGGAAAGAATCTGCCCTCCGAGAAAAAATACGTAATAAACCTGTGAAAATGAAGAATTACTCGTTTGAGCCATAATCATCAGTACTGTCAGCCGGCAAATGTTGCTGAATTTCGGCTTGACGCTCCTGCCACTTTATTACAGCTCGCCCGAATCCATCCTCCGACGCATCCTGAGCGCGTTTTCCCCTTGAAAACCCTTGTCAGGATGGATTCTGGGGTCGGAAGCCTTAACTTAGTTATGGCCGCTTTGGCGCCGGACACCTTTTTCCCTGCCGTCTCATCGTCGACTAGATTCTCGTAGATCGTGTAGATTCGCTTCTCGTCCTCTGAACACTTGTCCCGCGCACAAGTCAACGCGTTGTAGAGCTTCTTGTCAGAGTCAGTGCCTTCGACATGATTCTTTAGGAAAGTCGTGCAGGACTCTTTTACCTCTCGAACTTTTCCCATTTCGGTTTGAATAGATGCCGCAGCTTCCTCCACCTGCGACTGCAACGCTTTCGCCCATTTCTCCACATTAGAAGAGTCGTTTTTACACAGATTTTCCTTCTACAGAGTTTCTTTCTAAGCACAGAGTTTCTTTCTAAGTAAGTACAGAGTTTTTTCTACGGGGTTTCTTTCTAAGTACAGAGTTTTTTTCTACAGAGTTCCTTTCTAAGTACAAGTTTTTTTCTACAGAGTTTCCAACCACGACCCTGAATGGAAAAATGGATCATCCGGCACTAGAGGCTAAGGCAAAATAGAAGAATGAATCTATCAACATGCGGCTGAACAAGAGACACAAAAAGAACGCTGCGATTGAGGATGATTGAGGTTTTCGTGGCATGTATAATGCCCGTAACGAAATGGTCTGCTGCAGTTTTAGCTGCTTCCAATGCGGTAAACTCTTTTTGCAAACCCTCTACGTCTTCAAACTGTTTCCGCAACTCCTGAGCTCGTTGCGTGATCTTGTCCTCAGCTTCTGTTAGACTGTGGTCTTCATCCTGATATTCATCTTGAAGAGTCGCATCTTTGATCATCTTTCCCCGACTTGAATACGTGTCAAAGATGCCTATCAAGATTGGACCAAGAAACTGGCCTAAGACGAAGCAAAAGTAACTGGTTATTTTCTTTAGACATGTAAATTCAAATTGATGAAGATGTTAGATAGTGGGTTCGGGATTGGACCTCGACTTCCCTCTTTAGAAAGATGCATATCTTGCTTGGTGTTGGCTGGTGGATAAACCTAGGCTATAAGGGAAAACAAAAACTTTAGATGCTCATTAAGATGAGACTCTTGTGGACCCCCATCCTTAATTGTCCCTTGTGGTCTGCGTCTGGTGCTCCACTAGTAGTAGGTCCATCACTTTGCGCCTGGACCGCATTCAACTTTTCACTGACGGACTTTTTGGCTGCCTCAATACTGTCCCGAGACGTCTCGCTAGTGAGCTCCTTGTACTCCTGGTAGGCTCTTTCGCTCTCTTTGAAGACTGTGAGAATCTCTTCCTTCGGTTCGTATGAAAAAAAGGAGTTTTTGTTGCATCTTCATCTAAAATACATTGAAGAAGGGGAACTATTCAAATAGAGAGGATAGGATAGGTTAGGATAGGAGAGGATAAGATGGGATAGCACGCCTTTGCTCGATCTACACGCGAGGTGCAGTCGCATTAGCTCTCACGAGAACATAGCAAGAGAAGATAATCAGGTCGATCTTAGACTCAAAAAAGAATTTGATTCCCCTAGATGAACGACAAGATAAAAAGACTTGAACTTGAACAATTCTTTATTTGTCTCCCCTAGATGAACGACAAGATAAAAAGACTTGAACTTGAACAATTCACTTTATTTGACTCCCCTAGATGAACGACAAGATTTGACTTCAACAGTTTGCACTCCATAACATGGACATGATGTTTGTTTCCGTTAGCTTTTTACACTTGGCTTGCAAGTCCGTCACCATTTGTGTCTCCGCATGGATGGCTGCTTCAGCCTCTTTCATCTGCAATTCCATACCCCTCTGAAGAATATCCATTTTAGTGATCTCTCCTGTAGTTCTAAAATCATATACCGGGAGGTCTGAGCAAAAGATAATAGACGGAGTAGATTGACGACCATGGCTGGAATTTTAAACTGAGTCTAGGCTTCCATGTGTCGTGGACCTCCTCAGCAATGAGATCTATACTTTGCTATAAATATCCTAGGAAACGAAAGCTCCTTTAGTAGAAGTAATACTACTGACTACGAAACAGTAACCACACACCCGCCATCAGCGACCTACCTGAGATCCTTGTTCTCAGTAGTACTGGTCACTTGAGGGACGAGATGCGAATTCTTCATTCTTGCGAATTGATGTAGATACATATCGTCGAAGAGTCTAAAAAACTTACAAGAAACATCTCTTCGTAGAAAAAGTAAGTAAACATGCACTTCTAACACTTCCATAACCTTCTTCGCATCCTCACGGTATTTTGCGACGCTCTCCCGTAAGTTGGCTAGTGCTTCCAGCTTTTCCTCAAACGGTTTCAGGGCATCATCGCCATCCTGCTCTGTGTCAGTGCCCGTGTTTGCAGCACGTAGATTCAGGGCATTATCGCGATCCTGCTCTGTGCCTCCGTTTGCCATTGGGTTGGATGAAGCACCAGCATGTCCTAGAGCAGTCAACACGGTTCTTGCAGATTCTGCTGATTGCTTGAACTTCGCCACGTCGCTGTCGACACTAGTGAGGAGACTGCCAGCGCTATTGTTAGAGGCTGCACCATTGCATTCCTCGGAACGTCCTGGACCCACTTTCCCCTTGAAGAAAGGCCAAGGATGATAGTGCAGAATGCAATGTATGTGAAACCCTTAGTATTATCCTTTTCCACTTTATCCTTTTCCTTGTATTTCTTGTACTCGTCGACAAACGCCTCGTCATTCAACGCAGCAAACTCACTTGCACGCTGCTTCATCTCTGTCTCCAGATTCCTCAGGTGCTCTGCCTTCTGGTCAACCTCTGCAAGGGATTTCTTAGAAGGATGGATGTCTTCATCGAAGCGTTGTTGTTTGTTGACGTTTGTCTTCACGTCACGTGATCAGCCAGTCTTCTATGTCAAACGCGAATGTTCACTACCATCTGTATCATTAGACCTCATACCTAAGAAAAACAATGACACAAAGATAGAGAGATGCTTTTAACACAAGATACTCGTATACCTACCTAAAAAGATACCTCTAATACTTCTGGCATAAGATCCACTCCTCCTCTGTTTGCGTCGTCCGCTTCGACGCGCTCGCTTCGCAAACTCCTGACCTTGTCCAACAATATCGCCAACTCCTTACTTTTCCTCTCACATTGTGACACCATGTCAGCCAAAGACAACTCAGACAAATCTGCTGTTGCAGGGTCAGCCAGAGACAACCCCGCTGCTCCTCCGTCAGCTGGAGGCAAGTCCGCAGCAGCCAGAGACAAGTCCGCATCACCAGCCTTATCCGCTTCGGTTTTGAGTAGGTTCCATTTCACTCCACTGTCAGAGAAGCCCTCTGCTGCGGTCTTCAATAGCTTCCATTCCTCATCGACGTGGATACCGTCGTCAGATTTATTAGAAATAGATGAAGACGTCTTTTCAAATAATCAGGAGTCCACGCATATACATGTGAAAGACATAGTAAGTTATGCATCTTGATCTTCTAGCACACGAAAGTGTTGGCTTTCATCGTCCCTTGAAAAGCAAAGACACTAACTAAGGAAAAAGCAACATTGACATTGATTACTTACACGCATGGTCTTAAGAGCAGACGAGGCCGCTTTGGCACCAGAGTAGATGACTTTAGCAGAAGCATCCTCAAGAGCCCTTAGGGAGTCCTCGTTAACCAATTTCCTGTACTCGTCTGCCGCTCCACCTCCGTCAGCTGCTCGAGAAGTACTATCTTCAGATGGTCGTAGGCTGCGCAAAAGATTAACAACGCCCTCTTGCGAAAGAAGACCTTTGCTCTGATTCAGAGTCTCGTAGGCCCTTTCCAATCCCTTCACTTTTTGGAACTCCTCACTCAGAGAGACCAGACGTTTCACATTAGAGATTGAGATTGATACTCGGCAATACTAAAACTTTGATTTCAATTTCTTTATGTCGTGGATGTGATAAAGATGACAAGTAGTCTTCTTGATCATATTCATTATTGAGTAATACTACTACTATCGCTACTGTACAACTACGTGCTGGCTCATCTATATCATAATGTGTACTAAAAACTGCATCTCACACATGAAAGTTTTGATTTAAGAAAATGAGTATGCAAGAAGAAACTTCCACACAGCGGTCGCCCTCGCCTAAAAGTGTACTTATTAAAACGCCCCTATATGTACTTAAAAGAGGAAAATTCTGCCAGAAGAAGGACATGCAACTACTCCGGAACCTTAAGATTAAGCCGAGCTGCAATCTTTCTCTGTGCATCGCGTCGCGCGCTCTCGACGCTCTGGCGCAGCGTGCTCAGCTCGTTGCAGTCTTCATGAAACGCCGCAGCCGCATTCGACGAGCCTGGTACGTCCGCATTCAACGGGCCCTCCGCTGCGATCGCAGTCGCCGCTTCCTGTGCCGCCTTCGCACGCTTCTGGCACTCTTCCTCCATGGACTTTGCGCTGGCCAATATATCCGATGCACTTTCATGCCCTTCAGCGCCATCGTTCTTCTGGCCGTCCTCCATAGGCTTGCTGGCCTCACTGGCCCCTGGTGCCTGAGTTGCCTCATTATCCTCAATCTTCTCGCTACCATCTAACCCCTGTAACTTCTTCAGCTTTCCAACCTCCTTTGCGACGTCAACTCTGATGAAGTTTCGGAAGGCTTCATTAGAGAGGAAGCTCTCATAGCGATGACAAAAGAGAGAAATCTTCGTTGCTTGATTGCTAATCATAAGACAAAAAACCTCTCTACTTAGACTTTCTAACTCCCGTTTTGATCAGGTAAACAACGGTGACTGAGGGGTCTCATGCAGATAAATGGGACAAAAGGAGAAGGTGGCAATTGCTTGACTTTTTCTGATGCTTCCGAGACCAAAAAGCATCTTCTCCGGCTACTTTCTAACTGCCTTTCCATTCGCCGGTAGAAGTACGTATACGTAAAACAAAAAAAGTGACACTATGAAACTACTACTCATCTTGGTTATACTGGCATAGCATCAATTTCAATTCCTTTCGTCCCTCCGTCCTCGACATTCGGAAACCCCTCTCGGAGTTTTCCGGCCTCTCCGGCTTTTTTCTCCCTCTCCTCCACCGCTTTTTTGACTGCAATTCGCAATGCCTTGAAATTAGACCTTACCCTAATTCATCCTGAGAAGCATCTTCTTGTCAGCCGTTTTCCCTTACAAAACCCCTGTCAAGATGCTTCTCACGATGAATTATGGCAAGCCTTAATGACAACTTCGATTTTTGTGGAGAGCAGCTGAGATTTTTCCTGGCAAGAAGAAGAACTGGCTTGCAGATTCGTAGAAGCCACATCGTCCGCTTCGTCGCCTAGCTCGGTCGCGATTTTGCTCTCCAGTTCTTTCCAAGCCTTGACGCTGGCCTCAGCATCCAGAAAAACATCCGGAGGCGCCTCCTCCCCACTCGTTCCTTCCTGCAGCTTCTCGCAGCTCTCGACGTCGGATAACAATAGTTTGTCCTTGTCTGTCATCGAGGAACTGCTGGTGCCATGTTGATTATCCGAGGACTGGGAAATGCCGAGCCCAACTTTCTCCTGCTCGACGTCAACAGCTATATCATGCTCATCTTCCGACGAGGACTGTCCGTCACTAGTTGTACTTGTATGTAGCTTCCCACAGCTATCTTCCAAAGCCTGCATCTTTGCTATTTCCGTATCGAGGGACGCTTCAACCTCCTTCACCTCTCGCTGCAATTCCAGCTGCGACCTCCTCTTTGAAGTTTTCACATTAGATGAGAAGCTATTCACCTCTTTGCGCCCCGTTCATCCTCCCTTGAAATATTTCCGATTATTAGACTATCACGTATGTAAAGTATAACTTCGAAACTAGACTATCACGTATGTAGGAAAAGAAAGCGAAACAAATTAAAATTTACAACTGACAGACCTTCATTGCGAAACAACCAAGAACCGGAAACGAAGATGACGACTCCCTTAACTTCAGTCGCGGCCTCAAGCTGCCCTTGAGCATCGCGTCGCGCAGCCTCAACGCTTTCCCGCAGCGTGCGCAGCTCGTCACACTCTTCAAACGGCAGAACCGGTGCTGGACTCATGCTTGGGTCCTCATTCGCATTCAGGTCCGCCAGCGCATTTTTTGCTGCTTCTGCACGTTTCCGGCATTCTTCCTCGGCTTTCGTTGCGCTGGCCAAGAGCTCCACTGCGCTTTCCCCTTCCGCATCGCCCTGGTGCCCATTCTCGAAAGGGTCGCTCTGGTGACCATGCTCGCCTGGGGTGGCCCCGCCTCCCGTCACCACGCTCCTGCCCTGCAGCTTTGTCAGCTTCCCTAGGGCTTTTGCAACATCGGCATCGACGAACGCCCGGAACGCTTGATTAGAGAAGAATCCTCAGCTCTCTACAAGATAGATTTTTTTTCTTAGATGTGAAACAAACTTGCTCTCTGAGTCTCTTCTACAACGAACACGCAAGAGTACCACTAGGCCACCAATCCCTGTCGCAACATCAATTTTTTCCCTGGCTACGACGACTCTCGCGAACTCCTCACGCCGCCTCTCGATGGCTTCGGTTTTTTCGCGCAATTCATTTCTCCTCTGCGTCCACGCAGCAGCCGCGTCCGCAATTATTAGAAGCATCTCTTTGGAGAAAGTAAAAGAGAGTATTGAAATGTATAAATTTAATCAGCAGAACGTCATGGTAGCGATTTTCAGCACAACACAAAGACGCACAAAAGCAAGTAAATACTCTCAAGAACCGTCATAAAAAAACGGCGTCTCCACTCGTCCCAGCATCTCCATCCCGATCACCTTCGGCAAGGGGCGTGTCATGTAGCTCTTCAGCAGCAACCTGTTTGGCGCCATCAATGATCCCCTGCGTCGAGGTGCCGTGAGCAAGCTCCTCAAACTCGTTGTGCAGTTGCGTTTCTATGTCCGGATCGTCGAAAACGCTACCAGAAATCCCCCTCGACGCGGCATCTCTGATCTTCTGCATGCCGTCAGCGGTGTATCTGCCTCTCAGGGTCTCCATGTCGCTAATGGACTCTTGGATCTTCTTCGCCCTCTCTTCGAAGTCCATCATCCTTCTCTCCTCCCTCGCCTTCGCTCGGTCCTCCTCCGCCTTGCGTGCGGCTTCCTCCCGATCCGCCTCGATGCGCGCCTCCTCGACCTCCTTCGCGTGACGGTCCTCCCGTTCCGCCTTGATGCGCGCGTCTGTGCTCGGGGTAAGCGGTTGCAGCAAACCCTCTTCGAGAGGCGCTGAGAAGTCCGCGCTGCTGTCCTCTTCGGTTGACGGAGTCAGCGCGGCCTCATCTTCGTGGCCACCTTCGGCTAGAAAGGCCGCCTTCGGATGGAACGGCAGCCCCTCTACCCCCTTCTGCTCTAGCGATGGCCAACACCCGATCCCGAACGCACACAACCCCATCTCCGCTGGAGCCGTCTCCTTGTTCTCATCTGTCGAAGCCGTGTCAGCACTGTCGCCTTTCGTCCCCTCCGATACCGCCGGGGCGCTCTCCTTGGTCTCCTCGACTGCTCGCGCCGGAGTCTGCTTTTCATTTTGCTCCCGAAATTCATCGAGAGAGGCTGAGAAACCCTCCCTTCTGTCCTCAGCGGATGCCGGCGTCGGCGCCGCCATATCGTTATGCCCAACGGCCGCCGCAATCGGCTGTAGCGCGTCGCCCCTCACATCGGTCGACGCAGTCGGCGCCGCCTCATTGCCGTCCCCGGCGGCTGGCGCAGTCGGCGATACCCCGATGCCGGTCCCACTGGCAAGCGCAGTCGAAGCCGGCACACTGCTGCTTTCCTCGGTTGACAGGCTCAAGGCCGCCCCACTTTCGGACTGCGCATTGCCATCACCATCGGTCGGAGCAGGCGCCGAAAAAACCTCCTCCTCCCCCTCCGGGACGTGCTGGCCCGTGCTTTCCTTTTTGTCCTCATCGGTTGGAGGAGGGGCTTTCGGAGTACTTTGCGACCCCGGTTCACCTGCTCTACTTGGGTTGGCGATAAGTCCCATCTCCTCTGGTGCCTTCGGAGGACTATTTGGGTCTGGCTCATCTGGTGCCTTCGGAGGGCTATTTGGGTCCGCCTCGTCTGGTGCTGCCTCCTTCGTGGTCTCCTGCCCTACTGGCGTGGTGGCCAGAACGCCGCTGGCAGCTGCCGGAGGAGGCTGCGCCAACAATTCTGCTGCGTGTTGGTCAGTGCTCGAACCCTGTCCGCTTTCTTTTCTTAGAGCTCACGACCCTAGTACAACATGAACATTTCATCTAAGAGAGAAGTCGCTCCCTGAGAGAGAACAATAACATTTACATTATCTAAAAGACCGAAACTTATCCAAGCGTTCTTCTCGAGAAAAGCGGTACCTTGATGCTACTTTCTATCGCCTTAACTTTCCTCCGGAAGCGTCCTCACAGCTACAGCAGCCCTTGCAACAGCCACACGGGGTGATTTCCAAAAAACTGGTAGTGCTGTCCCACTGGATCTCTTTCTGCTCTTTGCTTTTCCCTAGGTTGTTAGCGGTAGATAGATCAAACAGAAGGTCCGACACCGTTTCGTAGGGTCAACGTCAGACGCTAACTGACAGCAGAAGTATAGACCAGAAAAAATAGTAGAAGGAAGGCGATAGCATTGCGATAGCATTGGCTTATTCAGTGACCCGTACGCCGACTAAGGCAAATACAATTCGACCTCAACAATCTCGAGAGCCTTAGAATTCAAGGAACGATCTTTCTAACAAAAAACAAAAGATATTGCATCTTGAGAGAACTCAGTTCTCAGAGCTCTTTTCCTTCCGCTTCTGCACTGCAAGTGGACACTTTTATACTGTGTTCATTTCCTAAGGGTTTGTTTGGATAGGGAGAAGACAACCACGACACAAAAAATAAACACGATAATTTAATTCAAATTGTTCACTTCGTGTTGAATTTAAGGGCTTAACTTTATTGTTCTCAACAGCGCCTCGCAGATATCGTGCATGAACTGCGGAGAAGGTGAAGAGGAACAAGACCATTGTCCGACTCATCGCGAGGAGCACAAAAAACACCGCAGCAGTCAGCTTCTTGGCACCGCCACCCGCCCTGCTCGTTCTAGTTCCTGCTAATGGAGGTAGAAGAGGTGGAGGTGCAGGAACAAGTCTCTTGCCTTTATATTAGAGGTCAACAGCTTGACAAAGAACTCAATACATTTTTCATTTCTTCATAGTGAATTCTAGTTGGGGACAATGTGGGAACGGAAACTACTTTCATCTCATATTTATATTCTAGATCATCTGATGAAACACAATGCAGCAGAAGAAAAAGTTTTTGAGTTCATCTCATCTTTTTATTTTGCACAACTATAATCGATGTTTTTAAGCCACGAAAAATAATCGATGTTTTTAAGTTCATCTCATCAACATCGGATGCATCATCACGATCACGTGCCTTAAGAATTGACACGCACCTTACTAGAAGAAGATGCCTTGGGCAGCACATCAGACCACTTTTTCCACAACGCGGCCCATAGACTAGCATTACTAAAAGTTGTGATATGAGACCTCCACAGTTTTGCAGCAGGTCTTCTAACTGTGAAGATGGACTCCCAGCACAGTTTCCCCATCGGTATCCGTGCTCCACTTGTGATCCACGACCACCAGTGCCAACAATGGCTGTTCTGAAGATGTTGTAGTTGTAGTGACAAACGCGAGCATTTACAAGTAGAAGCACCTGCACCACACATTCTACTACGACTACATCTGGCTTTCATCTTCTTGGCGAAAACGAAGCTTCCGGAAAAATATATTACGTCTCTCTAGTACTACTAGAGAGACGGATTTATAGTCGACAGTACCATCCTCCAATTTGCTGCATTTTGTTCTTTTCAAAGAAAATATGTCATGTCAAAAAATGCATGGAATCACAAGTATGTAGGCGTCGTCTGAAAATTATATTTGCAGTTGTCGTCAAAAAAAATATATTTGGAATTTTATTTTGGGATTGGGAAACTGCTTACAAGCCCGAAGCATTCCTATGGTGGCAGTGTTTGTTGGAAATAAGAAGTCAGACTGGATAGTTACGATGTGATGGAACAATCTAGAACTACTGTAGCACAAACAAGTGGATAATTCCATTGGTCCTTTTCCTCGTCCGCTGAGTGTGGGATCAGGATTACACAAGAGTCAGTTGTGTAGGAATTCATGTCAGTGTAAATGAAAAGTGGTATCAGTAGCACAAAATGTAACAAGGGACAAAAAGTAGAGGTGGTAAAGTAAGGGAGGCTCACACGTTCAGAATGGATCCTATTTGACTACCGATCTCCTCACGAGGATGCTATAGAAAGCAGATAAATTGCTCAAATACGAGAGCCTCAGATGGAGCTCCCGATAGGGCTTGTTCTCTAGTTTTTTACTTGTACAACTTACAAGAAGTAGTACCACAGAACAGAGTGGAATCTTTCTCACCGAGTGGAATCTTTCTGTTTCAAAATACCTCTCTGAATCGTTCATCCTAACTGATTCTAGTACGCGAACACATTCTCGGTTGCTAGTCAGCACGCTGACGACGAATCTCTCGTTTCTGCAGGACATCAGTAGTTCTATTTTTTTCCAATCTCTCGTATATGCAAGTCATGGGTAGCAGTGGTAGCCGATTTACATACGACGACAGAGTAGCACTGGTACCAATGACTCGTAGGTCCTTACATTAATATACCACGCGAAGATACCTACCTTTCACTTTAAGAAGGAGCTGACTGGTGCACGGTCGCTCAGGGTCAGGTATTTTCGTAAACGTTCGCTCATTCGCATCCATCGATAGAATCTCCGACGCACGAGAAGGCCTGCTCTCTTCTTCTACACTTTTTTTTTTAGATCCGGAGTCCAGTATTGAGTTATATACACTCCTCCGCGGCCACTACTCCCGCACGGCTGTCCTGTTCGAACTTCGACGCGTTTCGCCCGAGGTCCACCTCAGAAGGGTTTAGGGTTTAGGGCGATCAGTGTTTTGAAGGCTCGAACGGCGCGGCAGACATGGCATCTGTAGGAAAGTGCCTCTCCTCAAAAGGCCGATTCAAAAAAAATCTTGTCCTTGTCCCAGGTATGGTGCTACTTTTTCCTGAACTTTGATATTTGTGAGCTAAACATCGCAATTCGTTCACTGAGCGTCTTCTCCAGCACCTCCGTCTGTCTCCGCAACTTTTCAGCTTCTTGGTGCGAATTAGAACAAGTTTTACACATGTCTAGTGTTTTACACATGTCTAGTACAACACAAACTACATTTTTAGATAAGTCTTGCTAGGACAACACAAACTAGTACGTTGCTTATGCTAGTATCACACAAACTGCATTACATTGCCAAGTACAACACAAACTACATTATTAGATAAGCCTTGCTAGCACAACTACACAAACCACATTACTAGATGGCCGAGGTCCTCTCGTTGGTGGTGCCATTAGAATTAAAGAGCTAAATTAAAAAACAACAACGACCCCACCAAACTCTCACTCTCCCACTTCCAAGCTCCAAACTCTCACTCTTTCACATTTGAACTCATGAACTTCTGAACTTCATTTTGAGCTTCTGAATTTATGAACTATTTAGGAATTTACGAATTTCTGAATTCATGAGTTTACAAATCTGCCACAGCTCGCGAATCAAATCCAAGAAATTGAATCTCGGAAAAACTTGGCAAAGTCGAGGGTTTTTGGGTTTGACAAATTGAAAGCCAAGAGATTGAATCTCGGCAAAACTTGCGAAAGTCAAAAGCTTTCGAACGTGAGGAATTGAAATCCAGGGTAGAAGCTGAGTCTTCGAGCCAGCTTGCTAAAGTCCAAGCTTTTGGGTTTGAGAAATTGAAACAAGAAGTAACTGAACCGCGAGAAAGCTTGGCAAAATCAAAAATTTCTGAATTTGAGCGATTGAAATTCCAGAAGTTGAATTTCTGAAAAGCTTGCTAAAGTCAAAAATTTTGGGGTTTGCCTAATTGAAATCCAAGAAATTGAATTCCAGCGAAACTCGTTAAAATCGAAAATTTTCGGATTTGAGGGATTCGAACCCAAGAAATTGAACGTCAGAAAAAAATTGCTAAAGTAAGTCCAGGCTTTTGGGTTTGAGGAATTGAAGCCCAAAAAGCAACTAAACCGCGAGAAAGCTTGGCAAAGTCAAAAACTTCTGGATTTGAGCGATTGAAATTCCAGAAATTGAATTTCGGGAAACTTGCTAAAGTCAAAAATTTTGGGGTTTGACTAATTGAAATCCAAGAAATTGAATTCCAGCGAAGCTCGTTAAAATCGAAAATTTTTGGATTTGGGGGATTCAAATCCAAGAAATTGAACGCCAGAAAAACTCGCTAAAGTCAAAGCTAAGCTTCTGGATTTGAGAAATTGACACCCAAGAAATTGAATCGCGAGAAAGCTCAGCAAAGTCAACAGCTTCTGGATTTGAGCGATTGAAATCCCAGAAGCTGAATCTCGGACAAGCTTGCTAAAGTCAAAAACCTCGGGGTTTGACTAATTGACAACATCCAAGAAATCGAACTCCAGCGAAGCTCGTCAAAATCCAAAGTTTTTGGATTTGAGGGATTCAAATCCAAGACGTTGAACGTCAGAAAAGCTTGCTAAAGTCGGCGGCTTTTGGATTTGAGAAATTCAAAGCCAAGGGATTGAATTTCAGACAAGCTCTCTAAAGTCAGAAGTTTTTGGATTTGAGGAATTTAGGCCCAAAATCCCAGACCCGAGACTTCAGGCCAAACCCTTCAAGCCCGGCACTTCGTTCGGGTCCAACGCTTCAGCCTGCAGGTCCAAAGCTTCAAAATCAAAGCGCCAAGTCCGAAGCCCTACGCCTCGCGCTTTGCCGACGCTTAAAACTGCTCCACACTGAAAACGGTCGCGGGCTTCAAGCTGCAAGCCAAGAGCAAACTTCCATCAATCTCGCCCCAAGTCTCCACCCCAAAGACTTGCGCGCGACGCTTCGCGCTCAAGGCTCCCAATCCAAAGCGCTGCACTAAATTCAAAAGCAGACACACCTTGAAACTCAAAAGCGGACACGCCTGACCTTGAGAAATCTCAAAAATCTCAGAGACAGCTGCGGCCTCCTCTGTTAAATTCCGCGGCGCCTCTGTTCCGACTCCTCTGGCGCGGACCACTTCGCCAGCAAAGCGCCGCGAGCTGGCGGAAGAGGAGCGGGGGGAGGCGCGTCTTGGCGAAGGAAATTCTCGAAGGAGGTGGAGGATTCTAGTGGAGGGAGAGCTATCGGGCGCTGAAGTCTAGTACGTTCTAGATTCCTATTCATAACAATCATGATGTCTGCTTTTTCGTCTGGCGTCGCATTTGCCGCACGTGACGCCAGCTCTTCCACTATCTCCTGCGAGCTGCGCAAAGCAGAGCGTGGAGTGGTCTTTAGAGCTACACGGCCGTAGGATCAAAATGTATGTAAGGATTGAGATCACTACTCTATTAATCCACCAACGCTGCTGCAGCCGAGAGGCGCCATCTTGTTTTGTAGAGAAAAAAACAGGTTTAGCGAAACAACAGAGGAAACAACAAGATGAAAAACAATCCTGCACTTCGAATGCTCTAACTTCGGCATCTTGGTTTGTAACTTCAGCTGACGTCATGCCGATGCATCATCCATTGATTGCACATTATCTCTAAGTCCATGAAGTTCTAGTAAAGTGCTTCGTCCTGCAACCTACAAATTTCAAAATGAATTCTGCTACTCAACCTCATAAACTTTCAGATCTCCACGAGCCGTCCTCCTCTACTTGCCTGCTGTTCTGCTCGCTTTCCTGTGCTCCTGCATCGTCCGCTTGCGCCTCTACTTCTACTCATCCTTAGAACAGGCTGAGACAAATTTTTATACTTCAAAGAAATTTCGTCTGTTTTCATATGACAGCTTTAGTCAGCATTATCACCATGCAATATATATTGGAAGTAATTTCGTCTGTTTTCACATGACAGCTATAATCAGCATTATGATAATGCAGTAAATTGTCTCTCCACCGGGACCGTGACCAAGATCCTCGATGATCTGAGGCTCGGCCGCCTTCTTCTTTCCGAAGAGTCGCTCTGCCACATTAATCGGACCACTCTCCTCGTCGTCATCGTCGTCCCCATCAAAACCTTCGTGTTTCTTAGAAGTGTGCAAAGCTCAGGACATAGAAAAGAATAGGATAGGGCATGGCCCAGCAGGAGTCAGATAGGAGAATTCGCAGCAGCATCTTCCAGCAGGAGGTAATTGATTCAGCAGGGGGTAATTGATTCAGCAGGAGGTAATTGATTCAGCATCGTGATACACTAGGAAGACTAGTTGGAATACACTGGATTACCCCAGCACGATGAAATGCGCTAGAGCTGGCAACCATTATTTCCGCAACAGGCAACATTTTCATAATCTTACTCATTTCTCGCAATTGATCGCGCTTCCTTCTTTCGGCGTTTAAGGAGTGACTGGGGTGCAGCTCATCCATCGGGTCCGAGACCGCTACTTCCTCCTCTTTCTTGGTACTTTGTACTTTTGCAACAAGACTCATGCGGGCTCGCTCCAACTCAAAGCCAAAAACTTGCATTGCCCGACCACGATTGTGCGCAAATTCACTGCCTTGTTCAAGGTCGGCTGCGATTAGAGACACTAGGGGACGAAGCGGACATAAGCGTAGTGTATTCAGGACAGAACGCGACAATAATTCCCTCAGATGAGCCTCGAATTAAATCATGTCCTGTTTTCTCACCACGAATGAACAAAGAATATGATTTTCTTCTTGCATTCCATTGCGCCTATCACTAGCCAGCATACTAGCTCCTAGACAAAACGGTCTGCTGAACACAAGAATCAGTCGTAATCTCGTCAGCCGTTTTAGATAATCAAACAATCAATCGCACGACAGAGGTGGAGAACGATAGAGGCGTCGATCTGCTGTGGTCCGTCATAAAAAGTTTCCCAATCCAGATTGTCTTGTTCGGTTTTTCGCTTGCTCCGTCCGTCTCATGTCGGACAGGTGTTTTCGTATATGTCTCAAATGAGTCGCCTCATTTTCTGCACGTTTTGCGTACAAGACATCCTTGGCGAGTGGAAACAGGTGTTTAGACCTCTCCGAGATCCATCTTTTTCAAGTGCATCCTTGAAGAGTATTATACCACGAGAATGCTCGAGCATACTTTTCAAGGACGCAATCAAAGATGAATCATGCACAGCCTTAAGGGGTTGAACCCGTTCTTGTCCTGCCATCATGGCCATCAGCAGTTTATGCTCCCTTTCTTGTGCACCCCGTCTCCTTTTGAACTCCTTCTCCACAGCGTGAAATGCTGCACGCTTACTCATTGTCGGATTCTCGTTTCCGTTAGAGGATTTGGGGTACCGATTTCAGGTAGTTGTAGGAAAACTCTTTCAGGTGGTGTTGGGATCTCGTGTAGAAGTTCGACCTTTGACTTAAGTAGTTCGTGGAAACTGGTGGAGTCTGGCTCCTTCCCTTGTCACACATACAGAAAAATGACGATGATCGTCAGTAAAACGAAATTTCAGCTACAACGCAAATCTCACGTATTAGCACTACTTCCTTTACAGCTACATCTGCCACATGCGATAAACCATCCTAAGAAAAGCTGTTCATGATCCACGAAATGATAAGCAGATCGATTTAGAAACAGGTACCACAGATGTTTCCGAATTCTGTTCGTACATATAAACCTTAATCATCAATCTCTGTTGTTTCGCGACGAATTGCATCACCGGGTGGTCACTGCGGTAGACATCATTCCCCTGCTGCCAGTCGTTGCCGTCTACAAAAGCATCAACAAAACGCAGATCTGGATATTTTTGGATGTTAGAAGATGAAGCGACTTGACTAGAATGTTCGTGAAGGTCCACGACGATTCGAAATATGCCTGCATCAATACATAGTTCTTACAATTAAGTAACCTGTATTCATCAATCCTTCGTGGAGAAAAAAGCCTACTAGATGAAACAATGAAACACTTTAGTTAATAGATGATCACTTCGTAATCAACAAATCTCCAACGAGTTCGCGATAAGGGTTGCGTATCTTCTTGTCCATCATTGGGAAGTTCGTCAATTCCAATGGTGGCACTCTCTGACAGTAAAGCAACCATTCTGGACGTCGTCGGTATGAATTCTGATCCAGCAAACGCTCTACCCGTGAAACCACATCATGTCGCAGACCGCGATAGAAGTTCTGGCCATTGGGATGGACGGCACCTTTCGTCATCTTCGCCTCTATCTAAACTGCAGTGACGGACAAGCAGGAGCAGGGAAATTGTTTCCCTGCACCACAGGAAGAACTCAGTTGTAGGTGGACGAGGGGACGGCGGCATAGGAAAGAAGATGCAAAGCACCCTTCGCGGCAGGAGCTTTCTTCATTATTTTATCTAGTAGTTGTTTTTCTTTATATTGGTGGATCGGCGGCATCCCTGCTTCTGTAATGCTCAAGTTGACAAGTAGCCTCTTCAGAACACAATGTTTTCGTCTTTTGGCTACAATGTTGTCTTTAAGGTTCAAGGTTCAAGGGTCCGCGAACTTGTGGCCAAGCCACGTTGCCGGGACGAATCAGGCTCGAGTAGGGCCATGAAGCACCGATGTGACAGTCATGAGTAATGCCCTAAATACAATGTTGTCTTTCGGATGCGTTGTTGTTACAGGAGAAGAAAACCTGGTCCCGAATCCATACGAGATCTCGCTCATCACTTGAGTTTTACCCATATGCGTTTTTCAAGGCTGGCCTTGATCAGCCTCCATGCCTCTTCAACGAAGTGGCGAACCAGACAAAAACATGTGATCCTTTGTTTGCCTCATGTTCCTAGGTTGGTATAAAAACTATGCGCATTTTAGATATTAAAAAGAAGCTCTTCTTCTTGCGCCACCTACCTAGAAATTATATAGTGAAAAATAGCAGTCTTGGAGTCTTGGATTACCTAATCCCTTCAAAAAAAACATAAAACTGCCACGGAATGCATGAACATGTTGTAACGACAACGTTACATCAAATCTATCAGCGAAGAAATAACTCTAAGAATAGAAATTCTTCTGAGTAGTTTTGCAGCTGGTCTCTGTCCCAAACATGAGAGATGAAGTTATTTCTTTTCAACTGTAGGGGTGGGGCTATAGGAGACTGAACTGAGAAACATGTAGTTGCTCTCCTTCTACTGTAGTAGTGAGGATTATACTCTGCCTTAGTGGAAGACAAGGAGAAGAGACGTCATGAAGAGATCTGATATCGATGTTGTGGAACCGTAGTATGCCGCCTTCCAAACTAGCGCACTTGGGGTCAGCAGTACATGAAAAAAAAAAGGATAACGATAAGCGCAACTGATATTCAATGACCTTCGTGATCCTATCAGGAGCAAGATGATCAGACTACTAATAGGATCACGAAGATCATTGAAAACAAAAAATTGTTGATTAGACAGGTGTGTCCCAAACTTGTAATCCATTAGCTCTAACAGCTACGAACTTAGGTATACCTTGCGAATAGGGAATACGAACGACCTCCGAACTATCGAGGGGTTTCTTGTAATACATAAGTAGCTACAAATGACGTAGCTCTTCTGTGTCTAGCTACAAACTTAGGTCTAAGAGCTCCTCAACTGGGAAGAACCCTTCTAGGAAAGAAGTCCACTTTTGATCAAATTCTCAGCTTCTTCCTGGATCACCTCAGGCATCGACGCGGCGTTCAAAAGCTTCAGTGTCGCAGCTTTCTTCAGTCCGAAATGGAAAGGGTTAGAACCAGAGATGGGACAGTTCTTAGGATGGGACAGTTCTTAGGATAGTACAGTTCTTAGGATAGGATAGGATAGGAGAGGATAGGATAGGACTTACACCAGAATGATGCTGATGAAACCAAAACGAAAAGGCTTGCCAGTATTTTGGTTGAAGGGACTACCTAATTCGAGGGAAAGCTAGCCGGCTATGCGTGAATTACTTTCCCACAAACACCCACTGGTGCAGATCGGTTTTTTGAATCTTCATAATGTATAGGTGATGATCTGCAGCGCGACTTGCTAGCCCGAGAAATCCTGGCACTTGACGTGTTTGAGCAGCTGCACCATTGACGTCGGCGCGGCTTTTATCACAAAGTTAGATGACGTTGAGGCAGAGGATGTTGGCTAGGAAAAATGCATTCTTGTGCGGGTAAGTCGATCCATAAAGTGCTCAACGACTGAAAAACTGCACTTTCTAGTATTCTTCTTGATTTATTATGTTCCGTTTTCAATCGGTTACTGAAAAATATTCACAAAGCAAAATCGCATAACTGCTATCGCCCACTTTTCGTCCTGACCGCTTGCCCGACTCGGACCGTTTGCCCGACTCCTGCGAATAGGTTGGACACAACAGAGATGACCCTTTATTCTGCGCTTGTTGATACAATCCCTTATTCCTGTTTTTGCTTGTTGTTACGCCACCTTTATTCGGCCAATTCGAACCATCTCCCTTGCTGTAGCCATCCCAATGGCCAGCATGAGTGTGGTCTCCCTTGATGTTATATCCGCCATACTGCTTGCTGTTCGTTGGTGTGGTGTACCAGGCTCGCTGATGGAGAGTCGATTGCGGGACTTAGACGAGGGACGATTCAGAATTTCTCATAGTGACACTGGTGACATGGTACTAAAAGCGTTTAGTATCTGACAAACCCTTTACGACCCACGAGCAGGATCCATCTACTCAGTTGCCCTCGATCACACACAGGATAAAAAAATCATTATCATTCCTTGAGAAGAGACAGAGAATCAAAATGCACAATGGATGTTCAGTACCCCCTTAAAACATCATGTGCTGCCCACCTTTGTGCTGATTCGCCAACGTATAGTCTTGGTAACTGGAATTCGTGTTGTAATAACCCGCGTCACTGCTAGCGCGATAGAGATCCTGGTGTGGTTGTCCTTCGTATTGACGCCTAGCAGGGCTTTCTTGGTCAGCATTGGTGTGCCGCTTCGTAGGACTTTTTTGCTCGTTTGTTCCAGAAGCAGCTACTCCACCACTCGCCTCCTCGCTCAAGGTAAACGCTGCATCCTTCACCAGTGGCCCTCCATTCCAACAGGCCTCATCGGGTGAGATCTGCTCTAGTTGCACTGCTCTCCTGTCCAGTATTAGCTGTCGAATCGCTGCTCTAACAGATGCTTCCAGAGAAACTTCTTCCCCGGAGGCGGCGCAACCACTAGCTGCGGCTGCTTCATTTAGGGCTCTTTGCTCTCGGGATTTGCTTCCGATTGCCGATGAAGCGGAAGCAACAAGTTCTTCGTGTAGTTCTTCTCCTATTTGTTGTTCCTTTACCTCGTATTCCAGATCGGCACTACCCTCTTTCCTTCCGCTATTATCTTCAGGAAGCTTTCTTTCTCTGCTTTCTCGGTTCTCTTCCAAGACACGCGATACAATATCCTCCAAGTTAATGCTGCCAGTTCCTTCCCTATTAGTGTCAGCTTGTTCGGGCGCCGCCTTTGCGTGGTCGTTACTGGGTTCACTCTTTGTGCGGTCTGGACTCGAGGACTTGGGCGAACCGTAAACGGAGGACTCAACACCGTTTTGCCTTGTTTTAGAACAATTCAACTCAAAATTATAGAATCAAGCTCTTGAAGCTATAGACGTGTAGGCTAAAGAAGTCACTACTCGCTCTACAGCTTCATACTAGCCTCTTTTATGCTTTGTTGCTGCTTGCTCTACGCCGCAGCGTCATCCCGTAGGTCTAGATGACGCTGACGAGATTGCACACGCATCCGTACCTTTCAAACCTGATTGATTAAAAAGTCCCTACAATGAATAATGTCGTCGCACCTATCTAGGAAAAACAGAGAGCTAGATTAACACAGCAAACCTTTAACAAGTCCCCACAAGGCTTGAAAAATTACTAAGATACACACTAATTCTATATGGCCTTAACGGAAGCCCCTGGACCTCCAGGCCCATCTTCGATGTCTTCGGCCCGAATGATACGCTTCGGTCTTGGCGCCACATCTCTACCCACTCCTGAAGGGTGTACTGTCCAAGGCAGAGTCTTTGGTGCCTTCTCCTTCTGTATAAGAGTTTTCTTGTTTTCGGGAGAAGAAGTGGTCCTCTTGCTCTGAGCACGTTGCAGATCGCCAGCATGTGTAGAATATGTTGAGCCAGTCGCTGTGTCCTGCTCTTCTAGGTCTATTTGCCGTCTTGCTGCAGTCGTGATGCCCTTGTCTCCTTGTAGTAATCCTTGTCTCCTTGTAGATGAGTCGGACCCATCGAAATAAGTTGTAGAAGAATTACTGCCACGTGCAGTCGGAGAGCACTGTGGGGAACAGAAGGCAATCGCGGATGGCGAAGCTCCTCCATCGAGAGGAAGCTCCTCCACGTTGTAACCTGTTGAAGAAGCATATTCGAAGTCCGTATCGTCTCTTGTGAGCGCAGCAGTATTTGGACCCTGCATCCTGGGGTCCCAGTTGTAATAGCTGTCGTCGAAGGCAGTTCCTGGATGAAAAGTACTACAACTTGGAAAAGCGCCACCAAAAATGGGAAACTGCTGTAGTTCTTGTGGACCGAACCCTCCAACTCCAAACTGTTGCTGCTCGTGAAAATAGGGAGCCCAAGAACCTTCAGGAGCCCAATCATGTTGCTCGCCATTAAGATCAACATCCACGTAGTTCTCTCCCTCTTCCTGAGAAGAGGGCTGCAGGTTGTTTTCGACTGCTTCCTCCGGAGATACTGCAGCTAAGCTGGAGATGTCATCCTCCTCTGCCACTACGCTATTTGGATCTTCACCTAGTACTACCATTTCGCCACCACCAGCCCCGGCTTCTGTTTCGCCGTCGCCTTCAGTCGCCACCTTCTCTTCCCCACCCGCACCACTGCCTGACGAGTCCTGCTGCGCGTCATGAGAGTCCTGAAGAGTAGCCAACAGCCCATCAGAGCCAACTATTGAGGACGAAGAAGTGGCCACACTTGTGTTACTACTACTGCGAGATGAACTTGCGTCCAGTTCGTCTGTAGCCTCGGTAGAAGCAACGGTGCTCTTAGACTTGGTCTGCTCATTTTGTTCCTTCACATCTGCTCGTCGATCAGAAGCTTTTCCAGCACCCAACGCTCTAGCCCTCAACGTAGATGTAGACGAGCCACTTGTACCGCGGAAACTATTTTTACTCCTCCTGGTCCTTTTTCCTGTCGTTGTTTTCGATTCTCCATGCTGTCCTTGCTCTTTATTTTCACTGTTATTCATGTGGTTTTTCTCCCGGAATATCCGGGCTTGATATCCGAAAACCGTACCGGATAAAAAGCCGAGCACGAAGACTACGCCTAGCCACATTTGCAAGGTCAGAACTATAGTCGGAAACGTGAGTAGATGTTGGCCATGTGAGGCCAGGTCTTCTAGTACTCCTACTTGGATGTTGTACGACATCGCTGAGAGTGTGCAGGAAATATTCACGACGAAGAATCTCAGAAGCGCGCGCCAGAGTTTCTTCCAAGTCTACAAGAACGACGGTGACTCGATCACATCACCGCACCCAACTCTTGTCGCCAGTTACGTGAAAATGGCTACTGTTCCGCGCTTGGGTCGCGCCCCTTCATTGTTGTAGGTCGTAGCTCGATGTGACATGATATTTTTCAAATGAAGACGAACTCACTCACGTTTACACAAATTTAGCGACTCCAGATAGCAAACAGGCTAAATCTTTAGCCACGCAGGGGGATACGACTAAGACTAGGGCTCTTGTTTGTGCCAAGATAATCACTACCAAAACGTCACCATTTGCTTTTGGTGACGAATAGAACCGAAGTTACCAGCCACCGTTGCTTTTTTATACGAGGAAAGGACACTCAATTTTGATCCTCATAATGATTTTGCCGACGACGATGCATCTCGCGCACTCACGAGGTCACCTGAAGCTGCATCGCGCAGTCACAGCGTTCCCTAAATTTTAAAAATAATCGCTCTACATTCCTATTCCCGCATTTTCTTCACCGCCACGCATGAACACACACTCTGTCATAGACAGTACACTCATATGACGTAGACGACCGCACAGTCGGGTCTTCTACTTTTTGACGCGGTTGTATTTTGCGGTTGTGTGCCACTTTACGAGAGAACGATTTCTATGAACTTTGAAATGTCCTTATGCTCAAAACACAACTGCACGTGTTCAACACACAATAATCAGTCATCACTTTCGAAAGTCATCCCAAAGCCACAGAAACCCAATTATTCGCTTCTCTTTCATCATCTCCACAAAGCAATCGAGTATCATCGTCTCGCCATGGCACAGTATCGTCTCAAATTTGCTCTTCCAGGCGTCCCAAAGATCCTTACTTCTGTTCCTTCGCCTTTCCCTCAGTGATGGAGAACTGCGCGTCCTTGTTGGTCAAGGATCGGTAGACGGCAGAGAAAACGTGAAGCTTCTCTTCGACGCTCTCCTTGTCCTTACGATCGAGGATGACCTGCGGTGATTTGATGTTTTGATGTTTTAAGAATGAGCAAGAGTATGGCGGATTTTCTAAATCCACCACCATGAAAAGCACAATATCTTAGTGTGATAATCTAAAAAATGCGGGACGCCGAGAATGCAGACTTCTGATCCTCCGCTACACTGGAACATCCGAAAAAAAAAATGTTCCTCTATATCGCTAGTACGAGGACTGATCTAGACATAGTGAGAGTCTATACCTTCAACAGCTTGCTTCCATCAGCGGAGATGCGCGTGCGCTTTCCGACGATCTCACTCGGGTAGACGACATCCTCCAAGATGGATTCGTGGACGGCGGTCAGGGTGCGGGATCGCGGACGCACCTGGATACCCTTACGACGGAAGTTCTTGTCCATAATCGTACGGTTGGCCACAATGGTGATAGTCTTCTTCTGGAATTTCTTCTCGAGCTCACGAATCAACTTCGGGATGAACTTACGAGCATCCATGTAGACGACATAGGGGACGAACATGATGATGCCATTCTTGTTCACCTTTCCACCGGTGATCTCGATCTCCTTGGCGCCGGCGAAGCGGAAATCTTTCAGATCAGCCTTGAGCTCGTTGCCCTGTTTTGGTTTAATATTTCAAGATTGGGAAATGAGCATTGCCATGTTGTTCTTGGAACACGACTCCGTTGGAACAAATAAAGCTTTGCAAGTTTTGCAAGTCTAAATTACTTTATCTATCGCGAAAGGGAACCAAAAAACCGACAGGAGAGAACCCAAATTGCAATCTAAAAACCAAATTCTGTGTGTAATCTAAACACGACTTCTTGCTCTGCTATACTCCTATCTAAATCACCCACAATCCTGGCAAAATCCACAACATCAAACAGCTGTTGTTGACAAGCCTAAAACAAGTCTAAAATGCTTTGTTGAATAGTGAATACCGGAGCGGCCTCGATGTCGACGATGGCCTTGGCAACCTCCTCTTCGAGCTCGTTGGGGCTGACGCCCTTATCCTTGACGATTTTACTGGAGATAGCGGCCATTTTTTGTTTTAAAAGAAAAAATGGCTTAGGTACCAACCGCGGTCCTTTTTCTCGTTTCCCTGGAAGGATTTAGGTTTTTTCAGTTTTAGAAATCCAAGTATGGCAGTAGAAAACAATGGAAAAATTGGCGTGGAGTCGGAGAATCTTCAGCGTTTCAGGGATCGTTTCGGATCTTGATGGGCCGAAGACTTATGCTTTAGAGATGATCATGTGGAGTCACAAGGGTACTTGGATCAGTGAAACCGTGCTCAGTGATCTTCTCTTTCGCACTCTTTGTGCACTTTTTGAACGGACCTTGCACCACTCTAAAGTTGTGGCCATGACCGAAAAGGACTGCTGAATTTGGAGGAGGCTATGGACCAAATACGAATCAGATCCCGGATCATTTTTGAATCAAGCTGGTCTTTTAAACATCAACCTTCTAAATTCAGCCACAGTCGAAACTTTGACACTGATCTTTAGCTTGATTGGGTCCTTCTCACAGATGTTTCTTTAGAACCAAAGCCGCACAGGAACACCTTCTGTTGGCGGACCTCAACTTTTCACCAGCTCTGAGCGTGGCCTGATCTTGATGCTCACCCATTGCTCGATTACTATACCATTCCCAAGAACTGCGAGATCGATCATACACAGAAAAGAGAGCAATCGTAGTGGTAGCCGCAGCCCATAAACTGTGGTACCTCAAAAAAACAACCGGTCATTCCCGTGCAGCAACAAGGGAGAAAGACACATAATCAGTAACTTTGACTGATTGTACTTCTAAAACCTAGAACAATGACACGCGCTCGAGGACAGTCGGAGGTGTGAACAATTCAAAATGGAAATAACAAGGATTCAAACTGAAAACCACATGATAAACAGAATGCGCCTGATCAAAAAACCCCGTCGCATGTTCTACGCGCTCTAAACCAAACAAAAACAAGCTAGTAATTATCCTACAAACAAGGCATTCGTATAAATTTAAACCAGCTCAGCATAAACCCAAATCTCGAAAAAACACCATCATCATCGAACTCACTCTGCACGAAAACCTAAAAAACACTCACTGGCCCCATTCGGGCTTCAGGGTCCCATTCCTTCTGCTGCTCAGGGTCTGCCGACATCCAGCCCGCTGCCTCTGTGTCCTCTGGCCAACCAGAGGAACCATAACTGCGGTCAGTGCATGATTTCCCAACAGCTGACTCACAAGTGAAGCGGCAATTTCGCACTGTAGTTGAACCCAGGCCAGCGCCCGATCCGGTGTACTTTTGAAGCCTGGCATAGGTGACTGAATCCAAGCGACGCCAGGATTGGCAACAGGGGAATCGAGCCCAAACACGGAAGTCGTGAAAATGACCCCAGGATGACTGGAGCGGCGCTTCAGTGTCGCGAAGGATGAAAGAGAGGATACAAACTTATAATTTATTACTAGCAGGTTCCCTGATTTCACCATCATGCGATATTATCACCATCAAAACTACACCTCGATAATCCCATCCCTATCGTCCAAACTAGAAGATGTGAGATTTAGATCTACCGATCCTCGTTCTAAATACCTCTGTGAGGCGTCTACTCAAGCCAGTTGCTCGGTGTACTGAAAGTCTCCCGCCAATCTCTCGCATACGGCTAAAAAACCAATGAACAAGTATACACGTCATGTCATGGTACCTCTTGTGTAGCTATTAGCGTCTACTTGCGAGGCCAACCAGTAAGCTAGTACCTCCAGAGGAGCGCTAAAGTACCGGTATAAGAGTATTTGTATCTATTAGACTGACAGGAAATTGCTTTACAATCTCCAACACACTGCTCGGTGAAGAGGAATACTGACAGGAAATTGCTTTACAATCTCCAACACGCTGCTCGGTGAAGAGGAATACTACCGTGTCATAAAAACAATCCCACAATTGCAAAACAGTAAGTCGCTGCATGCAAAATCATCGTCGCCTTCCAGGCGTGTTTGCGTCGTTTGGCAGTCGATCCTTCGCCAACTATCACACCGTGTGCACCCTACCCAAAATACTTGGGACTCGACAGCTTGATTTAGAGATTGCAAGTTGAAGCTTGATTTAGGGATCGCATGTCTATGACCATCCGAAGTACTTGAAAAGGCCGCAGACATGCGCACAAAGAGGTCAACTACTTGTTTCAACCCTTAATTTGGTACTAGAGGTACTCTTCGACAGAACTGGCACCATTTTGGTTACCGCACGACTCCGTCTTTGCGCGACTACAGGTAAACCGAAATGGTTTTTAGCCACGACTAGAGGCTTGACCAACGTCTTTTTCTGTATATCAGGAACTTGTCGACAGATGAAACCAAAAGCGCCACTAGAAATTCGAACCGCATCTTGGTGCTCAGGGATCCACTTGTTTTTGTAGACCAAACGCAGAGGCTGTGGGCTTGTTCGTTGTTGTTGCAGTTGAGCCTGTGCCATCTGGTGCTGTTGGGCTTGTGATTGCTGCTGATGAAGCAGCAACGAGTTCATAGAAGCCACGATTTGTTGCCGTTGCTGTTGTTGCAACCCGAACTTCGCACCAACACTCGGTTGAAAAGGGATTTGAACTGCACCGTGCCAAGGAGAAAGTTGCTGGCCTAGATACTGTTGTACTGGAGGTTGCTGTGGTTGAGGTTGCATTGGAGGTGAATACTGTTGCATTGGAGTTGAATACTGTACTCCTGGCAGCGCGGGACTAGAAACGGCACTACTAGCACTAGTCCCAATTTGCGGAAAACCAAGTCTCGGCGTCTGAAGCTCTCGTTGTACCACACAGAAGCCAGCGTTACTAGTGCTTGGACTACTTTTAGTGTCCAAAAACTCATCTTCATCTACCTCCTGCCGACTTCCCGTCTCAACAGGAAACTTATTCTTGGCATAAAATTCTGCCACTTGTTCCACCTGTTGGCGTTTTTTTGACAAGCGTGTACTCGGTCCCCTCGGTCCGACCGCTCCAAATATTTCCTCTTCTATCTTCATCTTTCTTGCTTCGGAGTAGGGCAATACGTACTCTGCTTCGTCGTCATCTTCATCATCGTCGTCCTCCTGCACAAGTCCAAGTGCTCTCTTATTTGTCCGTCGATTATCTTTTACACTTGCTGTATTTCTCAACGCTCTAGCATTCTTCTTCAGATGGTGCATTGACACGTGTGGCGTTGTCTTTGGACGTGGAAAGGCGTACGGCATCGAGGCGTTTCGCTGTTGTGTAGTGTTCACACTACCACTACTATCATGTTGCAATTGGAATGCATAGCTCGAAGGCGCAACTTTGGATACTCTAGAAAAGTTGTAGGGCTCCCTAAACTTCCGACTTCCGGTTTGACTGCTCGTCGTACTAGGTGGCTTACTGCTGTGGTAGCCTCTACGACCACCACCAGTACCACTATTGAGCATCTTTTCCATAAGCCCCTCGCCTTCTCCAGTATCTGCGCTAGTCCAGTCGTGTCTATTTTCCTGCTTCAGAGGAATAACAGGCGCCATCTGCAATAGATTTCCTTCAGATTGCGACTCATCCTCACTGGTCAGCCTTCCCTCAGCCAGGGCCCAATCTTGGTGAAAACTTACTGAGCGATCATGCTCGTAATTGGGAGGGTCAGGGAGTATCGTGGTCGTTGTGCTGGTTGTTTTGCTTTTGACGCCGTGGTCTGAAGAAGTCCTGCTTCGAGCAGCTGATGGTTGTCTTGGCGAGGGTTGTTCACGAAGGTAAGTGATACCGTTAGAGAGGTTTAAGTTCCTATGTCTTGGACATTCTCCAATGTCCGCGAGCCACGCTTCTTCCTCCTGGTCTTGGCGCTCTTCTTCGAGGACTTTATTGCTGCTAAGTTCTCGAGCCCGCTTGTCACGCATCAAGTCTAGTTGCAGTTCGAAATCTGTCAGAGCTAGCAGTTCTGGATAGACTTCTCGGTCGATTATAGTTGCAGCTACCGAAGACTTTCCTTCGTTGTGCTCATTCTCGCGACTCGACGAGGATGAAGCAGGACCACTACATTTCTCCACTACCACTTGCATCAACTCTCGCATCCGTTTTTTATAGTGTTCACGAATTCCATCCACGGAAAGCAGGATTCTCTCCTTCACCCCAGAGATTGCGGTTTGCACAACACCACGATCAATGAACAGTTCTTTCCCAGAAGATGTTGAAGCATGTTGTTCCACTAATCGGAATTGTCGTAGTAACAAACGGGCCTGAAACTCAGCTGGATCAGTCACTAGTGCCCACAGTTCTGACAACAAGGCGTGGACCAGAGACAATTTAGAAGAAGTTCCAGCACCAGATGTTGTTGACAACATGTCACCGCCCGTATTTTTCGGTGATCCCGAGGACGCACAAGTCGCAATCTCTTCCTGTTTTTTCCACTGCTTCGATTTCCGTATCCAAGAGGGTGCATCGTGCAGTTCGCGATCAGAGGCTGATGAATCTTCAAAATCAGAGGACAAAGATGTGGTGAAAGAAACTGCAGCCACGTCTGACAATTGCCCTGTCTGTTCCTCAGTCTCTAAAACTTGTTCCCCAGTCTCAGTGTTTTTCCTTGATGCTGCCTTTTTAGATACGGTGGTGGAGACGTCATCATCGCTGGAACAATTCTTGTCTATGATCATGATATCATCTTCGTTGCAGACCTTGTTGCTAGAAGCAGACACGCTAGACACAGACACGATGTTGACGTCGTCCTTATCTTCGTTGCTACCGTGTCCGCAGTCCACTTCTATGTCGTCGTTGCTACGATAATCTTCTTGTCCAGCCCCTTTCCTTTGAGCCATCTCGCTTTCCTCCTCATGAATACGAGGCGTCGAGGGTCTGCTTCTCCTTTTTGGTACAGCCAGCGGCTCTTGCCGTTTCGAAGTAACATCTTCTTCTTGCTGATGTCCTCGTTTCTCGCGTGCTGGATTCTTCATCTCTACAACTCCAGCTTTCCTACACCGACGCTCTTCTTGGCGTGCTGCCTGGTCGGCCAAGCTCTGCAACAAGTCCGCGAAAGGTGCAAAGCTTGCCTCTTGTCTACCTAGAAGCACGTCACTTTCGATCAACAGTTTCGCAGCTGTCGCTCTCCTGCAGGTCTCTGCAAATTTCTTCCTTTTACTAGGCCGTCCTCTACCACCTCTAGCGCGCAAAGATGAGCTCGCTTTGCTGCTCTTTTTGGAGTTGCCAAAACAGGACAAAACACCAGAACCACGTGGTCCTCCTCGTCCTCCACTGCCAAAAGAGCTGTTGGCAACGGCATTTGCGCCTCTGACTTTGACAAACATGTCCCCATCTCTGAGACTAAGTGCCAATTTGACGCGCAGAGGCGCACCTAGCAACCGTCTTCGCTCCCTTGCTCGCCACTGTTGCCGCTGCATTGCTTAGGGGATGCAAGTTGACCGATCTTCTAGGTCGCATTTCTATGACATTCCTAATTGAAAGGGCCAAAGATATGCTTACAGAGAGGTCAACTGCCAAGCCTTAATTTAAATTCTCAATCTTGCGCGCGTGCTCGTGCCTGTATTTTTCGACAAGTGGGGTCATCTGCACAAATGTTTTAGTCCGCACAACCCTCACTTTCGACATAGGATACTTGTACTGGTTTTCCTCGGTGTCCTTCCCTGTGATACTATATTTCCCGCCACCACTACGACCACCTGTTTCTTTCCGCCCACTTCCATCTTCGGAAGAACCACCACCTCCATTTGAAGATGATGGATCCTCACTAATTGTATCATCTTCATCAGACGAATTTGAGGATTCTGGCACGTACTCACTCTCCGACGAAGAACTTGGCTCACTACTATCACCATTTTTGCTCTTCAATTTACCTTTATTCCTCTTTTTCTGACGTGGTTTCGCAGTAGACGTGCCCTTTGTGCCCTTTCCCTTCGCTTTCGGCTTGGAAGGTTGTGAGTTTTCAGACTCGCCTGAACCAGCGCGAGGTCGGCCTCGGGGTCTTCTACTCGCTGATAAAACTAGTCCTGTGTCCATCGGCGGCACAGAAGATATCTGCGGCACAACAAGCGATGAAGAAGATGTTGGTGCTGTTGGAAGCACAACTAATGCGCTACTAGAGCTAGTATTTGCCGACGCACTGCTCAGCACAGGATTTGCGCTGACTGGTGTAGCGCCCTCTACTGCATTCATTTTATCTTCGTTCTCTACTTCGTTATTTCTAGCAGAACTAGTCCGACTCCATCCCCCACTAGCGCCAGCACCTCCTCCGCCACCACCTGCAGAACAAGCACTGACTCTTCCCTTCTTCAGAAGATCCTCCAAGTCATCCAAAGTGAACATGCAGGTAGCTGCCGTGTGAGCAGTAGGATCGCCACGGGCAAGGCGTTCAACGTGAAGCATCTGCTGCTCTTCCATCAGCTCATCGACTTTGTTCACCAATTTCTGTTTCTCAGGTGATAGCCGTTCTGCCTCGGTCGCTCTAAATTGTAATTCGGCTAGTTCATCCGGACGGGAGAGAAGGTTTAGGATTGCTGCGTCAGTAGTGGAGGGAGTTGACCTTTGTTGATTTTGTTGATGTGCAGTTTGTTCTTGTAGTGCTGCTGCTGGGCCTGCTTCTTGATGTTTATTATTGCTATTCAAATTGGACACGAGAAGACAAGAGGAAGTCGAAGAAAACACCTGCCCTTTTTCTTGCTTGTTCTTGCGTGCTTCTCTTGGTACACGCCTCAGCACCTTCGGAGACCGCGTGCGACTCACAAGACGCGACCCCGATTCCTCCACTGGTTCGAGAGTCCAATCAGCAGAAGCAGAGGCGGGTGGAACAACATGTAGCTCACTTCTTGTTTTGCAAGAACTTAACTTGTAGTTACTGAACTTTGTTGAAGTCCTTGCACTAGAAGCAAGTCTACTTCTTCTGTCCGCCTCCCTCTTGTCTCTCTCCGCGTCAAAGGCAAAGCGCACACGCGTTGCAGATATGCCACGTTGCACCGCGGCTACTGGTGCAAAACTACGCTCTCGCAGTCCCTGCAGTTTTTCACGTCTGAGTTTCGCCAATTTTCGGGGATCGATGTAAGAGGGAACTCGGACTGATCTGAGCAGATCAGTTTTCTCCTCTGGTTCGTTGTCTGAATCATCAATCCTCCCACTAGCACTATTAGGATAAGCCGGAGTTAGACGCTACGGAATTCCATTCCTCAGAACATCCCTGGCTTCTTTTCTACTGAGAAAAGCGCTAGGGATGGTAGTGGGGAATGCAATTTGGAAAGAACCCTTAACGGAAAAAATGGTCGTGAACCCGTCATCCAAAATTCTGCATCCTGAAATGCTTCTGCCCAGTTACTGAAATGCCACAAATGCTCATCCCATTGGTCGTTCTCTTGGTCGATGTGGTGGTCTTGAAGAAAATCCCCTTGTTCTTCGGACCACAAAAACTCTTCACGATGGAATTTTTGACCATCACCTTCTACAACTCCACCAGGATCACCGTCTATGATATCCATATCTCCCTGTTCTAGCTGCAGGTCATCTTCAGAAGAACTACAATTGTGTCTCTGTGCTGCTCCTCTCAGCTGCCGCAGTTGTCGTCGGCGATCTATATCCCCTTCAGCACCGCGGAAAGTGACGCTGTAGACGTCCTGCTTTGCCGCTCCTTTTGGTAGAGTACAGAGAGCTAGGTGTGAAGAAGTGGTGGAACCCTCAATGTTGTAGCTGTTCTTGGAAGAACAAACCACACTGTTATGCTGACTGTGTTGACTGTTCTTGTAGCTGTTTTTACCAGTTGGTGCGTCGTCGCTGGAGAAATCTGACTCTTCTAAGTGGGTAACGCGACTGTAGCCATCACAGTACTCGACTTCGGGAATGACGCCGATTTTCGTTTCCGTGTCATAGATTAAACTGTTGCTTTCATCGACGATCTGGTAGGCAGTTGTTTTTCTCAGCGTCTGACTCTGTCGCCAAGCCCACTTGGTACTCTGCTTTGTGTACGTTGAAGAGGAATTCTTTTGCTCACTATCAGAACCACCTGTGGCGAATGTAGTCGTCATCCCACGACGACCATTCTTGTTGAATCTCTTGACGAAACCTGCTTTGCCAGGGATGACACTGGTTTTCGACAAGATGCCCGTGCTGGATTTGTTCTGAACTACTCGAACATTCACAGGATGAAGGGGCTCTTCACTCGGCAGGTCGACTGGAAGTGTTCCACCATAGTGTCGCCACATCTTGCGAATAAAATCGAAGCCGGAAGTTAGACGTATAAGTCGGATGAATCATGTAGATGTCACTACATTTTTCTTAAAAGTTACAGCTGTCCGCCTAAGTTGTGTTTACTGTACCTGATGTTGTCTGACAGGTTGTACTACTGACTAGTACGCACGTCTGTTTATTCTAGCTATGTAAGAAGATTCAAGTCGTCATGACAATCTGAAGGCAATGAAGAAAATCAAAATTACGAACCTTCAGTTCTACTTCTAATAAGTACATCCACGGTCCATAAGTAAATATCCCGCAACTCCGCAAATGCTAGTGTATCTTCGCGCTCAAGCATAGCCTGCACTCCTCCCGTAGGACAAGCACCAAAAAATGCGACTTCTTCGGTGGATCGGACTGAATGACAGAAATTGTCATCCAAGGCTTTCGTGGAGAGCAGAGGTTGATCCAGCAGGGAAGCGACATCAGAAGCTGCGGCATAGGAAGGTGTGGTACTGGTAGTCATTCCGTTTGGACGCGTTGAAGATATCTTCCCAGATTTAGTCGGCCGACCACGAGGAAGCGTTGAAAGAGCCGTAGAAGAGGAGAGTAGTTTGTTCTTATCTGTTGTCCAACCTTGATATTTGGGCGTTCTTGAAGAAACGGATGCCAAGCCTTTTCGTTTTGAAGATGATGTTGCAGAACCTCCAACCTCCAACTCCTTTGCTTCTCTTTCCCTCATCCTCTGTTTCTCCAAAGTTGCTTTGTTAAAGGCTTCAGGATCTTCAGCAGCGTCTTCCAGCGCACGTCCTGCTACAGGTATTACTCTCATGTATCGCAATTCGTGGACTAACTCCGCATACAAATCGTCCAAAAATAAGGAAATATCGTCAACGTGATCCAGAAAGTCGCCGTCGCATTCCTCTTGATGCTCGGCTAGAAGTCCCATTCCCAACGGTTGAAAGACAACGTCGTGGAGAAATCGTCGGATTTTTCCCAAAGTGAGCTCGTTCAAGTCGTAGTCGGCACGAACGAAGTCTTCGAGTGTGCGTTGGACGATTGATCGCAGTGCGAAGCTGTCTTCCCAAGATAGTCTTTTCTCATTCTCAACAACGCCAACAGTTCTTCTAGTACTCCTCGCAGTGATGTTAGCAGTACGAGCACTCGTCTTTGATCCAATTCTACTAGGAGACGGAGGTGTGTGTGGTCCACATGCTATGTAGTCGTCCCACACCTGCTCACTCCAGAAGGCTTTTTCCTCTACAGCGAAGCGCCAAGTCGCTGTGGAAGTGGAACCAGGGAAATGCGAAAGTGGTACAACGAGTGGAGACGCGTTGTCTTCATCACGAAGATGTGGATCCTCTTCAGCAAAAGACTCTGAGGAGGCAGTGGTTGACTTGGTGGTTATGGTTCTTGCCTCTGCTTTACTGCGGTCTTCTTGTGGTCCTCTTTCATCGTGAAGTGAGTGGTCCTTTTCCTTTTGCGACGAGGAGGTGGCTCCTTCCGCAGCTAGTTGTAGTGCACTCAAACTTAAACTCTCTGAGGCGAAGACGTGTTTTTTGAATGCCGCGAACATTGCGTCATCCGATGCTATCTGAATCGAGGTTAATTGCGCAAAGGTCTTCGCCTCTTCGTGCCTATCTCTCGCAGAAGCAGCGAGCTCGTCAATGAGGTGGGATGGAGGGATCCTGGCGTCTAACAGATGAAGAGCAGATTGAGGTTGTGAGATTTCCGGAGGACGATGAGCAGCTGTGTGATCGGAAGATTCCTGATTCTCCATTAATGTGGGAGCAGTCGTAAAGATGTTTTCCATTTGCTGCGTGCCGTCTTTATTCGTATCCAGATCTAAGCCCACACTATGTGATGGAGCAACGGCGAATAGACGACCTGCAGATGATGTTGAATCTGCTTCTACTCGGTTTGCACCAAGAGCAACACTGGTATCATTTCCGCCGAAAGGCCCCATTGGCATCGGCACCACACCACTACCTCCAAACCCTCCTGCAAACATGGTCTTAAACGCCTGTTTCATCCTAGCACGTTCAGAATCAGAATCTTCAGACGACGAATCGTCTTCTGCGACGCCAGTGTTAGAGGTCACCCTAGTAATCCATCCTAAGATACATCTTTGTCTCTTAAAAAGTCCCACTAGGATGCTTCTGAAGATGGTGGACTAGAAAGAGCCTTAACAGTGCCAATGATAACACCCGCATCAGAATCAGCGTCTCCTTCTTTGCGATCACAAACACGCGCAGCGCAAGTGTTCCTTTTGTTGATGCTGGTCGTGGTACAACTAGAGGGATCTTGATTACTAATGTTTGGTGCTGCTGGTGGAAGCTTGGAGAGGTTGTCTGAGGTGATTTTTGTACTATGTTCAACATTGGTTCTTGCTCCTGCAGGCAGTTTTTGTTGAGCAGTTGTACTGGACGATGAAGTCTCTACTAGATGATTCACGAAAGTTGCACTAGAGGATGAAGTTGAAGACTCTGTAGTTACCAGTGGCGAGCTGAGTGGTGAAGAGAGGGGCTCAAGGTTCGCTAACGATGAGTTGTATCCTGACTGCAGACCCAACACTTGAGGGGATCCAAAAGGCGTGCTGTGCTGTGATCCCTCATTTCTCGTAGCTTCTACAAGAGCAGAAGCTTGTTCCCGTGCTAAAGACTTATCCTGGTCCTGGTGCCCTCTTCGGTGTTCCACGTCGTCGTCGTTTGATCTACCTTTACTAGCATCGTTCTGGCTCTTCCCTTCCTGATCCTGTTGCCGACTACTATTTTTAGCCACGTCAGGAGGACATAACACAGACCGCACATGCCCTTCACCACTCCAGTTGGACGGTCGACGAGATTGATTGTCGTGGTACCACTTCTCAACGATGACCGTGATTTTGTTTTTCAGCCGTAGCACTGGTTGCATAATATCAGAAGCTGGTAAGCACGTGCAATTCTCGAAATGGCGACATGAAAAATTCGGGAATGCTTCTAGTAAGTTGAAAGCCTCCAGTGGAAGTTGGACTTCTCTGCCACACTTGTCGCACTTTCTGGTCTTTTTTACAGCAGGAAATGGAGGTAGAGAAGATGAACTTGAGGACGCCACTGGCTCTTGCGGCACTACTACGCTATTATTTTTAGTGGTACAGCAGCTTACTAGAGTAGAAGTACTTCTTCTAGTAGGCAAAGAGCGCAAAACCCTGCCACCAACTGGAGCTGCATTCTCATTTCCATCGTCGTCTGGTACTAGACAACTACAATCTGCCAAGTCCTTACAGAAAAACGAACGGTCTCCTTGATACGCAAGTTCTACTTCCTTCGTCACTATCCGCCACTTATTACAGGCATCACAGCACACCCACGACAACTCTTGCTGGGTTGCTGGTGGCTGGTGAGTAGGGTGCTGGGTCGTGGGCGGGAAAGCACAATTTGAATTTGTTGCAAGGTTTGGAGGAAGAAACTGAGCATGAGGCTGATGCGAAAATTGTTGCTGGAGAAGAAATTCTTGTCGTTGTTGCAGATGCTGGAAAAGAAACTGTTGCGAAGAAGCTCCGCCCGGTCCGAAACTGTCTCCGTTAGAATTAGTCGGGTACTGGTCTCTTCTTGCCGCTCTGATTCTTTTCCCCCTACTGACCACGCACAACGCATTACTAGAAGAAGATAAGTGTGACCCGGTAAAAATTCCAGTCCTCTTCCCGCCTCCATTCTTCAGGGCTAGAACTCTTCTTTGCTTTCTGCGTTTCTCCTGTCTATCGCCATACTTCTTGAGGACTAGGGCAGAGGAAGATGAAGAAGATGAGAATGGGGAAGCAGCAGTGTTTCTAAAACCTGTTGCCTGTGGCTGTGATCGCAGATTCTTCTTGGTCCACACACCAGAGGTGGAAGACGAGCTTCCTCCAACATGGAAATTGCCAACGATGTTCTGCTGCTGCACTGAGGAGCCAAAGCGTCCATTGAGCACATTTTGCACATAGGCGTCGATACGCGCTGTAAGCCTCCTACGCACGTCGACGAAGTCCTTTCTGCGTCGAAGGACATCAGCGCTGCAACTGGTGGTCGGAGTACTCATTCTGGTGTACTTACTTATTCATCCATTCCATTCCATTGAGTCTATCATTGACCAGCATAGGAACCCCTAGACTATATTACGATGACACCCTGCCACCTCAAATACATGAAGTCACCTAGTAAAATGAATTTGCCATTCAAGACACTGTCGGCAGTCAGTGTCTTGTGTGAACAGAAGTTGAAACAAGGATACAATTACAAACTTCTGGAAGTAGAAGTACAACGAAGCACAGTGGAGGGACCTTTTCACATTTAGGGCAACTGTCACTACTGAAACTGCACACCTCACTCTCGCTCCCACAGCCTGCGCTCAGAGCTACCGCTGAATAGGAGAGAAAGAAATCATGAGAGAGAAGTTTGAAACACAAATCTCAACTTAAAGCAAGTAGAAGCTTCTTGTTCTTTCACTGTGGTCAATTATGCACAGCATCTTTCTTCGTTGTAATCTTTTTCTTCAACTTCGAGGATACTTCTTCATCTTTCTGTCGAGCTTGAAGATGTGCATTGTCTGCTGAACACGCCTTGCTGTTATGTCCACCTTGTGAACTGCTGCACAGTTTGTGAGTCTTATGATCAGGAAAGTGTACGTGGCGCAACATACATCCTCACAGTCAGACTACTTTTTATACCCCAATCTTACACCCAATTCTTTCAATGGCTTAGTCAACCTTCATCGGTTCTTTAGTCATGGTAGCCGCTGTTGATGAGGCACCATCTATAATCATAGGAATTTCTGCGTGTTCACAACAACTTAATCTTGTTGCATGTTCTTCAGCATTACATGACTTTTCATCGTTGGACACATCGATGACTTCAGTAAGTGTCTTACTAAAGTTTTTGTCAAGATTCCCAGCACTACGAGCATCTTCAGATTTCTTTTTCTCTTGCATAAATTTTCCCCGAAAAGGTAAATCCCCATAACTGCAGTAGTGCCAGCCCACTCCACCTGCTAAAAGGAATCCAGGCAGCCAACAGAACAACAACAAACTCGTTCCTCTTTCTAGACTGCTGCCGCCAAAAGGTCCTGAACCTCCAGAACTAGAACTGGACGAAATGCCTGTCCTCCACTTTTCTTGCAGAAACAATCCCTTGAAGTGTCGAAACATTTCCCTGCGAGCTTCGTCCCTTCTGCGTTTTTCCTGCATTTCGGAAGCTCCTTGGTCACCAATTTTCTCTTTCCAGAGGTGACTTGGTGGTGGAGGGGTAAAGGACATATGGAAGCGTGTACTCATCTGCAATATTCTCGTAGACAGTCCTCGGCGCGGTAAGATTATCCCAGGAACGTGTACGCGCAGTTTCCCTCTCCTGATCATGTGCAGAAATGAGCTGGTGCTGTTGCTCGTGCGTGTCGTAAGCAGATTTGATGTCGTCATTTTGATTTTGTTTCATCATCCGAGACCTAAAGTTGACCCTATTTTGAGAAAAACAAACTCTAGTTCTTTTGGCTGAACTATTCTCAAATGAACTTCCAAGCAAGTGCATGTAAAAGAATTCAATCGTTTACAGCAATAGCAGTAGCAGTAAGTTCTCGCATTTATTGCGACGACTACCGAATGACGCGGCGCATCGAGGTCTCCTACGAGGTCTCGTTTTATTGAAAGGCCTTTCGACCATACTTGATTTTCATTTTCGCCAGACTACCCCTACTTCCTTGCAGCAAAAAAAACCTTCAGAAATACTCCACAAAGAAATGATTTTCTCTCCTCTTCCGGACCAATGCGCCATTGCTGGGAACACCCGTGGGCAAGTAACTATCAGCAGACACAAGAAGTCCCAGTATCATATTGAGGATCTTGTCTTGTCAAATCGGTGTGTGACTGGTGAGAGACTCAGGGCGCACAATGACTATACTTGAGCGGTGCTCGCAAACATTTACGGACATTTTAAATCCGACATTTTTGGAGAGAAGAGGTTCTACAGAGGTTTTGTTTTGTTTTTGAATACGCATTCGCATGAATTAGGCAAAAATTGTTGTTGAGATATTATGTGACTCAATCTCGAAGCGAGACAGTCGAATCAATACAGCGTATTGATCATTTCGCGTTGTGATAGAAGAATTAATACATGAGATGTTGATAAGATCGACAAATCATCGCCTTTGTGATAGTTGCTAAGACGATATAGCTAATGACGACTTTTTTCTACAACCAAGCACCAGAAGACATGGGCTAAAAAAGAGCAGGCTCCCATATTGTCCTCTTTATAATTTGTGCGATTGGTATACTAGAAAAAAGAGATCATAACTTCTTAGACTAGTGTGGATCTTAGACGTCGCAGTAGGAGCTAATAGGAGCTCGGCCTAAACCCAGTCAGGATCATTCTTTAGCTACTTCCGATGTGAGTCTGTCTTCCTTGATAGCGATAATAAGAAGAGAGTGCATTCTTGAAACAGGGACATATGACACTCAAATAATAGGTACTCAAGAATTTATACGTAGACTTCTGAGCAACAATATGACGTATGTAACATACGTCATAATGACTATGAAGCTTTCCATAGATACTTACCAGAAATCACCTTCGCGCCAAGATGATACTAGGATATTATTATATTAAAGAAAAGCAATATCTTCCGTCGAGCAGCAGTAGCAACCTCATCAAGCAGTCTCTCTTCTTGCAGCGTCGAGCACTTTGTTTTTTTACATATTTTTACGTGAAGTTACGAAAAAGCAGAAGCGCATTTTTGAAGACCTTTTGTAAGAACGGGAGAGAGCAGAACTGGAGCTATATAGTCTTCAAATTCAACATGACGATCTACCCCATGAACTAATAACGAGTATAATAACACTACGAAGAAGAAGAAAATATTGAGTCCCTAAACACAAACTGAATAAATAAGTATGAGTATCATGAAACAAACGCCAAAGACACACTAGGTCGTAAATAATACTAGCTGTAACTAAAACTATCAACTACAAATAATAAGAAATGACTAAAAAGCTAAACTGGTCAATTTTTTGGGGATCTGACTTGATGAGAATATAGCAGCTTTAATATGGGAAAAGACTGGATGTTACATTAGCGGGGGTCGCTGCTGCTATCATTCTGCTTACATCAAGTAAAAATGTCGTTTCTTTCCCCAGGAGAGCTGAAAAACTGTACGAAATTAATTTGTATCTTTGTCTTTCCTGACATCAAGGAAGACACAGACTTAGCGTCTAACCTACGCTGCCGTACTTGCAGGTGCCGCCGTACTTGCGGCCCCACTTGAAGCAGCGGCAGTTGCACCGGCTACGGTTCCACTAGAAGAACCTCCTCCGGCACCATCCTGTATCGCTTTTGTGTCTCGGGCCGCAGGAATTAGAGACTCTACTTTGAAGGTAAAAATACTTGTCTTTGTAACTTTGTAGCTTCCCTAGTATTGACCCTGGCTTCGTCCACTTGAATGAATTGGAAAACCTTCATTGATGCTCATCTCATCTCCTGTGCTTGCTCCGTGTTCTAGTCCTAGCTTGACTATGTAAGTAGCCACACTACATAGAGGTTCTCGAGAAATAGGAATAGCTGATTACAATAAATTACGTTTCCATCATGTTTCTGTCATAAGTATAGTCTCTCCAACTCAGCCCAAGTCGCTTTTCGTCTTTCCAGCTTCTGCGCTTCCTCCTCCATCTGCGCCCTGTTATTCGCACTACACTCGTCAAACAACGGCGGATCAGCTTCCATCAGTAGCTTCAACACGTTGAAGGTTAGGCCGTGGACCTGGCAGTTTTTATTTTAGGAGGAAGTTGTAAGTAGATGACTGGTGACACGTTGAAGTTGTAAGTAGATGACTGATGACAAGCTTTTAGGCTGTAGCTGCTAGTGTGATGTAGGCGGTAGATCAAACGGGTCCGTAGGTATCAACCGTGATACAATCACAAAGCTCCGACCACTCCTTCACCGGCCTACGAGTATGAGTTCTCAAAAAGAATAGCATAATAATTACCGCTGAGTTCCAATGGTGCTTGCTCGTGTTGTAGAGGGCTCCGAGAACTATGGGGAAGAGTTCTTTTCTGTTCTGGTTGATGAGTTTCACGATATAGTCGTTGTTCCATAAAAAGAGACTCCTCTCCGCGACTTGGAAATGTGGGCAGTCGATACCTATGGTGGCAGAAATTGAGTGTTCGCTTCCTACGTACTTAGCTAGAAGAAGGTGACTTGATGTTTCTGCTATCATAGTCGCAAAAATAAGTCAGGATACTGGATGATGCTTTTTTTTCAAGTGACAGACAGGGAAGAACCAGAATAAATCAAATGAATACACAACGCCACTCTTTTGAATAGTTGCTTCTGGATGGCGATGAATTCTGGAGGCTGGACCAACTCTAGGATCTCCTCTAGCTCGTTGAGGTAGAGGATTTGTTTGCTCGTCAGACTGACCGGCCAAAATTTGAGCATGCTCATTATGATGTCTATCGCAAGCTTTGGATCCTTTTCGACGAATTGGGTCATGCCTGTTGTTTCGGAGTGTGCTTCGTGTAAGACCTCCCAGATGCTAAATTTATCATGCAAATCACAAGATGCAAGCAAGTCTGCTCGTGCTGCTCAGATCTAGGAGTACACTACAGCGGTCATGTCATGTCCTGGCGCCGTTTATGTAGCTCTTAATGCCTACTCGTGAGGCCATCCAATACTACAGCTAAGCTGTAGCTAGGCAAACTACAATTAGTTATATTGAGATGGACCGTGGAAGACCAAAGGCGTGAATATCTTTTCAGAAGAGTAACATCTATGTATCAGAGCCTAGAACTCAGAACATGCGGAGCCGAGAAGACTATATACAATTAGTTCTTTTATATAATATTAAGTTGTAACCATTAGCTCAAAAAAAGTACAGTAGCTGAGCTGCTGATGGAATGAGGCGAGGGACTTGACTTTATGGAGGGGAATGAGGGCACGGACGAGGAAGTCCTTATGTTCGTCCTTGAGCGGGAGTGCGAAACCATTGATAATTGATCCCAAAATTTCCAGAAGCTCGCCGACGCCTATGTATTTATATATTTTAGTGAAGAAGGGTATTGTTGACAAAGAGTGAAGGAGGGTATTGTGAAGGGTATTCTTGACAATCTGGAGAGTATTCTTGACAAATAGAAGGGTATTGTTTATGTTTGTCATGATCACGATATCATAGTGAAGAAGTGAATTGTTTATGTTTGTCATGATCACGACTGTATTCTCATAGTCTCCGACATACCAATCATTGTAACTACAGCAGCTCTCATGAGAATATGAAGAACAAGGCTCTCACTTCGTCGTTGTGATTCCACTTGAAGAGTCTTGTCGGGAAAACCATAGAGGCTGCATCGACCATTATAAAAAGTACAAATTTTTACCATTGTGCATCTCGCTTTCGTAGATGACTTTGAAGAAGACGTGCTGAATCGCCCGCCTTATAAATGACCGGAGCGCCATAAACTTCCCGTATCTGTTGTTATTCGAAGAGGAGAATTGGTTGAAGGAGAATGTGAGCTGCAGAGTCTTCCTTATAAATTGTATTGTTCATGGTACTGCTCAAGACATATTATAGATTAAAGTTATCTACTGTGCTCCGAGTAGCGTGACAAACGTTGCCTTCCGATGATGAAAAATGCTAAGGCACAACGACAGAAATCAGCCGAACATAAAATTGATTCAAAAGTAGAAAGAGTTGTACACTCGATGCAGGATCGTCTTCAAATAATCTCGTTCTCGGCAGTCCTCACTATCGAAGAGCTCCAACAGTTTCAGAACGAAATTGGCGTCTACAAACCTCTTCGCAATTTTCGGGTCTACGTCATTGCTCACCACAAATCGCAAAAAAAACTCGTAAACCTGTGTCCAGAGGTATCTGAATCTGATCATTTTCTAGAAGAGGTAACATTGTTTTTCTAAAAACTCTTGTCTAGAAGAGGTAATATTGTTTTTCTAAAACAAACTGTTGTTGTCAAGTGCGAAATTATCACGATGAATTCTGCGCTGACCACAATCTACGTTGTGTAACTCACAGATGCCAAGAAACTCGTAGCTACTTTAGCAAATGCAAATTCTCCGCAGATGAAAAAAGTACGATCTGCAAATGTGGCCACGCACTGTCCAATTGGGGTTCGTCATCCTCTGGGTCGTAGATTCGCATTATTGTCCTATTATTGGCCGGCAGTGACCGAAAGATATTAGCCGCTACCATATTCACCACATCCTCCATTATACTCTCCGTAAAGCAGTTTCGAGTGTTGTTGATGTATCTAAGATTTGTGTGTTGTTGGAAGTGCTGATGATGTATCCGTAGGCTATTGTTGGTGTAGATTGGGAAATGGGCGTAAGTGACGAGACAGGGTTGAATATTCCTCCAATGATCAGACAACTCGTTAGGTCTGGTAGTACTCAACAATCTCCAATAACGCCTGTCTTTTTGCTTCCTTCTCCTTTGGGTTCACGTCGCTGTGAAAGTCAAAGACTGCGCTACAGGCTGCTAGCTTTCTTCTAAAGAGTTCTGCCCTCTCGCTAACCGCAGTCTCCCGCAAAGTTGGCATAGACCCGAAGACTGAGGGATCTGATGGTCAGCATGTAGTTGATGAAGGTGATATAAAAAATATCATGCTTAATTATTCAGACGATGAAGACTAGGTTTAGGTTTATTGATCACGTTTCGATAATGGACTTGGGCACATGTTTTGTGGTGTCTCGAAAAAAGTCAAAGGAAGCGAAGTCGATTGAATACTAAAATCTTCGAAAGTGAAAAAGCTGCTGCCCTGTACAAATTGTAATTACCTGCTTGTGGTCTAGCAGTCCCACTTTTTGCTGATGAGGCTGGCTTCCCTGCAGCCTCTTTTCTACTAACTGGGACCCTCTTCCCATCCTCATTCCCCATCCGCCGCTTTACGGTTTGAATCAGCTTCATCTTGTGTCGTAGCCTTCTGTCGTACTGGTATAGGACGAAAAGACAAAGAAGCCAAACTACTCTCTACTACGTTCTAGTCTAGTAGGGCTGGTGCTCGTTCAGACTTGTGATTTGTGGTTCTTCGGGAATTGTCACAACGAGAATAGTAGTTGTCCGACTAGCTATTCGAGTACTGAAACTTCTTCGCAGGAGCAGCAGTACTACCGAAAGCTGCCGGTCGTGCGGTAATGTTCGCAATGTTCGTCCGACTACTTTTGTGGTGCTACTACGTTGTTGCTACCCTTTCCGTGGTTAGTGTCGCCGTCGCCGAAGTAGTTCATTAGTAGAAGAATTTTCCGTTTTTGTCGTGCGTTCAAGGCTCCTTGTGTGTGGGGTCACGGCAGCTAAGCGCAGCGCTTGGCTGCAGGCGCTCGAGTGTGTCTCCCTAGTCAGCCGCGCGCCCCATCTTCCTTGCATTCATACCAGCTACTTCTACTTGTCTTAGTTCTTCATCTTCATTTCATATTCGTTCTTGACATGGGTAAGTACTAGCCTGCCCGCATTTAAGCAAGTAATTATGCATTATCATCTAGCAAAAAGAGTGAGAGGAAAGTAGAAGGAAGTTCTACGCTATTCTAGTGAAATAAAGCGGGGGGACAAGTGTCATGGATGTGTCTAATTAGAAACTGGTGACTGCTTGAGACTTCTAGTCGTGGTCAGAAGTCTAATTATTATAGTAGAGACAATAGGTCTAATATCTAGCGCACAACCAGCTTTTTGGTAACTTGAGAGTTGTGCAAAGAGGGGCACACAGAAGCACCCTATCATGTAATAAACCGTGCTTGTTGGTTGTCATGATTTCGCACAATACAACGACCTTTCAAATTCCTTCACGCCGCACCACAAACTTTACACTGCATTACATTTATTTTGGGCCAGGAAGTACAGGTCAGCGCAGTGTACTCTTGCATCAATATCTTTACATCAACGCGGCCTACGGTAGTAATCGCCTTGAAGAATTATGCGTTCTTTGATGACAAGACCCTCATTCTTACTTTCCTATCTTCAGTCAGACGTCGGAAAAAAAAGTGCGTTTCGTCGCAGACGTCGAGATTGTCATTCTTTCGACGCTCCGGAAGGGAAAGAAATTCGCTTCGGAAAGAACAGGCCCTACTACTTTATGCAAGCTGAAGAAGCATCTCAGGTGTGTAGAACACCTCCTTCGACTGTAGTGTCAAGCCACAGATTGCTTGAGATCATGTTCATGAGAACACATTAATTCTATCGGCGCGATTCAATTGATGCTGCAACATGAATGGGAGGTGGAACCAGGAGGTTTGTTGAGGAGTATTGTGATTCTCTTTTTGAGGCGGTCACAGCACCAGACTCATGTCATGCCATGTGTCCCATGTGTGATCTAGTACCAAGTCACGGTCGAGACTCGACTCCAGAGAGCGATCTCGATGTCACGATATCTCAAGCACTGTTTTCCCCTGATTATGAAAGAAAGGTAGCAGTTTTTTTCCAGCTTATGCTTATTCTCTCTTTCTATTTCTCAAGAGGAGGGAGTTGAAGATAGTGATGCTCATCTAATAGGAGAAGAAAGCTGGAAAAAAACCTAGACATGTGACTGACCAAGCCATAATGCTCTAGTCTTTCATGGCATTCCACGATCTCGAAATCCTTAACTCCTACTGTGACACTATCCGTTTTCGTGTCTATTTCGCCGCTCAAAACCGCTATCTCGCTTTCCCCCGGCTGATCCGTGGTTACTTCTTTCCTCGCGGTTTTTCTCTTTCCGACAAAAAGAGACCGTTTCACCGTCGCACGTTTGGAAGGGAGGTGGAGGTAGAGGGAAACGTAACCCTCCTCTGCGAAGTCGTCACCTGAAACAAATCGGAATTCAACTTCGCCTCAGAAACAAATCGGGATGAGCAGGTAAAAAACAATTGCAGCAGCCTAAAAAAAGCCTTTTAGCCACATCCGAAGTGAGAGATTTTTGTTCAAAAGCAAACAGTTGTATCAGTCTGAAAAAATACTAATACCTTTCGGATAGAAGTGAAAGGAGCACTTCTTTGGAAATCGTGCTATTGAAAAATGCGGTGACTTGACGTATTCGCCTTTCTTCAAGTTTCGTCTCGTCTCCGATATTTTGTTTATCCTCCACCTAACCTCCGTTACATCTCGATTCTCTTCTATTTCCACTCTTGATTCCAGTTGCTCTAGTTGTTCTTCACATCCATCTCGAAGGGTCAGGTCTTTCACCGCTTTCTCCATATCGTCGAGGCGCTCTTTTTCAGCTGTCAGCTGCTTTTGCAGCTCCTCTAGGCTGCTGTCAGCGAAAGAAGGCATCATTTTGCTTTCGGTGTGGTAGGATGGTTTTGCTTTCGGTGTGGTAAATTGAAATTGAAACAGTGTAGGATTTGAAATCGAACAACAGGGTGTCGCTCGTTGTCGGCTATCTAGGGGTAAGCCTAGTGGCGGCAGCCGGGTAGTGAGCCTAATCTTTAACGGTGGCGCGCACTCCGTATTTCACCAGCTAATATTTTTGGCAGCGTTTATCAAGGACAAGATTCCTGGCGTTTTCAAGGTTATTCTCTCAGTTGCACTCACTCTTCTTACACACAACAGGTCTTTCTTCTTACGGCACATAATTTTGTTGTAGCTTCTGTTGTGTCCCAAATGAGCCTACAAATGAAAAGAAGCCGTGTTACATTTGTCGTTGTGCAATAATGCGTTCTTATGATTGCTAACTATAATGCAGAATGACCACTCGGATACTGCTAGGTTAGGTTAGGTTGTGGTCCGCGAGGTGCGCCTGCGGATAAGAAACCTAAGATGCATTGATCTTTCCTCGACCATCTAGACTTTTTGCATTCGCTAACCGACTACATAGTAAGATATTCTTTTGCTTTCCCTAATCGACTAGTACTGCTCTGGAGCGTGCTCCACGTGAAGAGTCACGTCTCCATGTAAGCACGATGAAACGAGTCTATTAATCAGAAACCATATTCTTAGGCATTAAATACCTATTGGCCCTATTAAAAAGATTGATCTAAATTGCGTTAGCTGCCCTCTTTCGATGTTTTTATTGAATCTGCTTACTTACGTACCCTATCCCGCAGGTATTAGTGGCACCATTGAAATTATTGTTACACTTATTTTTCCCATGACTTTTTTTCATCCAGAAGTTACAACATGCTGAAATGAAATCAGCAAAATTGCATCTCACACGGTAGGGCTAGACTCTACTAGTAGGCAGTCTACGACCAACGCGTACGTATAGAAGAGTTTCTTCCACGAAGGTCTCCTTCCACCTCTAGTAGTGGTGAACTTCCAGTCGAATCATCCTCCTTCTTCACGTCAACATCGTCTTTTGTTGAGTCTACTTCTTCTGCAGCTTATTCGAGACCTTCTTCTCCTAGAATGTCAAACGTCAGTGCTTTCGCCTTCCTTCATGTCAACGTCAGTGCCTTCGCCGTGGCCCAAGAAACCTTCTTGAACTTGAGATCCATCTACTTCTCCCTCTACATCAAGCACGTGCTGATTCATATACTTCTCTACACGACAAAAGAAATCTGGCCAAGAAGGAGAGTCAGGACCTCCTTCTTCTGCTTCCCGACTTCTTCGCGACCCTTCGCCATGATCTACTCCACCAGAAGGAGCCGAGCCTTCTCCCGTACCTGCTAAATGATAAATCTTTTCCCTCAAAAGCTCATCCAAGGAGTTGCATCCGCCTTTCGCATCTTGGTAGTGCTGTTCGTTTGGCTCTTCCATACACCTGATTTCCATTTGCATCATCTGTAGTATTTCCCGCATCTCGGGATTTAGCTTGCTTTCGTTGAACGGGTCCATTCGGTCTTTTACACCTTATGGATTAGAAGGAGATAGTTATTTTGTGGTGAGTAGATTGCTGCATCTGTACGTAGTTTGTGCTAGACTAGCATGCCTTCATCCTCGATGCTTTTGTCCCCTTCACCTTCTTGCTGAAAAAGAAAACCAGTCAAGCAAGATTATCTGTCATAATCAAAATCCACATGGCAGGAAAAAACAGCATCTGACGATAGAAAGCCTTTTTGGTCGCGCATTCCGCTTTCCGATATGCCTTTCGAGCACTCGGTTCAGCATTGCGCCAATGCTCACGGTCGAGGGGTTAGAAGTGGAGGTAGGAAAGGGTAGGATAGAGTTTTGAGTGGAACAAAAAAAACGCAAGTTCGTCGTCCATGTTTGAAGTTATGACCTACAAAGAAGTGGAACTAAAAAAACGCAAGTTCGTCGTCCATGTTTGAAGTTATTACCTACAACAAGACCTGACTGATTTCCTCCCATAAATCATCTTTGGCGCGCTTCTCTCTTCTTCTTTTTTTCGTTGTGCATCGTTTTCCGCTCGTTTTATCAATCCTTTGCCTTTCTTCTCAAACCTTTTGAGGGCTTTTTGCATCCCTCTTCGACCGGGTCGTGTCTCTGCAGCAGCAGCTGGCACTTTCACTCTCCCTATTAAGGTTTTACTTTGTTCTCCACTTGGCGGTGACGATGACGATGCTGTTGATGCTCCACTACCACTACCTCCACCAGTGCTTTTGTCTTGACCACTAGCACCAGCACCAACAGCAGCACCACCACAAGATTCGCCGACTTTCATCTCAGTTTTTTTAGCACCTATTGTCACTGAATAATTGTACCTGCCACTATCCCCTGTTCGAAAGAGAAAGGTGCGTCTGCCAGTGTCTTCCTGTTCTTCCGTCTTCTCTGCCATGGAGGTGCCACCACTTTTGAGAAACAAACTCGACAGCAGCAAGTCAGCACGCGGACTCAGTAGAGTAGACAGCTCGCCTTTACCCAGCCTCTCCTTCATCCATTTCAACGATTCTTTCCATCCTTCCATAGATTGGCACGTGTGGTACTTCGTATCCTCCCATAGTTTTTCGTATTCACCATCAATGAATAGTTGCATCGGAGACTGCCTTTGGAAGTAGAGGCACGAGGGACAATTCCCCGGACAACAAATGTCATGCGCACACTTGCTTCTCTGAAGCGCGCGAATGACAACGGCGGTAGCGACGAAATGTTAGAAAGAGAAAGAGTGTCTGTGGTAGCTAGAGGGCTATCAACGTTGTGTCTTTCAAATGAGTTCGGTTCTATTTTTGGACAACCTTCCAACAGAATGAATCAAAACTCGAATTGATTCTACGCAACCAAAGAACCATCCCGTGTGTGCATCAAAATCAAAAGTGCTCATGTCATGTAATGGCCCCTCGTTTACCACGCGGTCAAGTAGATATGAGGTCATTCAGTTATGTTGTACCTTTTAAATTTAGAAGAGCAATATTATATATAAGCCATACTATACATTCAGGAGGGAAGCGAGTGTGAAATTGAGCCTATCCTGCTCGCGATGGACGACAGCCGGGATCAGAAGCTGTATGACGCCTGCAACCCAAGGCCCTACTCCGATCGCATTGATCACAAAGTTCCTGGGACTTAGTACCTTTGACAGTTCCGGAATCAAAGCGTTGGGATTTACAGTTAGAGCAGGATTGTTGTAAACAAGCTAATGGTAAGACGGGAAAAGAAGAGGAAACACTAGATGTTGATCTATTTTGTATGCCCAAGCAGGCACAATAAAACAAGGTACTAGGTACGTGTACTAGCACCAGAACTAGAAAGTGGTAACAAGTCTGAGCCACATCATCTTCTTCTTCTTCTTCTTACAAAAACAGACAGTCAAGCAGGAATGTGTGTGAGCAGAACGTCAGATACTTCATTGAGCGGATAACAAATGCGTAAGAGGGTAGGGCTGAGCTCACGCCGAGGAGCAGTGAGTGAAAAACGGGTGGGAGAAAAAGCAAGACTAGCCCATGAGCAAGGTCTTGCTCTATCTTTACAGCTGTGGAGCGCTCGTACACAAATAATCATGGTCTTTCGCACATTAGCACCGGAACCAGAAAGTGGTAACAAGTCTGAGCCTTAAATCCACATCACCCTCTTCTTCCTCGGCCGCACGTTTTTCACGTGTTTTCATTTTTTGTTCAGCAAGCTGTTTTCTCAGAATCGACAGGACTGTAGAATACTTCCGAACATGACTCCCAGAATCTTCACAAGGTTGTAGTTCTTGTCCTCGTCCTTGTTCAGCTTTCTGTTTTTCAAGGCCTATGATGTCGGGATTCTCCGCTTCATTAGGACTACAACCTCTCTGTTGCGAGCCAGAACGCTCCCCATTTGCCGCGATCCGTGTTGCAACTTCCTCCCTCAATTAGAGGTGTCGGGAATTCATCTCAGGGATCATCTGGGTCCCTCTTTTCTTTTGCCTTTTTCTCTCTCTCAGAGGACTCATTTTTCTCTCTTCCAGATGACTTTGGAGATGAATTCCCTACACCCATAACTCAAGCATGTCATACGAATATCCTTGGCATAGACTGGCTCATCCATAGCCACAGCAGCTCTTTCCCACAATATTCGCTGTTTTTGCCGCAGGCCTTGCAACTCAAGCCACAAATTTTCTACCTCTTCTTTTGCATCTTCCCTGGCGTCAACATGGTCTAGAAGTACTCTGTCAACGTGGTCTAGAAGTAGTGAAGATATCTTAGATAGAGCTCAAAATCAATGTTTCATTTCTTGGGCGTCCATTTTCTCGCAAAAATCCTAAAAAGGAATTCTAAGGAAGAAATGGCTTCTAAAAATGGCCATTTTTGTTGAGCCTGCTTAAGTTTTGTTCTCATTTGCTGCTGCCTTGGCCAGTCCGCGATGATGAGTGGGGCAGTGTAGTCTTCAGGATTTTCTCGTATGATAGCGTCTTCAGGGTTTCGCTGGGAAACATCTGGTCTAGCCTCCATTTTCTTGCTGGTTTGAGTAAAATCTGTTCTTGTTCTTTCCATAACAGAAGTCAAAGTCCTCTTTGTACTACACCTATCTAGAAGATCGCCATCTTCTGTGCCGTGAGAAGTCAAAGTCTTTGTACTACAACTACCTTCCACTGTTCCCATAGCACCAGTGAAAGCCATCTTGGTACCATCTTCCTCCGCTTCTCCTTCCGTACTTTCAATCCTAAAGATTTCATCCTCCGAAGCTCCCAGTCGCTGCACTTCATTGATGATGTTTCTTGAGGCTTTTTCTACGCCAAGCAACAGCGTCTTGCCATCATTTCCAAACAAGCATCTGTCAGGAACATAGACCGAAGCCATGTGCTCTACTGCCAGCAGCCGTTCGCTATCCTCTAATAAAACTATGGCTTCTAAGCATAAGGACAGTTGTTAGAAGGAGAGAAGTTGTACCAATAGAAATTACTGCGTGCTCAGAGAAAAGGAGTTGTAGACGATGGCCACAAGAACATCATTAGGTTAGGTTAGGTGGGGGCCCGCCAGAAAAACTAGCAAGCTTCATTGGCTACTGAAGAGCCAAAAAACAAGACGAGCAAGAAGTGCAAACTTTTATATCCGCCATAGTTTACTTGTTTGAAGGGATAATACCAAGGATAGCGGGAAAACTAACCGGCCGTCTTACTTTAGTGGTCTAAGCGTCGCTTGACCTAAACCCCATGGCCATAATTTACTGTTTTTTTCAACATTTGCAGCTCTCCTCGGTCGTGTCCTAGAAGATTTTCTGGCTTCCCTTGCCCCTTTGTTGCGGTTTGAGCTGTAGTTTTGTCACAGGCACCCGCTACTCCGTCTTAGAAGATGAACCAACGTTGTTAAAGAGTTCTTTAGTGAATTAGAACCAACTACGAGCGAATCACAAAGCAAAACCTGAATCGAATCAAAAAGCAACCATCACAAGAAAGCACTGCCGTATTTGTCTCCTTCCTGTGAAAGCAGCGAAGTTGTTGTAACTGATGCAGCAACGGTAGCAGCACCACTGCCACTTTTCTTCCTTCTTTCCCGTCTGTTCCTCATGCTTTTTGAACTAGTAGAAAGAGATGTGGCACTTCTTGTCTTGGCAGTATCGCTTCTCATGCTTGTCAGCAAATGCGTTCGCATTTCTTCGTTGTAGTTCGAAAAGTTACCAGGTACCCTAGGAACGTGCACACAGCTTCTATGCCCCGCAATCAATAGGCGGACTTCGATGGACATTTCACTAACCAGGGCGACGAGTCTTTTCCTTAGAGTCAGTAAACTAGTATCAGAACTATGCGAAGTTCCAAAACTTTCCAAAACAAAGCTCGTCCGTCTCGATTTGTTCCTTGCTATAATTACGTAAGTAGTAGTATATGAAAAGCAGTAGCCCGTAGCGAAAAATGATGGTCATCATGGTGAGCCAGCTTACTGAAGATTGATCCATCTATATATTTAATCTATCACTCATAGTACACAACATCGCATTATACAACCAAAAACGCAGTACACCTTTATTTCCTTAATATCCAAGGCATTAGAGGTACTCGCTTGTTTGAGAGGCCGTGATCTTCTCCGATCATATCGGCAACCTGTTCTCGCAGGGCGTCTACCATGTGGCGAAAAGCAGGCACCAATATCTCCGCACCACTTGAAGGACAAGTTTGGTTGGTGGTAATGAAGAGATGCAGAGAGAGGGTAAGGGAGAGAGGGCAAGTATTACAGAAGAGGTTTAGGTGGTAATGACGTCGTGATAATGACGTGAGAATGAGCAGGAGTGTGAGGAGGAGGGGGCAAGGGAGTAGAGAGTGCAAGGCCTGTGCATCCGGGAGGGCTACGATTTCCAAAAACTGAGCGTACTATATAAGATGAAGCCTGTAAATACTGTTCCAGCCAGTAGAGTACTATCAAGCACATTATTCCTCGTGACAACTGGAGGGACAACTACATGAGACTACATGAGACCATAACCTGAGTTCTTAAAAACGTAGGAGATTCACATAATTTATACTCAAGAGGTATAGAAAAGGTCTATCCATGATCAATATCCCTGCGACTGAGATGAAAGTCCATCATCTATATTATTGCGCAGTCTACCGATTGATTTCTTTGTTATATGCTTCAACGGTGACATTGTTGAACACGTGAAAGGGTGCAAATTACCGGGGTGATTATGTTATTCATGCAAGATATTTGGCAAGTATAAAGGACGGACTGAGATGAAAGTCCATCATCTATCACCGAGGAAGTCCATCACTATCTTTGACACTATCCTTGAACAGTGGCCATAGAAATTTGCATACAGTCGCAGTGTTGCTGCATTAGGGTTCCACAGAGGTCGGCTTGGTCTCGCAATGAATGCAGTTCCCATGCCAACACTTGGGTACCGTAACGAATACTTTCGACGATGCGCTTGAACAGTGTCACCGTTTTTCCGAATGTATGCTGCGCTACTTGTTTCCCCACATGTATGAGGACAAGGAAAGCTTCCAGGTTAGCACTAAGAAAAATCCATCTTCAGGTGCATCTTGGTTGTTCCCTTTATTGTCCCTTTAAAAAGAAAACGGGAGGACCACGATGCTTGGAAAGATGGATTTTGCTAGCCTTAACTAGAATTTGTTTGGCGAGAATTTGGAAATTCATATTGACCAGGTGGTTGTCGAAAGAGAAGTTCTTGTTTATATGAATGGACGTCATCATCTCATCGAGTAAAGCATCGTCATCCACAAGATGAAAGTCGTCATCTTTTCTGACATCCAGGAGCCTTTTTTCGCTATGATCTTTCTTGTTGTCATTTTGTTGTTTTTCGTCCACGACTACGTGACGCCTACCATTTCCACACGGCTTCCCGGTAGTAGTTCTACTCCTTGATGTCCTTCTTCTCGACGTTGTATGACTATTATCTTCCACCTCTCGTAGTTTAACCAAAGTCGGGATTGGAACCCTCTCACTACTCTCTGGATACGGTGCTCTGGCCAGAGTCGGACATCCACCAGCGTACGTGGGAACAGCACCAACATCTTGTAGTTCCTTGCATGTATTGTTCCTCTCTTGGAAGGAGGGCTGCTCTTCAAGATCATCTTTCTCTGTAGGAGTAGGTCCAAGAGCTTCTGCACCACCCATAGTTTGCTCTATGGGAGTAGGTCCAAGAGCTTCTGCACCACCCGCAGCAATAGTCTGGGTTTCTCTTTGCTCCTGGCCAGAAGCTCCTCGAGTACGCACAACTACGTTTCTCCTCTCTACCACCTTGCCCCCTTGCAGCTCCTTTACTACAACTTGTTGTTGAGCGACCAGATTAGCGCTTGCAAGTTGACCGATCTAGCTTGCACATCTATGACTTTCCTACTTGAAAAGGCCATAGATCTATCATGCTCACAGAGAGGCCAACTGCCAGCCCTTAATCAGCGGCTCCTTTGATCGGGGGTCTCCATTTTTCATCTTATCCCCCATCATTTCTTGCATCTCATCCACCATCATCTGGATGTTCGATGACGCGTCAACTACACTTACAGAGCTCAAAATTTAATTCATTTCTTGCCTGCATTTCTCCCATCAATCCTAAGAAGGAAATTATAGGGAAAAATGCCTTGTAGAATGAAATGAGTTGCATGGCTCTTGAGCCTTAATGCACTGCGGATCAACCCGGAGGAAGCATCGTCACCATAAACTGCAAAAGCTCCTCCCCCACACGTTGAATCAGTGGAACAACTAGGAACTACAGAAGCCTCCTCGTCAGAATCAACAGAACTGTCGTCCCCCGAGCTGTCTTCCTCCTCCGAACTGTACTCTCCAACACGATCCTCTCCCACCGGAACGTTTTCTTTCGATATTGCTTTCAGTATACTCTTGTTGACAAAAAGTAGTTCCGTAGACGCTGTTCTAGTCTTTTTCCGCAGGTTTCCCATGGATTCAGCTATCTTCTTCTTAGAGGCATTGCCCTTAATCTTCTCTAATTCCAAATCGTCGATGTCTTCAACGTTTTCGTCAAAACGAAGCTCCTTCGGTGTTACCGCGCTGTCCTTCTGTGTTTCCGGTCCCCGTGTCGTGACTCTGACCGCAACAACAGTCTGCTGAGAGACAAAATGCCCCAGTAGGAGCGAGACGAGAAAAAAACCCATATTCTTGTAGTTCATTTTACTTCAAAAATTTACTGTAAGTTTTTTACAAATTTAATGCATAGTACAAGAAATCACCTTTTACAATCCATGCAGTCAGTGTGCACAAACCTGATGAGAAGGAAGAATCCTCTCACACGCAAGTCAAAAAAAGAAAGAATGAATAGGTTTTCGTTTTTCGCAATCTGTCGAAGACCACACTGTTTGAATGCTTGGTTGGACGAGAAGAAAATCGAAAAAAGTTCCAGATCTTAAATTTTTGTCCTTTGTTCTGTTAACGCTAAAAAGGAAGAATAATGCCGTGCTCAGTCTTCTGTCAACGACACGACACACATGGAAACCAGCATTAATTCGTCATGCATGGGCTTTCAGAAAATGACGAATTCGAGAAATATTTGTCTTCGCATCCCATCGTCCACGTAGAGCTAAACGCAACACGCACTTGTGATATGAAATACGGGAATCATCTTCAGCATGATACCCGCGGCCAAGGAGTACTTGTACTTCACGACCACACTGATCTTTTTGACAGGAAACTTTTTGCGTCCCTTATGCGTTTGCAAACCAGAATGCAGATGGTGAAAGGACGAGATCAAAATCACATCTGTCGAAGAGAGAAGACTGGAGCAAACTGAAAATTGTCCACTCGAGGACGAGGATGGCAACATGAACAAGTGTGAAAAGTGAAGTAGATGCGTTTCTTATACTCAACAGTGTAATGATGTTCGCTGTTCGCATTATCATTTGTACTTACCTTTTCTTGATGCTGATTGCATGCGTGATAAAAAGTGGATTGACATTCACCCGTCAATATTAATGAGCTACGTAAGAGTAGGGTCACATTCCTTGAGCATCAAAAATCAATATGGGTGATTTCAAAGGCTCAACGTTGAAACATGGATTCAATGTAACGCTGTAACAACATGGATTCATTCAAACAGCGAAAAATTTCTGTTTGAGAAATCACGACTATTAAATGGAAGCCCGCCTTCCCTTGATGCGGCTGCTTACCGATGTGGATCCGAATCCAGGCAGAACACGTGGTTGCTCACGCATATCGTCCCTTCTAGTATCTATAATGCGAGGTCCACCTCCTCGACCAGGACCTTGGACCATAGGATAAGCGCGACCAGCGACGCCAAGGGAGTTAATATTATCGTCAGGAAGATCATCAGAGCTTGTGGTCGCTGTTTCTGGAGTTGCACGTCCGTGGAAATGCAGAAGGGCACCTCCAGTTGTATTAAGTGACGCGGCTGGTGCACTAGACGGAGGTCCTCCTTGATAGGCTTTTATCACAGCCGTAGAGGGCTTTGATGTAGTAAACGTAGTAGTGGGAGTAGTGGGACCACCACTCGTACCACCAGGCTTCATGATGAAGGGATGCGCTTCTGCATGTTGCTGCTCGCTCCCTGGGACATCAGTTTTGCGCGTCCAAGGACCAGCACTAGTATAAAATCCACGAAATGTATGAAGCCGAAATCTGTCATCATCCTCAACACTCTTTTCTAAACTTGATAAGCTTGAAAATGAGAACAGATTTTCGTTTCATAAAATGACGTGTCTGAGAGTGGATCGTCTTCCACGCCGGATGGTGCAAACACACCAAAGGGGAAGGGACAAGGGCTTGCTGCAGGGCTTACTGTTCTCCTCGCAGCATCGCCTCCTGCATACTTAGGAGGAATAAGTCCTCTAGGTCCACCCAAATGGTTCCTAGGTTGAACTGGAAGAACTGACCCCCTTTTCCTACTTATGCTTTGCTGTTGCAATACATTCAAGGACCCTTGCCGAGGTTCAACGTGTTGTGAGATTGTTTTTGGTGCTCCTCCAACTTGTGAGATATTAGTAGGGGAGATACTAGCACTAGACTGCTCACGTTCACGAGGTTGTGCTGCAGGAGCAGTACTCGAGGATTCTTTACGGTATTGATGTTGCTGTTCTACAGGCGCATGCCCTATATCACAACCCGAAGTCGGAGACGACATTGGGGGGAGGAAACCTGAGCCAGCGACAGGCGACCTCTCACCAAAAGGCGATATGCATTAGAGCTCACGGAATTACATTCCTCAGAACAAAGATCCCCACCTTCTTTTCTACTAGGAAAAGAGGAGCTAAGGAGGGTCTAGTACTGGAGAATCTAATTTGGTACTGGGCACCCTTAAATACAAGAAGCAGGAGAATGGCCTTCAGACATCATGCTAGGAGAATTACTTCCTCGGATAGGAGAATTACAAGAATTAGTTTTATTACTAGTGCTACTAGCACTGCTACCCCTCAAAGTCAAATGTTGAACTCCTGCTTGACGTGATGTTGAGGTCGTTGCTCCTCCTCCAGCTTTAAGTTGCGGGATTTGTCCCATCTGGGAGGTGGTAGCAGGAAATCCACGACCACCAGAAGCTAAGCCTGGTGTACAAGCTGCTCCTCGTTGCATGACCATCAGGTTACCAGCAAGAAGATGAGCAGGAGGCGTGAAGTGTTGCTGAGGAGACTTTGTTCCATGATTAGACATTCCGCCATTGCACTCTTCAGAACATCCCTGAGTTCTTTCTCAAATTGGAAACAGGGATGTTAGTGAAAGATCAGGGACGAATGTCGGAATCCTTAATAGGAGGCGTTGCGGACGGTGACATGGCTGGTGATCCTGGTGATCCTCCCACACGAATATTATGTGGAGAAGAAGCGGATGAGGATCCTACTCCCTTATTAATAGGCCGTTCGTGTGGAGAAGAAGCGGAACAAGATACTACTAGATGCGTGCTACTAGATGCAGCGCGATCGACGACAGACCTCCTCGAAGGACTACCAGGAGCACCTGTTCCGATGAAATCAGAAGTCGGAGATGACGCTCTCGTCGGCGTTGGTCTCATACATCTAACAGCACGATCGACAACATTATTTGCATCCACACCCGGTGACGGAATAACTAGAGGCGGTGACGGTTTTTTATCACGCGTAGGTGTTTTGAGGGGAGTGGTACTAGCAGCTATGCCATAGCTTCTCCCCTTACTGGATGCTGATGCTGTTGTAGCTTTGGCAGCAGTAGCTTTAGCTGCCATTGTTTTTGCTTCTGCCAATATATCCGTGGCTCTGGCTGATGCTTTTGAGGCACCACTACCGTCAGTTGTACTTCCGGAACTGGCTGCTGCCTCTTGCTTTCCCTTTGATCCTGCATCCACTTCCCAGCTGTCAGTTAGTTTTGTCCTAGGACTATGCTCAGGCATGGACGGCATGTTACGTTTACTCCCTTTCATCTTCGAGCATTCGCGTTTGGCGATTCTTTTCTTCCTCGTAGAATATGTATCTGGACTCAGAGGCTCGTCCGGACATGTCGTAGTTTGTTCTGTACCGAGACAAGGAGGGTCTGCTGTTGTCATAGCGTGTGATTCGCCGTCCTTTGTCTCCTCAGAAGTTCTTTGATGCACAAGTTTATCACGGACGGCTTCGAAAAATTGATCTTGATCACGTGTTCTCGCGTCTGCTTCGGTTCGTGAACCACCAGTCCGACTCTCCTGGTGAGACGATGCACCACGTCCACTCCAGCCAAATACCTCATCAACAAATGGAGCCACAACTTTAGAAGATAGATCCAGGTCCTGAGAAGTGTCCGCCTGCTGGTCCTTCTGATCTCCATCTCGTTGTAGATCATCTCGCGGTAGATCATCTCGTTCTAGTACAAGTGCTTCGGCATCTCGTTCTAGTAAGAGTGCTTCACTGTTTGATGCAAACAGGGAAGCGAACGAGCTTAGTTCTCGCTGTCTTTGAACTGGCAAGCTTAGATCCTCTCCGTTTCCGCCAGTAGGGAGAAAGAAACTGCCGTTCGTGTTGAGAACCCTACTGGGCAAAGTTAGAGGCTGCGCCATTGCACTCTTCAGGCCATCCCTGACCCCTTTCCTACTGGGAAACAGGTCAAGGATGGTAGTGAAGAACCCTTAATAAAGGAGGTAAGTAACCCTTAAGAAAAGAGCGTCATGTGTTCTTCCAGCTGGGGAGTCATGCGTATGGTTTTTTGCAGCTGCTGAATGGATTTTTGCAACTAAATGAGAAGCTGTAAAACCAGTAGATGAAGAAGAAGCTCCACCAGGATTATATTCAGAAAACGGCGCTCCTCCTCCGATCTCCTCCACTGCCTCATCTCCAAGATCAATGCCTGATAGCAATTGCTCAAACGACCTGCTTTGCCTTCCCTTAGAGCTCACCCTTATCCATCTTGAGGCGCATCCTGGGTGCTTTTTTCCCTTGAAATGCCTCTTCAGGATGCCGCAGAAGATGGATAAGGGCAAGCCTTAATTCCCGGTTTCTGTGAGCGTTGTGGCGACCTCTCTCGGTTGCTGATGTCGTCTTCCCGAGGATCGTACAGACCAACTTCTGACAAGTCAAAATTAGAGCTACCGCGTTACCATCTCCCTTGAGAGCATTTTTATCCTTGGGTGTTCATCCTTGTGAGAGTAATAGTATCCTTGGAATGTGCTCCCCTTGTTCATCCTTGTGAGAGCAATGCTATCCTTGGAAGGTGCTTCTTTTTCAACTATAGAAAAAGCACCAAGGTCGGATGATGCTAAGCAGGATGCTCTCTTGGTTGCCTTAACAAAACGTACGAATTTTCTTTGTCGGTTAAACATAGGAGAAGGTGATAGTTCCTGTATTGGGGGAGAAGCCTCCAGTGATCCAGCTGCAGCAACATGAACATCTCTATTCATTTTCATTCCTGGATTTGATGTTGTAGTTGCACTTGTACCAACATGATTCTTTTCAGTTTCTACTACTATTTGTTGTTGTGCTTTTGATGTTATACAACCATGATTAGCTTGTACTAGTTGCTGTACGGTCGTTTTCTTGGTTCCATTTGCTGTGAGAACTTGTGCAGTTTTGACGTCACTTCTTTCAGTAGGCGAGTTAGGTGCAGACCGCAGTGGAGGTAGTCGTAACACAGGCAACCAGCTGTTATCTCTAGAAGAAGTCCCATCTTCATGCTCTCCGACAGATGTAATTGGCACTGGAGCCGGTTCCTCTCCTCTAGTATTGTGAACTCCTATACCCTTGTTTGGCTCCTTCGTTCCTCCTTTTCCTTGATTTCCATCTTTCAATGGCAATATCCCACGTGAATTGACATCATAGCGCAGTAATTTAGGACCATCTCCTCCAGAAAGATGATGCCCCGCTTGCTCATGTACTCCTCCAGAGGGCGTTGATTCAGCAACGCTAAGGCCTTGAAGTCGTGCTATCATATCGTTGCCGTGAACTAGGTGTTCCGCAACAGCCGTGTCTGCACGTGCACTAGCATCTCCTTTACCTGCTACAGCTTTTGACACACTTACCCGTGGACTAGAATCTCCCTTACTTGAAACCCAACCTATAAGTTTACCTGACACAGCCTTTGCAGTATTTGACACGGCTTCCCCTTGTGTACTTTGAACTCCTTGTTCATCATTGCCGTTCTTTATTTGTCGTGCTCCCAATCGTTTCGGACTTGCACCTCCAAATTGCATCAGTTGAAAGGCTTGCCACCTGACTGATTCGCGTTCAGACACAAAGCCCCGCCAATCGCGTGCAACTGCGCGGGCGTCACTGAGGCACCAATGTCCATTTGGGGATCCCTCTGCAGAAGGTGGTCCTAGCACGTCCTCTACATCTTGGACGCCTTGAGAAGGAGAGGAGGGTGAGTGTCCAAATCGTGAACGCCTATATTGACTTCTGGAAGACGATGCTAAATGAGAAGGTTCAGAAGGTCGGTCCCCTCCAATACCTTCAAGCGCATTCGACAAGTGAGAAGGAAATGGTGTATCAACTTGTTCTGGTGTATCATCCTCATCATCGTCTGGGATATAAAAACGGGATGAAGTAGAGGAAGGTGAAATCTCATTGCGCTCTCCCCAACCACCGTGGCCAGTCCGCCATCGTTCTCCTGCTTGAGAGGAAGAAGACAGTTCACTCCCTCCTGTGGTCAACGTTAAGTGCGCATACGGTGACCACTCTGCCTCACCGCTGCTCTCTCTTTCGGCATCGGAGTATTGTTCGGGCGATGAAGTCAGTCGACGACTTTGGATTGATGCACCGTGCACAGCACGTACTGATAGTGCTAATACTACTAGCGCAGAATATGCACATGCATATGCACATACCAGCACCGATGTCCTCCTCACCTCCATCCTGGCCACCGTCCTCCTCTTCTGTGGCAGCGACGTCCATTGATCTATCTTCCGTAAAAAAGAGTAAATTGTGTACTAGTTGTTCTTGATAGGTCTAGTGAGTAGTAGTAGCATTGCGTAAGTCATAAGGAACTGCTGATCATTTGTTGGAAGCTTGTAAACTGGTGGTACGAAAAATGGTGGCACTCGACAAGATGAAGCAAGTAGTTTCTATTTCATGCAACAAGCTTCAACTTGTACTTCAAGAAAACTGCGCACCGATATTAATTGAGCGCGAACCTGTGAAAAGAAGTGCCTGAGAAGTTTCGTTATGCAGAAAGCGCTGCTTCGACATTATAGGCACAGTACGTAGCAAAAGAGATTCACCTGTATTATGACTTTTTCCACCCGTTTTCTTTATCAACTCTCTATATCACTTCTTTTTAGACGTTTTCACAATAGGAAATACTGGTCGCGGTCTTTCTTGACATGCTTGAGAAAATCTGGCTGTTTCGTCCATAACAAAGCACGCTCCAAAAGACACATGCGAATACTATCGGAAGCAACATACATCTCCCGCATTAGGTAGATAGTTGTACGAAGCTTTGACGTTGTTGTAGCTATTCCCAATGTTGCAGTCATGCGGCGTGGCTAGGTAATATCAAGCCATGGAATCCTGAGTCAGATCGACAGAGAAGGGGGTCTTTTTTCGAAATGTTCTTGAAAGGGGAGTTCATGCATGTAGTAAATGATGGGGGAGAAGACTTCAGTGTCGAAAAGCTTATCCGGTTTCTTGTGGGTCTATCTGCATACAGTACTGCACGAAGTCTAACTTTGCGCAAGAAAAAGAAAATGTGCAAGTTTGATCAGTTTTTGTTGCATCAGAATGAAGACTGTGAATCTTCCACATCAAGAAGTTACTCATGACTGTTAGCTCACTTCTGATCCAACTCAGTCATCTTATGCTGCGTTATCAAACTGGTGCCGTTGTGTGGATCCTTACTGATGCGCCAATAGCGTTCGCAGAACTGCTTCTTCGACAGCATCTGGACGAACTGCACATCATGAGTAATAATCATCAGCTGAAACCCTAGATGTTGTCTCCTGTGCTCTATCAAGTCCGCGAGGGCTTCGGCCAAAGCGTTGATGTTCTTCTGCAGCGATGAAAGAGGGAGGTCCGATTGGCAGGAGAGAACAAAGGAAGCTGCAAAATAAGCTGATGCGCATGTGATTTATCAATCATTGCGGTGACTATTAAGTACTATACTGGACATATTCATTGCGTGCTGAGGCTGCATTCGACGAGGATAGAGTAACTTTTTTCTGACATCGCTGTACACGTAAAAAGTAGAATTGCAATGCGCGATAGGTGGTTAGGTTAGGTCATGGATCCTTCACATCGAGCGCCTTCCGGTGACATGGCTCAACTCCGAGGATGAAAAAGCTATACATCTAACTCTGTGACTGAAATTTGACTAAAACTGTCAACATAAATCCAAATTCGTGGTAGGTTCGTCCAGAGCCAATACCCCACATTGGCAACCAAAACTATCTGCCAGCGCCAATCTTGTAATCAGCGACGCCAAAACTTTTTGGCCTGCCGAGCATCGACCTCTCATATCCAGCTCTGTGCCGTTTGCTAGAACCATCACAACCCTGTAGTTGTAACTTCTGGCACCAGCACGACGTGTGGTGGGGGCCGGAGCCTGAAGGTGTTGGACGGGAGAGGGCACGTTGATGCAAAGTGAGGCAAATAAGATGATGAAAAGCAAAATTTTTTGTCGCGAGTGCTCCTGTAGACTGATACTAGTGTGCATAACCCATGCTCTTCGCCAATGTACAGGATAAAAAATCAAAAGCAGTTCATTCCAAGCATATCATCATAACTTGCAAGTCCTCAGTCGTAAGAAGAAATACCTCCCCCTCTCCGTTTTCATTTTCGACATCGCTGCGTATCTGTACGTACTCAATGTCCTTCCCCTTGTAAATTTCTTGCCACAGACTCCTCATCGAAAAATTTATCTCCTCCATCTTTTCTTGATAAGGATTAGAGCAGTTTCCCTTCACTATAATCACAAAGACCTCAATCACTGGAATCACAAATCATTTTTTTTGTTTTTTTTACAACCTGGAACAGGCACATCCACAACCATAAGAAATCTCATCAGCGCCGCGTCTAAGCTTTTCATGATTTTGTTCAAGTCGTCAGCACCGGTTTTCGCCGATTGCTCTTTCACAGTCGATTAGAACTAGCCTGTCCCATGAAGTCATCTCGTGAAAATACGGTTTACCTGCTCTTCAGTATAATTTTCACGGAATTTAACAAGGGAGGATGCAGGTTCTTATTTTCAGCCTTAAATCGACTGTCGATAGCGTTCATCAATGTTCTGGTACAGAGTGGAGGCTTCCTCTTTCTGGGACAAGTCCAGAGACTGTCCGATCTGAAACAGGGATCCCTGAATTTTTCCCCTATCCTCTTTTAGTTTCGTCTCCCGGTCTTGAAATTTCCGCAGAAGTAAATTTTCGGCTTCATTCAGCTGCTGCATAAGAGGGCTTCGAGGTTGTTGGAGAACGTTGTTGTTGTTATTATTAGCTCCTGCTCCTAGGGATCGTTCATGCACCGCGAATAGATGCGCGATTTCTGGGGGCATCAGTTGCGCGTCCGAAGGAGGATTGTTTAACTCTTGAGGAGTCGGTTCGGGGAAGGGGATCATGTTCCTAGGCGTAGCAGCAGCACTAAACGCGTTTAAGCCACCTTGTTCTCTGGGAGTAACACCTGGCGTAGCACCCGGAGTGAAGCCACCACTCAATAGTCCACCCCCTGGAGTCGCTCCTTCATCCGCGCTGGCCCCAGGTGTACTTCCGGTGGCGCCCCCTCCACCTATTTCGCCACGACTAATTGCCCAAGCCCGGATGTAGACTCGTCGTAATTCCGCAACGTCATCTGCAGTACGCAGCTTCTGTTCTGTGTTCAACAAGTCACATTTACACCTATAAACAGCCACATTGCGCTCCAATAAGGCCACTTTGCCCTTTATGTGTTCGACTTCTTGGACAATCGCATCTTTGTTCTTCTTGTTTTGTTGTATCGCGAGAACGAGGTTAGAGCTTCCAAAAATCCATCTATACCTTTCTCTATTCAGGACAAAAAAAAACCTTTCCTCATTGGGACGCCATACTAAAAACTATTCTCCAAGATGCTCTGAAACAAGATTGATTTCTGGACGCCTTAACAAGGTCGTTAGCCTTCTTCTCGTATTTTTGCAGTTCCCCACGCGTGCCCTCAGCACTGCGTACTTGTGTTTCGAGTTTTTCGATATCAACACAAATCTCACGCAACCGCTCGATCCGGTTCTGCAAGTCGGTCTGTTGTCGCTCCATAGTGGCGATTAGGTCCCGATCCTTCGCCTCGGTTGCCCTAAGAGCTACCTCTTGTGCGGCAAGGGACTTCTCGAGCTGGTATTAGAAGAAGGCTCATTAATCGCGGAAGTTCAAGTTGTTGGAATTGGAAACACTAGTAAGGAAGATGCTTCTTGTCTAAGAACAATTTACATCTACTGCGCGATGTGAGTAAGTAAGTCTTCCGACAAAAAGAAATAGCAATCAATGTGAACCTACTTGATCATAATCCTCAGCTGTTGTCGCCAGTTCGGCTGCTTGTTTCTGCGCATTAGCCAATTCGGCCTCTGTTTGCGTGATCTGTCGTGTCAAGTCGTCTTTTCTGGTCATTTTTTCCTGCAACAGGTTAAAGCGACTTTGCATATCCGCCACTCTCTGTCGCCTTCGGCTTTCCTCCTCCTGCGCTTGCGCCAATTGTTGCTGTTTTTGATCCAGGGTGCGCTCCAAAGTGTTCGACTTTTCGAACAGCATGCTCTGCTTCTCACGCTCTTGCGCTAGTCTAGTTTCGGCATCAGGCTCACCTTCCGCTGCTGAGAAAGACGAACTGGCCAGGGACAATTCGCGGTCTTGCAATAGTCGTTCAGCATCTTTGAGCTCGTTCTCAACACGTCTGCAGACGTCGCAACTCGTGACAATGCCTCGGAGAGCATCTAAATCACTGCTGAGCTTCTGGAGGGTAAGTTGCAACTCGCTGATGCGGGAGGGGATTAGAGAATGTAGAGGAGATTGAAAAGGACCATGAGGAAAAGGACCATGAGGAAAAGGATCATGAGGATCGTGAGGACCATGAGAACTACAACAAGTACAGAGCATAAGTGGTTAAAAGCTATCGACAACAATTCCACATACTTGGAGAATCCTTGTCAACCTTAGAGGATCGAAAACCCTACTGCGCAGAGAGATAGAGAAGATAACAATTCCACTACTATAATCTCCAGGTAGACCGACGTAGACAAAAAAAGAGTTGTCTGTTGACTTGTGGTCTATAATTCCAGTATAATTCTTAACTTCAAGTCCTGTGTCCTCGCTGCACGGATCCCCTCTGCTTCTTTCTCCGTCGTTTCTCTCATTCGTAGTTCTTGCCTCTGACTAAAGAGTCCTCTACAATTCTCCAACTCCGATATCTCCTGCATCAATTGCCTTCCCTTTGTTTCCATCCTAGTCTTAGAGGTTACGGAAAGAATTTTTACACTCTTCAGCACATAATTCCTGCCCTCTTTTCTCCAAGGAAAGGAGTCAGGGATGGCAGTGGGGAATGCAATTCGGAAACCCTTAATGGTCGCAGTTCCGGATCCTGGCTGTCCTCCCCCAGAAATACTGTCGTTCTGTCCCGCCTTTTGCCGACTAATTCGACTTCTCAACTTTTCCACCTGTGCTGACATCGCTTTCCGTTCTGCGTCATTCTCAAATCTCTTGGTGCACAATTCGCAACAACCCTTTCTCTTAGAGCTCAAAATAAGCAAGTAGACCTGAGAATATCAAGAAACTAAGTGTAATGTCAAGGATGAAGAGTCTTATTCTGACAAAGACTGCGCCAAGGGTCCGCCTCTATTTTCTCACCTTCCTGTAAAAGAGAAAACAGTGAGAAGTGACTTCTTGTAGAAATGAACTATAACTGTAAGTAGAAATTGAGCCTTAATTTTCAAGCTTTTTTCCTCCAATTGGCGCCACAGCATATCGCCATTGGATAAAATATGCATGGCAGCTTGATGCTGTTCATGCTGGGTGCGCTTTTCCTCCAGCTTCTGTTCCAAAGTTGCAGTGGAATCACCACAATGCGTTTCTAGTGTGTTTGTCATCTTTGCGACCTGCTTGGTGATAGAGGCAAGCTCCTTAGCGCCAAATTCGTTTGCAGCAGCAATTTGAGACTGCTCTTGTTGCGGCAATTAGAAGATAGAAGTAGTCGTGCTCCGCATCCATAGTCCACATCCATAGACTACTTTGTGTCCAGGATGGATGTGGATTGGTGGAGAGAAAAAAAATGTAAATGGGTACTTGTCACGGATTTCCTCGCATGTAAAACAAACCATAAATCTTCGTCAACTCCTCCTTGTTCTGTGTAATTGCCACTGAAACGGAATTCTCCAAGTTACGCGCCTCCGCAACTACACTATCCGCTCCACTGCCTGGCTTCCCGATCATATCCGCTAGCTGTTGCCTTTGCGTAGGACCAAAAATCAATGATGTAGCACCACTACGAGCAGAAAGACTCATCAGTCCTCCTTCTCCTTCCAACAGCAACAAATTCTTCAACTCTGCCTCTCGTTCCGACAATTCTCGCTTCTTGTCTTAGAGTGTGCTTGAATCCTTCGAGATCCACCCTCTTGGTACCTTTTCCCTTGTGTTCTTCTCTGGGAACAAAAGGGTACTAAATATCTTCGAAGAGATATAATTGAGAGGAATGAATAAATGATAAAGATAAAAGCTTTGACGACCATAATTGTCAGTGCAGCTTTGACGGTAAATGCCTACTTCCACCATCTGCTTCGCCATCATTTCCAATGACTGGATTTTGTCCTGTTGCTCTTGAAATTGAAATTGGAGTTCGTGTTTTTGTTTGCGCAAATTCGTCACCTCCTTCTCCAAGTCGACCTTGCGACTCTGCGTTTCCTGAACCGCTGACTGAGTCATTTGCTGCGTTCGCCCCAGCTCCTCTTTCACTTGCTCATACTCACGCTGGAACTTGCCGTAACACAGGTTAGAAAAGAGCAATCAAGGGAAATGCGACGCCAGAACGAAATGCCACAGAAAACGCGAAATGCATTGCCATTCCTTTTAAATACAATAGCGAGCAAGTAGAAGCGCCGCATCCACATAGTCAACTTTTTCAACGCAACAGTTTCAACATCAGGGAAATCCGTAAAACTCAGAAGAGATTCAGGGAAGTCGTAGGACAATTCCGAACCGACTAACATCATCACATGCCGTAACATTTAATTCCGTTTGTAATTGAGTTTTTCGATTCCTCAGTTCCCTTTCCCGCGCTTTAGCAGTTTCGCACGTCACCCTTGCTTCTTGCGCTTGTTTTCCAAGGTTCTGTTGTTTATTAGAGGTAACAACAACAACAACACCAACAGCCTACTTAATAAGTGTTAAAACATCTTCTGAATCTAGCTTGTTCCGAGCAGGAATCGCCTGCGAGATGGTTTAGCCATCTCGTTTAGATTAAACCCTTTTAGCTGTTAGCTAGTTCCAAGAAGAAAATTCCAAAAAAATGGATTGACGGTTTAACCGACAGGTTGAACACGGGACCCATAAGTTTGTCACGCAAAGCTTGCTGCTCAGCATTCTGCTTTCTCTGCAGCTGCTGTACCCTCATCCCTTGTTTTAAAGCCACTTGCTGCAAAGCTTGACCTATTTTTGCATCATGCTGTTGTAGAGCTACTAAGGATAATGCCTCAGAAGATGGATTGTTTGTCTTTTTCTTAGACCCTCCAGACGCAGCAGATCCTCCTTCTGCTGTCATTGCATATTCTTGCCTTTGTAATAAAGCACGATGTTGAGGGTCTAGTTCTTCTGCAATAATAGATTGCCAAACCCCTGAGAGAGCTGACGAACAGCCAGTAGCAGTAGTTAGCGTCGGCTTTGATTCATCTTGGTCCCGTCATCGCGACCCCTTTCTCTCCCGTGAAAAGAAGACAAGGGAAAGCAAGGGTATCGAGATGCTGAGAAAGATGGAGAGAAGATGACCATAATGTAGTGCTGCCCCCACTTGCTCCAGTCCCACTACCTTGTGAAAAGAGGAACGTCCTCACCTCTTTCTGCCAGATATCTTCACGTCTTTCATTACGGCTTTTCAGGAGGTCTCCGGCGGCAACAATTTCGCCCATCTGGTCTCGTAGAGCTTTCACTTTATTCTGCGCACTAGCGGACTCGGAATTCAGGGAGTTTTCCTGTGGAAAGAATCATGTCAGTGTAAGTTATCTCAGGAGAGTACTCCTGGATATTCTTCAAATACTTATGGGGTACTACAGGCAGTCTTCCTATAATTCTTGTCGACGACACGTCCTTCTCGGTAGAACCAGAACAAGATAGATCATGGAAGTACAAAAAATTCGAGTCCAGAGAGTGGACGGAATTAGTACCTAAACATTCAAATAATTCGTATCCATATCAAACACGGTCCATTACCTCATTTTCCAAGCCTGTCTTTTTTTGCATTAATTCTGGCAATGTTCGCGTGTTGAGACTTGCTACTTCTGCGTTTAAATCGGACAAAAGCTCCTCAGCCCCACGTCCATCCTCATCTATATGACAGGAAAAAGTAGTTTAGTACTCATACTCGAGATGGACGTAGGAGGAAAGCAGCTGCTTTCCTGAGTACGAATCCCTTTTCCCGCTAGAATTTAAGTGGGAAAGTAGGCGGATATTTTTCTCGAAAAGAGTATGAGGATATCACTCCTGTTCCATAATCTACTGCTACAGTGCACTCCCTCGTCGCGGCTTCGTATTGCTCTCGTGCGCGTGTCACCAAAGCCGCCAAAGCTTGTATCGAACCGCGTTTCTCGTTAAATTGGCCCAACACAAATTCGCGTTTACGTCGCTCCATTCCAGCCAAAGAAAGCTCGTTCTCGATTTTTAGTAAGTGAATAGTCTCCAACTCGTTCTTCTGGCCCTTCAATTCTGCGATTGTGCTTTAGAGGGGTACACTGAAGAAAGCATGTTGTACCTACTATAGTCACAGCGTTTGCTCTGCACGACAAAAGAGATGTAATATACTCCCAGTAGCAGTGGCGTCACGACCGAAAAGCATTTCGAAAGAAAACTACATGTGCCTACTGTTGTAGTCACGGTATTTCTGTTCGTTCTGAAGGAAACATGATCCTGTCGATTTCTACGTGAGGACCCGACCAAAGGATCTACTTCTCTGCCTTATGGACGAAGTTGTAGGTCTATGTATAAGAATACAACTTGTTCGTTCAACTAAGAAGTACTCTTAACTTTCGCGCAGCTTGTGACATGCTTGTTGGTGGGTTCCTAGCAATTGCACGTCCCTGCCATTAAAGCTCGAAGCATTTCATATTTCTCTCACATATTTGACTTACATATTTGACCTCTAAATGTGTCAAATAAGCGAGTAAAAGTGAAATGTTTCAACCCTTAATACCAAGCTCCTGGGCTTGAGCACGCGTCGCTTGCCGTACATTCGCGATATTCTGCAGCGCTAGTGTATACCGAGTACTCCCAAAAATTTCATCGAACTTCTTTTTCAGAGTCTGTGTGTATGTGGTTATTGTCTTGTGCGGGTAGTGGTAGTTTCTTTCATGGTCAACGTCAAGAGAGAATTTTTCTATAATTCGTTTGTTTAGTTCCTCATGTTTCAGCAACTGCCACTTGCTTTCTTCCATATAGTAGCTGAGGAGAATGACCTAAGGCGACCGCAAACTAAAGGGCTGTGTTCTTCTACATAGTGGTGGAGCCTTCCTAACGTTACACTTAGATTTAGAGGGGTCCTACGCATGAAGCCCCAGATCGGCAGAAGTAACTAGAAAAAACCAAAAAGGACAAGTTCTATAAATTGTCAATACCGCCTGATCCATCAGAGGCCAGTTGCTTTCTTCTATATAGTAAATACCGCTTGATCCATCAGAGGCCAGTTGCTTTCTTCTATGTAGTAAAAATACCGCCTGATCCATCAGAGGCCAGTTACTTTCCTCCTGATGGCAGAATATGACGTTTTCCAATATCGCTTTCTCCACGCCCATCAATTGCGGCACAAGGCTGTCCATATCCTTCACGCGTTGAGTACTCCTGTTAGAAGACCAGATCATCATCTTTGCTACATCAACTTAATTTTTACAACTACAGTGTGCATTACCCTTCTTAAAGATCGTCATGGCGTCTCAAGTAGCCATCCTAAGCTACCAGCAAGACGGAACAGATTCAGCGACGATTACTTGTAATAATCCCAAGACGGAACATATTATTTAACCGTTGTTCCCCTTGATGTATGAGTACTGACTACTAATGACGAAAAGCCGGAACAGTAATATTAATCCCATACGCGGCCTTAAAGCTACTCCCGACAGCCGCGTCCTCGTCTCCTTGCTTCATGAACTTGAGACTGCAATCCAAAGCCTTGCACGATGGTTTCTTTGAAAGAGCTGTACCGCCACCGATTAGAGAGGAGGAATTTCAAAAAAAATTAGAGAGGAGAAAAGTCAATTTCCAACGATTTATAGAGGAATTTCAAAAAAAATTAGAGAGGAGAAAAGTCAATTTCCAACGATTAATATTCACGAAACCTCTTCTGTCACATAAAATCAAGCTTTTAAACGAACGGACTGCCAAGATTTGCTTGTCTCCCTTGGCGTTGAAGATCATCTTGATTTGGCCCTTGACCTCCTGCATCTTAGCCCACTTCGGGTCGTGGACGAACGCAGCGCCACCTGTGCCCACATATGGCGGATAAGCACCACAGGAAGCCGCAGTTTAGAGAGAGAGAGAGTTTAAATATATTGCATGAAGGGACACACCTAAAGTCGGAGGGAAAACTAACCGACTGTCTTACGTAGTTTAAACATGAAAAACATCTTATGACAAAATTGAGGGATGTGCAGTGCTTAGATACTAGGCACCACAGGAAGCCGAGGTTTAGAAAGGTGAGTTCAAGATTCCAGAGCCAAAGCTGATTTGAGTATTCCCGAAACAACTGAGCTACGCAAGTAACCGCTTAGTTTCCTTTCCCATATTACAGGTGCAAAAGAAAACAAGACCTAAGAGGGCCATATGCAACATTCACTGAGAAATCTCATTCACTCAAAAATCTCATTCACTCAATCCTTAAATCTTGAGACATTCGATAATCGTGGTTTTTCCGCATCCATTCTGTCCGACGATTAGGGTCACGGGCTTATCGAAGCTGATCTTCTCCATCCGATCGTAGGAGAACGATCGGATCCCCGAAATGCCAAGGCGCTCAATGGTAGACATTTTGTTGATGCTGTGGTCAGAATAGAAGCTCGGTATTGATGTTGTGGTATTCTGGAGAAGTTATACAAGAAACATGCTGCTAGTAGTAGAAAGATAAACAAGTTGGGATTCTAGTTATGGTCCGGTGTACGTGTGGTCAAATGCGAAAGGAAAGGAAATGAAATAAATGCGAGTAGAGGAGAGGAAGCTATGACTCTAGGAGGAGGATTCTGCTGTGATGCCTTTACAGAAGAAGTATGCAAACAGCCTCTCATCTTCTACTTTCACCAAAATTTATTTCGACTGAACTCAGTTCACTGTGAAGGGAATCCAGTAGGTTCGCTACACATAAAAATCATCAACGGGCTCCTACAAGCTGACACTTGCCAGCAGTTGTCTTTTTTTTTTGAGTCGACGAGCAGGACCAACTACGCTTTGAGCAGGTCCAAACATCGCTTAGATGCAGGAACAAAAAAAGGGTTCCCGAGCCTACATCTAATTGAGTCTAGGATAGGATAGGATTGGCGCGCCTCTGAGAGTCAGGCTATGAGTTTGTAGACAACATAGAGAGCTCCTTATAGAGAGCTAGGGTTTAGAACTTTGAATCGTGCTTTTCAATGAGAGCAAGTGGCCAATGGATGATCCTTGTCGCAGCAACAGCAACAACAGAGGTGCGATACAACAACATAGTACAGAACTTAGAAGTTCGGTAGTTCAACAACCGAAGTTATTCAGAGGTGGTTTAGGAGTACGAGCTCTACCGTAGTAGATAGACTCTTGGTCTTCCAGTACTACGGAGTAGACGAAGATCGCCTTGATCCAGTACCGCTTTTTTTTTTTTTGCTATGGATCAGGACGATCTTCGTCTACTGTTGCTAGCTTTTGCGATTTTTTTTGTGAACAACGATTGCAACGACAAAGGGGCCTTCACAAGGAGATGGAGCCTAGACAAGGCGCCTCCGTTGAAGACGGAAGGAGCGTCTTCTTTTGCTTTTAGTAGCATGTGTACACTGCGATGCATTTCAAGGACAACTCTATTTCAAGTACATCCATCGACTACAGTATGTCACAAATCTCGTCATAACATCTCTTGTCGCCATTGCTCTTATCAACAATAATTTGAGTAAATTCTAGGCCCATCTTCTACGATCTAATCTTGTACATCCCATCTTCTACGATCTAATTCTAACCCCATCTTGTTTGGTTCCTAATCTTGTACGAGGTCACACGGGCGATTGCTTGCATCTCGCATATTTGGTTCTCATCTTCATAATTCTACATATCTGTCTGCTTACAAGGTTTGGACGACGTAACAACTTCTGCTACCAGGCAAGTCGAAGAGGATTCCCCGAGATCGGTGGACAGCGACCTCGAGCACAATCGCGCCCATACGACGGCCTCCTTTTTTTGTCTTTAACTGCTAAATCTTGGCTTTTGTAATTCAGCTACATACAACTTTTAACTCCCACCATCTTGTCTTGGCATATATCCCCTCTTATTACAATTACACACTTAGTCTGAAAACTATCAACATACGGACTACTTTTACTAGGCAACGCCCCGCATTTGAACAGGAGTAAGCATCGACAAGAGGGCCCTGTCGCTGAGGATATATGCATAGCCTCTGCGTCGTAGATCTCCAGCAGCCTAAGCATGTAGAGACTTACCGCCTGCGCTGATAATCATCATGATCACCATCATCATATATTTGGAAGCATTTGCCTAGACACGGAGCGGCTTTCTGAAATGTCGCGCTTTGAAGTCCTTCTAAAGTTTTTCAGCTTTTGTCGTTCATGTTCTACAAGTACTACAGAAGCCCATGTTAGTATATCAGAAGAAAACGAAAAAGTCAACAACATGGAGCGAGTGTTCTACAACCCTTCGCTCCTATTTTTAGTACTGTCTTTTATTGTCGGATGATGATCGTATTGCTCTTTACCCAGCACATGGAGCTGCACTGTTAGTTGTCAAGGCATTCCTATTTGTGCAGCCGGTAAGTTTCTATTTGATCTCCTATTTGACTTGAGAAACTGCACAGAGGTCTATAAGCACGCAGTGTACTATTTTTGGTATAAAATTCAATAGGTGGCAGCGTATTTTTTTTTGTAGTGCGAGCGAGTTCCGATAAGTCAAAAACTACCTGCGTACTTTTTTGTTTTTTGTATCGCGGGCGAGTTTAGTATAGAACCTGCCTGCATATTTCCGGCGCAGCTACCGGCGTAGCAGGGAGTTCTTAAGCCCCTTAGCAACTACGCTAATACCCCTACGGTTTACAATGATCAACAACTAGAAGCAAAGGCAGGGGTGTTTACATGCCTAGCACCTGCCACCCGGAACGCTGTCCGTCTCACCTTTACGCGCTTCAGAGAGTGCTAGAGATGGGCGGCGGAACGTTGTCCGCATAAATCAGCTAGTTCCATAGTTTTTTTTTGTAGTAATCTTGGATCTTCCGGAATAAAACTCATACATAATTAATACAAAATCATCAATGTGGATATCCTGCATTTTTGTCAAAAGTTCTCGTTGTTCGTCTTCCAAGTTGCAGTTGTGGGACTTACTATCTATTAGCACTCTACTGGTGTTCGACGACGAGCCACAAACTATTTTTTGTTCAGCAATCTTTATTGCGATCTTTTTCGTTTTTGTTCTAGTGCCGGATCTTTTGGATGACATGAGCGATGCCATCAAATAATAGATTTTTCCTAGTGGTGCGTGCTCTCTACTTCTTGGAATGTTAATGTTGTGCAATACTTTCCCCTATAAATCACATTCAGATAGTACATCGTCAGCAGCTTCACGATCATCATAATCATCGTCATCATGATCTTCTTCTCCCTCTGAGGCGAGTGCGTTTGTCTAAAACGGCACCTCCTCAAGGAATGACTGCGCCGCCTCCGGCATGATCTTGTTTTTCTCCTTATCATACGCATCAAAAGCGCGCTTCTGAGGGCTGTCCTTGACCTTCTGCATTTGCTTGACTTTTTCCTTCAGATGCTCGGTGACCATCGTCTTGTACTGGTAATGCAGCTTTTTCATAAAACCTGGGATGTCGTTGCCATCTTGGATCGACGTAGCTGCAGCTTCGGACGCAGCGACCGCCTTGAAGTTCGAGGATCTTCCCTCAATCTTGAATATCTAGTACTAAGATGCAACGAGCTCGTAGACCAAAGTACGCTTACATAGATGCTTCATCTGGAAAATGAGTGTTTCCAACTAGAAAAGCTTTTTGACTTCTTTCGCACCAGACTGCTTTTCTTGATTTGGAGATATGACGTCTCAGCTCTAGCCTTAATGTCAGCCTTCTTCTCGGCCTTGACGTACGTTTCCACAAGCTCCGAAGCCTGCTTAGGTTAGCGCTATCAAGCATCCAGCTGTAGTGGGCTGTATCTCTGTGATCTGTTGTAACTTTCAAGTGGTGGTGGAGTTATACTTCTGTGCTTACAGGGATACAGTCAGAGACGAGTTAGTGCTGACCACCTTAATCTTGATCTACCTTGTCCGTTAGACGTTCCAGATCTCCGGCTGCGTCGGTGAATGACTTAGAGGGACTCACTAGTAAAAAAACGTCTCTTCATTCCGTCCACCTGCGCGGCTAGATCCTCTTTTCAGACCTTCTCTGTTATGAGGAGAGAATCTAACTCACACCGGTGGTGGCGATGAACAAGCCATTCTCGTGAAGAAGGTGAGCCTAAGTAACCCGCTCGCGGAATAAAGGCCTTTGACCAGTTCGAAAAATTTCGAGTTAGCCTTTCCCATCTCCTCGTCGGCAGTGTCAAAGTCGTCCTTGATCTGATTAGAGTGCGTCTCAGGTCGTTCCACGAGTGCCTGACTCGTACCTCTTTGCTTTCTTTTTCCAATGAAAAAAGGTGAACCAAGAATCTTGATATTGAGGACATACTTGAGGGGTGGCCTTAATCTGAGCCACGACACTTCGTTCCTTCTGCAGCGTAGCTGCAAGCTCCTCCTTGGCCGTCATGAGTGCCTTGCCTGCGTCGCAGCGTTAGAGCACTCTCTTGATCAAAGAATAAAGTTGGTAGGAAAACAAGGCATGCTTGAGATAGACGAGTGAACAAACTCAAACACTCAGGCTGATAACAAAAATCAAACGAACTATTTGGCAACGATCTTCGAGATGATGTGTCATATAGCTGCACAGCGTGATGGGGTGAGTCCCAAGTAGGTCGGCATATTATAAGATCATGCTTTTTTGTTAAACTGATTTACTGTAGCTGTTAGGACTTCTTAACTCGCAAAATCGACGGGCTCAGTAAGGCCAGTCACCGCCTCCTGTATTCGATTCACGAGCATCTTTGTTCCTGCGAGTACCTTATGAGCACTTCGCAGAGCGAATTTAGTTCGTACGAACATCGATGCGTCCAGCTTAAAGAGGCTGCTCGCGACATCCTGACCCAGTTGTGATTTATACCCCGCTTCGACCATTTTCTTGAGTGTCTCTCTCGATTCCGCCAGCGAAGATCCCGCTCTCTCTGTTATGTCGTACATTAGAGTCTTCTCGCGGAATTCAGAATAACACGAATAATACTTGTTGTAACCGCTTTATTGTCTTTCTTAGGAGATTTTGTAGATCATGGAAAAAGATCCTCCTCTCTGCCTGTAGTAAAGAGGTGCAATCTAGTGTGGATGAGCAGAGACTTAATGGACATGGGGTGATGAGCAACGCGTGGAAATGAAACGGCGCCACTTGGTAAAATGGTGTCACTTTGTGAAGATAGTCTGTCTTGTCATCTGGAGGCCTGCTCAGTGGTTATGAGGGCATGAGTAAAAATAGTCGCTAACTTCGAAAATTTTCATGAAGCATAATTTGAGCAGTTCGATATACGCGGTATCAAAGTCCTTCAAATATTTCGCGGCTTTATCCGCCTGCTGTTGACCCTCTTTCTGCTTGTCTTCGAAGATTAGGGCGAACCCAAAAGAGTCTTCTGTCATCTTTTAGTATTGAGGAGGTGGCCCTCGCTTTCTGCATAGAAAAGGCAACATGTTGAAGGGAACGAAGGTAAGCATAGGAAAGGCGAAAATAAACTATTTTGAGCCTTAATGCGAATTCCGCCGTCTTTGTATTGGCGTTAATTGCTCTGAGCCACTTCTGCTGCGAACGGAGCAGCGCGTTGCGCTCCAATATCCAACTGGTATAGCTCGACAGCAGCTTTATTAGAACTCTTCACGGCGTACACTATGGCAATAGCAAGTTCTAGCAAGAGAAATAGTAATAGGAAGCTGTTCTATGCTAGTTTGCGATCAATCAAAGTACTACTGTATATTTCATATTCATAGTCAAGATGTTGGAGAGCAAACTTGACCCACCCTCCCATTCCTAAGATGTAGGTGAGTAGCAATTTTATCCGAAGAGCGTAGAAGACTGATTTACACGACCTTAGTCCTGGGTGTAGGTGAATGAAATAACCCATGAGCACTGAGAGACAAGACTTATTGAAGAAGATGCTCCATCTTTACAATCCGGAGGTGCTTTCCCCAACACTGCTGCGAAGATGTCCCATCATCTTCCGAGATAAAATAACAACCTAGACTTGGGTTTTTCGACTTGATTTTTCAAAGCCAGTTTTTTTACCAAACCCGTTTTTCTTTTTTTTTCCCGGGCCGTTGTATTTTCTAAAGGCCAACTTTTTTTCCCCGGCCAAATTTTTCTCCAAAGGCCCGCTTTTTTTTCTAAAGGCCAGCCACAGCCACGGCACAGTCCCCGCCACAGGACACACACACACACAGCCCCAGCCCCAGCCACACACAAACGCACAAAGCTACACCCACACACTGAGCCACACACACACACACAAGCGCGCCCACGCCTTTCCCGATGTATTTGTTAGGCCGATAACTTCCCAGAGGTGCAGTCTCTTGCCGTTTTGTGCCTGAGGGCTTGGCGCTTGTTCCTCCGGCCTAACGACATGGCCGGCGTCTTGTATATAAAAGTATACTATATCCTAGACCTTAGAGACATGGCGCTCTACCGTATACGGATGGCACCCTCTTTGAACTAATGAGACGAGCACCAGATTATACGTATGCATCACTGTCATCTTCACAGTCTAAGAGGTATTCAGATCGTAACTCAAGATCATCCGTGTGAGATGGGTCCAGCCTATCCTTCCTCATTTGTTGCAAGTTGGAGGTCTCAGTCTCGACACGGGGGCCCCATTTCTTCAGCTGCTGGATCGCCTCATCGAGTTGCTGTATTTTTGAAGAAAGCAAGTGGAGGCCCATTTTCAAAGAGAACATGCGGAGGCGGAATGTCATGTCATGGCACCTCTTTCGTAGCTATTCATGTGGAATGGTCTATTGTCAGTGGGCGACACCAAATATGATCTTCTGGGCATTTTGTGTCAGAAGAATAATAAGAACTGTTCTTGACGAAGAAAAGTGATCTTCTGGTCCTTTTGTGTATAGTGATGAAGTCTTAGACATTGCAGTCCACGTATTATTAAAGCATATACCTCAGCAGTCACCTGGGCATTCGGTTTCTTGCCTCCCGACTCCTCCGCAAACGGCCATTCCGCCTTCGCCTTTTCCGCCTGCTTCACCTCTTCCGCCATTTTCGCCTCCGCCTCTTCCTGCTTCGCCATTTTCGCCTCCGCCTCTCCCTGCTTCGCCATTTTCGCCTCCGCCTCTTCCTGCTTCGCCTTTTCCTCCCTCGCCTGCTCCGCCCTTTCCGCTTCCGCCTGCTCCGCCTTTTCCGCCTCTTCCTGCTTCGCCTTTTCCTGCTCCGCTTTTTCCGCCTCTTGCTGCTTCGCCTCTTCCTGCGCCCTCTCATCTGCCTGACCTTGCGCGCCGCTACCGGTGCTTGCGGACCCTACTCCCGGCGCACCGCTTAACGGCCTTTCTTGTGCAGCTGGTGTGCTTTCCGTGTCTCTTAGAGCAGAAGAAATGGCAATGGACTAGGAAAGTGTCTAGGAAAGTGTCATATATACAGAAGATGAGCTAGCAATGGTATTGGTCGACAAAAGTAGAGTACTGCATGATTTCAGGTGAGATTCGCAATATCAGTACTAACTACAACCCTAGAGTAGATGCAGCTATCTTTGTATCACGAGTAGAAAGCCGCAGCGCTTCTTCGTAAAGCAGCAAGAATACGACGATAGTTCTTGATGCTGTAACTCAATGCACGGCGCCGCCCTTCAATAAAAGTGGTACCTAGAAGCGCCTAGGCAAAACAAAGAGCCATCAATAAAAACCAAAGCCAGCTTCACTACACGAACATGCCCCCCCGATCCAAGTTTTTGAGTCGGGGGGCCTCCAGCCCCGGCCCCTTTTTCTCGAGGGACTGCCGAGCGGGAAAGCCTCCAAGCGCCTCCCCTCGCGCCCTCGCGGCTTCTTGCGTGTACCCTACAGAAGCCAAACCCCCGAGGCCGTTCAAGCTCCGGCGACCGGGGGCGGAAGGCTTCCGAAGGCGGCAAAGGTGGCAGGGCCTGACCCCCTTGCCGTGTTGCGTGTACCCTACAGGCCTCCCGCATGCGGGTCCCTCACCGGGGGAGCCCCTTGGGGGGCGGAAGGCGTGCGAGGGCAGCAGGCTGCAAGGCTTGACCCCTTTCGCCGTGCTGCATGTATCCGACGGAACCCAGGCGGGCACGCCTTGTCCCGAATCCTCCTCGCCTTTGGTCCTCAGCCCCCCGGGTCACCAATTGGGGGGGTGAGGGCCAATGGGGCCAGGCCTCGCGACCGTGGCCGCCTTCGGGGGCCTTCTACCCCCGACGGCCGTCCCCCTAATAGGGTCCAAGAGCCGGGACGCCTGTGGGGTGCACACGGAGAGCCGCCAGGGGACTCCGGCCCGCCTTTTGAGGCCTTCCCCCCCGGAAATCCCTGCACGTCACCACCGCGGAAAAAAGGGCGCGCCGACGCCACCACCGCTCCAGCCACAGGGGGGTGGCTCCCTCCCTGGTACATATATAGTTAAAGAGTTCGCTGCCTTGCTAACGAGGACCCGTCATTCGGCAGCCTGCCAACGATTTCCCTGAAGATTTCTGCCAGCTGATCTAGCTGGTTCTGCCCCATCTCCTCTGTTCATCGTTCATCTGTCATATCATTTCTTTCTTAATTAGGGACTCTACTTTCAGTCCCAGTTTCCTTGTGATGAGGTACAACTGAAAGGAGCAAGCCCGTAAGCCTTCGAATTCAAGAAACGACTCTCCTTTTGTTGGGGTCAGTTAGGTTAGGTGATGGGCCCTTCGCGTGGAGCTCCTTTAAAAACAAAAGATATTCTGTATCCGTGCAGAGAGCTTTGCCTTAAAGTAGTCGCATCCGCAGACTTTCCACAGGATGCGGACTGGCAAAATGACGCGGAACCACGAAGATTTTCCTTGCCTGAGACCACCACAGTCTGCCCTACCAGCGAAACAGCAGTATTAGAAGCATTTATCTTCTCTTGAGAGAGAGAAATCACTGTGTTGATTCAATTAACGCGATGCGCTTTGCGTAACTCCTATGGACTGAGACTCTATTAGCATGATGTTCGGCGCAGCCTCTATAATCACTGTGGTGTTGGGCGATGTAATGGCATCATTGGAGGGCTGAGACGTGAGGTAAATATCCTGAGACGACGCAGGCGGTGCCTTCATTTTCCGCTTGAAAAAGAAGCCAAGGCCCAGGAATGATGATCTAACAGCATCCTTTGATGCGTGCTTCTATTTTTCTCCCTACGAGAAAAAGGAGCTCAGGGGATTTGATGGTCTAAGGAAGTGCTTGATGGATTGATTGACTGATGTGCCTATTCTTGAAGTAAAGGGGCTACGTGCTTAGGATAGATACGATTGGATCCACCAAAAAAAAAGGGCAGGATGCTTTCTCTGAGGTCGTCCTCATTGCCTTAATAGTACTACTGCTGGTCAAAGCAACTGCGCCTGCTTTACACGAGCAGGAACGCTCATACTTCCTCTTCGATGAGCGCGGCATTGTCTTTCTTTTGATCAATCTGGTACAGCTTTTGTTTAATCTGGTCACCCACCCTTGATTTTGATTGTCTTTGTGCCACCCTTGATTTCTTTCCTACAAGAAACTTAAGTGCAAGAGGAGGGGTATAAGATACCAGCTTCTGGAATCGTTACGGGGAAGCTTCGATGTTTTTCTGGAGGTGGGAAGTATGGAGGTTGAAGTAGGGAAGAGGAAAGCTTCATCAAGGTTTCCGATTTTT